GATCTGAACAGGCACTTTGTCACAAAACACATAAAAAAAAGTGACTTCTTCTGTTTGAACAACTATGGTCACTCATGGCTTATTTTCTATTGGCAGATTTAACATTTCAGTGTACTTCTGAGACAACAAATTGATTTCTGAACCAGTATTGATCAATGCCATTAATTCTTGTTGGTTTATAGTGACTGGCACATATAACAAATGCATTCCATATGCTGTTTTGAATTTTGGTACCATGAGCTTTGATGTAAGTTGACTGGAATTAATCTTTAGCTCAGGCTGAACTAGTTTGGAGACTCCAACCTTTGCATGGCTTTTGCTAGTACTGTTATTTCAATCTGATCTGAAGAATGCTTGATGAAGCTTCAGCAATACATCTATAAGCTTCTTGACTGACACTTTGACCTTCCTATTGAGAATTTGACCCATTAATTCATTGGCATCTGTTGAATTACAGATCTGAGAGAATAAATAATCTGTTGCAGAATATCTTGATCTTTGTTTCTTCATAATCTTGTTCTGAATTTCAGGCTTCTTCTGATTGATTGATTCAATGTCTTTCATGATATCATCATCAACACTAGCTTGATTATTCTGGTAGATAATAAATTGTCCAGTATGCTGAGTATAAGATGTTACAATCTTAGCTTTTTAACTGTTCTTAGCTTCTCCAACAGTTCCAACATTAACTGATGTTCTTTCTTCCAGTGGTTCATATTTCTTATCTGAATCAGATTCTTCATCAGATATTAGATATGCAAGTTGTTCTGCTTGAATCTTCATACTGATTGAATTTGCTGGAGATATCTCTTCTTGCTGATTGATCTTCTTTTTAGAACTTGTTAACTCTGAAATTACTCATTCATTCTCTTCTATAGACTGTACAATATACATGTTCAGTATTCCAGATTTAGAAGTGACAACTCAATAGTTTTGATCAGAAGAACTCATGCACAAGTTTCCTTCATCATTAATATGACAGAACCTGTTATTTGCATCAGATTGGTATTTATAACACTGAGATTGACAGTGTCCAGGTTTTCCACAGTAAAAGCATGAGAGATGTGTTGAAATTTCTTCAGTTTGAGCTTCTTCTCAGCCACTAGAACAATAGCTTGTCATCAGCAAACCATTTTGAGCCACATAAGAATTGACTAATTACAGTTGAGTATTCACTTGTACTGTTGCAGAATTAGTAGTCATATTTGTTGTATAATTTGATATGGGTTTCAGAGGCTCTTCTCTCTGCAGCATATAGTACTAATTAGAATTCTCTTGTATCTGATTTGACTGTACTCTCATGGTCAATATCAAATTTGTAAACTTGTTGGTCATCTTTTCAATTGCAGCTTTAATATTGGTGCTCTCAGAGCTCTTGGCTTTGAATTTTGATTCAGATTCTTCAGTCTTTACAGAACTAGCTGTTTTCTTTAAAGTCTCAACTGTAGAGAGTTTGTTAGCTAATTAATATTACTTATCAAGCTTCTTCATTTCCTTCTGCTTCATTTTATCTTCTTTAAAGATCTTCTTATTCCCTTCATACTGATTAATCAAATTCATGATTACTTGAACAATCTTTCTAAAATTAATAAATGACATATCATCTAAAAGATTGAGCTTTGCCTTGTCAATAATCTTATTCTGAAGCTTCTCAGGCAGCTTCTGAAGAAATCAAGACATCTTAGTGAATTCATCAAGTCTTTCATTGGCTTGTACTGTACTAGCAATAGTAGTGTATTCTCAAACATAGATGTAAATGTTACTATCCCAAGCATGTGGTTTCTTTGTAATTGCTTAAAGATAATTCTGACAGTAAATCTTGTAAGTAATGTTCTGATCATGAAATTCATGAATAATCTCTTTAAAGAATACTTTCCAATTATCTTTCTTGTAGTCTTTTAAGATCTTCATTCATTCTTCAATTCATGTAACACAGTATCTAGCCAACCATTCAATAATGTTCTTAGGGTCAATTACTTCATGATCCTTGCACATTTGATAAAATCTTTCAATAAACAAGATAGCATCTCTGCCATCAAACCAAGGTGCATTTGCCATGCCAGAGGAAGGCATAGGAATGTGGGAGTGAACCACAATTCTCCTGTTCTCATCTTGTGACATAGTCATATACAATCCTGTAGTACCTTCAATTATAGTTGATTCTGATCCTGATTTCTTGATTTCTTGATCTTTGGTCATGTCACACAGTATATTCTGTTGTTTCTCAATGATTCAATATCTTTCCAAAAAATCTATTTATTGGGCAAGCTTTAGATAAGAGCCATTCAAATCTAAGCTCCCTAATCTTATTCCTAAACAAAAATCTGATTAGTACTGTATTTCTAGTCCATAAGATCTTATCTTAAAATAGTGTATTGCTTCATGTGTCTCAGAATTTGTTTTTCTTTCTTGGCAGCCATCAAATCACCACATCATCATCTTCAGGTCTCAGCTTGGTCACCAAATGAAGTGGAGTATGATGGAATGCCTTGTCAAAGTAGGTGAGTTAGTTGAGATGGTGAGAGTGCAAGAAGGATGAAAAATCACAACATAGTAAGGATGATAATGGCTGAGTAGTAAGAACAGAGAAGCATGCCTTAACAAACACCTAAGCTTATAAGAAATAATAGTACTAAAGAGCCTGTACTAATACAGACAGCTCTAATAAGAAACAGTGGCAAGCTTCATAAACAAGAGATCTTCATATTCTCTAGCTAATAACCAAACTAGCAATAAAGAATGAGTGTATAAAAAAGTACAAAGGTATGCAAAGATATTGAGTGAGATGCAGGGGCTATGGGTGGTTTATATAGCTCAGAGATAGTAGCTGGAGGGGTTTTGTGCCTCAGACTGGAACAACCTTTGTCCTAATATGGTACCAGAATCCCCACTACAGTATGCTGCTCAGGAAACCTAATTTATATTCAGCTCAGGCAGTGCAAGCTCTGCAGAAGTCAGAGAATAACAATTCAGACAAGAAGAATCAGAATTCTTTGCAGAACATTATAAAGAATTATTTTGAGACTGCAACAAATCAGCCTGTCTGTTCAAAAAGACCTGCACCAGTCACAACTGGTTGCATGCCCTGAAAGAGATACAGATTCTAGTTGAATACATGAAAAGATATCTTCTTAGATCAAAATTAGCTGTTAGTTTGTGCTTCAAAATAGATTTCAGAATTTGATATCTAGACTTCAATGCAATGCTCTGTTATATCAATGCTTGCAAAAGCTGAATTTCACTATATTCAATATATATCTCTTTATTGTTCATTATAATTGGCTGTAGAAGCTCTAAGCAAAATAAGTTAGCACTTAGTAATGTATAAATAGACACATTTCAATTAGAAAATTCAAAATAATCAAGCAGACATACTAGATATAATAATCTCTTTCCACACAAAATCTTTCTCTTCTTCTCTTCTTTTCTTTCTTTTCTTCTATTAAGCTTATTATATTTCTCATCATCTCTCTTTCTCTATTTCAATATTAAGATAAGTGGTGAATTTCAGAATGAAATAAGAAACTGCAGCAAACTGAAGAACAATATATGTAGAAATAGCAAAAAATGACTCCATAAATATATAAATTGGCAGCAGCTCAGAACAAGTACTCTCTAATATTCATAAAGAAGAAGCTAGAGCAAAAGCTCTCAGCTATTAAAGAAGAGTCCACTATAATAAGTAATACATTCTGTGGTCACTGTTTGACATTTATGTATACAGTACATATTAAAAAGTCTTATTTCTGTAAGCAAGAAACTATAAAGACCTGCATTAATTATACAGAAGATAAAAAAGTCTGTACTTCTGTCTCTTCAGAACTATAGAAGAAAGTGGCAGCATTACTGTCTAACTATAATAATTTTCTCAGACTTAAGAACACAACACTTCAAGAAGAATTAAAAGCTAGTATAGTAGAACAGGCTACTGATCTCAGTAAATTGCTTGCTAAAATAGCATCTTCATCAGTTCAAACTGACAAATCTCTCTCTCTCCCCCTCTTTAATACTGAAGTTGGTGCTGCTATTTTAGCAGTATTAAAAAAGCTTGTGTTCATTTAAGTTAAATAAAAAGAGCTTATAGAGCATACATTCTGCTCTGTCAAGATAGATTAAACTGATTGAAGATCATACATTTAACTCATACTAATATAGTTATATATATAGAATATTGAAAAAATCTTGACTGACATTCATCAGAACTTAAAGTTCAATTATTTATCTTCTGCAGTTAATATACTTGATGTAATGTCAGAATGAATTAAACTAACTTTAATATTTGATAACAGAAAAAGCAAAAGACAGAAGAAATCATCTGTAAATCAGTAATTAAGATAGACTAATTTACTGCTGTTCTGCTCTCTACTACATCTACTTCTTTCTCTTTTTCTCTCACTCTAATTATGTCTTCTCTCTTCATTTAGTTGCAGTCAAATATATCTGCATCAGGCCTGTCTCCAACTGGAGACAGTAAAGCTAATTTACTTAAAAGTATGATTAGACAGCTCAAATAAGCTCACTCTGATAATTCTTCTGCACTGGTCTTACATCCTGTCCCTGAACCAGAGACTTCAACCAGTGAGAAGGCTCCCAAAATTTAAAAAAAAAAAAAACTTTATTATAATTCAGGTTGTGCAGATGATTGTATAATACTTAGTTAGTTTCTAGTAATTAAAAAGCTTCCAAATCAGATTCAAAATCCTCAATTGATGCATCATACATTCCAAATTCTATACATTTTGGACCCTTTATACATGCATTGTAAATATATGGTTGATCTACAGTTTCAAGCTTGCAACCTGTGGTTCAACAGGTCGCGTTGGATAAACATTTTCTGACAGTTGCCTGAAAAGCTCATTTTTCCGGTATGGCCAAATCAGCAAATCACGTGGTATTACTCCTTAGTTACTTTGGCTCCGCAAAGTAACCACGCCAAGAACTCCAGACAGTGCCCAAACGTCATTGGCATCGATGCACCTTCTCGGAGCATCTCCTAGACTCGCGGGTTTCGCTTCATCTGGTTAATAACAAACAGCCTCACCGGCAGTCCAGCATGTCTCCAACACCGTCCGACTCTCCTCATGGAGCTACAGATTCAGCACTCGATTCATCCAATGTTCTGACCCTTGCCGCCTCGTGCCTTGACAAGGATGCACCGAACCTGAATACTGCGTGGGAGGCGATTGCGCTCGTGGGCCATGCGTGCATGGTTGCTGTTGATTTCAGATTAATCGGTCTCGGAGAAGATCGAAGAGTAGGTATGTTGTCGAGACGATTGTCATATCCTTATTCCTCAGGGTTCCCACCCAGCGCGATAATTGAGTGAACTAATATGTTTCGTTGATATGACTAGAGCAAAATGCCCCTACGGCCGTGCTTCCCAAGGAGTGGAATCAGACGAAAATTTACTCATTCCAATACGCGCATAGCCGATCTTCCATGCAATTCATTCTGAAGGTTATACAGCTCGGAAATAACGCCGTTGTTTCTGCCATCGCTCTCGGCGACGATAGAACAGCCTCCTTCGACATCTTTGTTCGTGATTATGTTTCCCTATCATCTCTACCTATCTCTCCATCTTCGGACCTTTTGGATACCCTAAATCGCGTGTTTATCTCCCCTGAACGTTTGAAGGACCTCATTTCACTCTTCCGAATAAACGTTATTCAGAAACTCGCCCCAGGCCTACAGAAAGAGGGATACGAAGATACTTCCCAAGGCGCAGGCGGCGCTTCCCGGCGTCGCCAGGAAGAAGTTGAAGATCGAAGACCGCCGCGAGATCCGTTGCGGGATGATCGATTTCCTCCCCCCGTCCAGCCATACCCTTTCCACGATCCACTCGCCGCTCCGCCCCGCCGTCCCCTTCCCGCCGGAGATTTTCCACCTCCGGGCTTTGAAGATGAATACGAGATCAATGTCCCACCTCGAGGATACAATCCGTATGGTGGCGAACGTCGGCCCTTGAACATTGGCGACCGAGATTTGTATCCTCCCGGCCTGGGTCCGCATGATCCGCTCCGGCCACACTTAGGGCCATCGGGAGGTGGTGGTGGGATGCACCCGACGTTTGATGATCCTATATTTGGCGGGACCGGCGGGCAAGGTGGGCCGTTTGATCCGCAAGTTCCGCCAGGCGCCAGATATGATCCTGTAGGCCCAGGAGACGGGAGACCTTTTGGGCGTGGAGCAGGCCGGGGAGGAGGTGCGGGGCCCGGAGAAGGCGGGTTTGGTGGACTTGGTAGGTTTGGAGGAGGCTTTGGGGGAGATATAATCTGATATTAATGACTTATGCTTTGCATGGATTCAATGAAGCTTACGACATGAAAGTTAATGTTTTTGCATAGGGAGTAATTTGCATTGGGATGAGGATATGGCAGGGCCAAATTGCATATGGTAAGGAAGCATACTTGAAATAGTTTCAAATATGACAATCCTCTACTCCATATAAAGCAATATTTCCTTTGAACCGAGCTATTCGTTCAAGATAACTTGTATAATATAGAGACGTGTCGCACGCTTGAATTGTATCCCCGAAGGGATCTTTGCATGTAACCAACGTCTGCAGTCATTCGCTAGCGCTGATTATACCCATGAATCTCGTAAGAGCTAGATATAATCCCGCACAAGCTGGCTCCGACCTTCATATATGCTCTGCCCTGGAGAAAACATGGGGTCGGACCATAAAAGATCCGGGCAGCTGCATGTGGGGTCGATCCAGCCATCAACATTCAGGGGAGCGCACGGCACCACCCGTGTCCTCAACATCGCTGTCAACAAAGCTCAGCAGCTTTGAATCCAATTTCGGATATGCGTTCAATTCATCTACGTATTTCCCCCACCCTGAAAGCCGGAAAAATTCAACGGACTACTCCCCCAATTGGAATCGACGTAAGGCTGTTGATCAACACCGCGGTCCTTCGTCAGGCTTTCACGTGAAACTTTGCTTGTGGCGGCAACCTTCCGGCCTGAGCTGATGTAAGCCACTCAGCGGCAGGGCCTGCACAATGACGATTCTGCACAGGGTTAAGACACTGTCCCGCATTCAGCCTGTGAGACTCTATCTGCGCACCTTGTCGCGGGGTAACGCTTTCTCTTTTTTTCAACAAAGCTCCCAAATCCGGTTCGCATCGGCTCAGCTTAAAATGTCTGCTATAGAGGATGCTAAACGTGCGGCGGCGCGGGAAGCTGTTGCCAACCATTATCCTCAAAATCCCAAATTCGTTGGCATTGGGAGCGGTACGACCATCGTCTACGTTGTTGAGGCCATCAAAGCCCTTGGCATTGACACCTCCTCCACCTCATTCGTGCCCACTGGTTTCCAATCAAATCAACTCATTGTCAATGCAGGGTTGACACCCATTGCCTTTGATGCGCTTCCAGAGGGCGCCGTTCTGGATATTGCGTTTGATGGTTCCGACGAAGTCGACGATGATCTGAACTGTATCAAGGGCGGTGGTGCGTGCTTGTTTCAAGAGAAATTGGTTGCCCTGCAAGCAAAGGAGTTCATTGTTGTTGCTGGTATCCCACTGCGCCCAAGCCTTCCAAATCGATTCATAGGAGCACTGACACGCATGGCGCAGACTACCGAAAACTCCAACCACGACTTTTGACTGCCTGGCCTTCGATACCCATTGAAGTCGCACCTCTCGCCTCACGCAGAGTTATCACGGCCCTCCAAGCCCTTGGAAGCCCAGAACCCAAGCTCCGCCAATCGTTAATTTCCCAAGAAGGCCCTGTGAAGACAGACCAGAGCTTCTTCCTCATCGACGCGCCGTTCCCACAGCTCCTTACTTCCTCGGACATCCAAAGTGGAAAGACTGCTTCTGCGAAGGAAGGTATTTGGGAGGTTGAAACATTAGCGAAGGAGATTAAACAAATTCCAGGTGTACTGGAAGTTGGCTTGTTTTACGGACCTACCGGACCACAGGCCCAGGCTACTGGTGGAGTCGGTGGCCAGAAACCGATCGCTGCATATTTTGGAATGGCCGATGGCTCAGTCAGTGTTAGAAAAGTAAAATAGGCGTTGTGATTACATTTGGGGGGGGGGGTTTCTCACCACAGGGTTTTCCGTAAATACACCTTAGGATATAGATCATGAATAGAAACTGATAAAATTGCACGTTAAGTGTTTACTACCATAAACAGCGTCGATACCATGATGCCTAAGCTGGCTTTGAGTGGTTTCTCAATATCAGACCAGCACATTTGGTAGTACTTTGGCTCGGCCCATAGTTTTATCCCGTCATCCGTTTCTAGTAGAAATATCTTCCCAACTATCTTCATGGCAATAAAAAGCTTCGGATGGAATCGATATGATAATCCATAAAAGTCTGTGGCCCTGTTCGCCTATAGGCAATTACAGTTATCTCAAGTGGCCACGCTATTCCATGAAGAAAAATCAACCCGAAAATCACAGATACCCCCATACCAACGATTGGCTGCCCTCACTGATACGTAAGGTGCCAGTCATCAATGGGAGAGGGACAGCGAGCTATTTTCACAAGAAGGGGCAAAAATAACTGATGTTCCTGCCAACAGGCTACTCGATCCAGGGGGTCTAAAAGTGAACATAGCATGGCTCCGCTACTCTGATATCGACTCCTGCTACTTAAATTTGGGTATCAATCCAGAGTCGTAGATAGTGTCTATTAGGAGCGGCCACATGACTGTCGCAAAGTTGCTGAAGAAAGCGTGCTCATATAATTAACCATAGCCGGCCCTTGCTGCCTGCCATTCTGCCAGGACATGGGTAACTATCTCTTGCCAGTATCCAAAACGACCCTCGTTTTTCCAGTCTCAATTGAAATTTCTATGTGCTTGAATCCGCTTCGATTCAAAATGTCCAGATAGGTCGGCACTAACGGGGTCAAGTGTATGCCGGTTGTGATATAAATAGTAAAATGCGGAGGATGAGTAAGCAGGGGTAACCACCCGCTAAACTTAAATGAAAACAGGGGATTGTGGCGCCTAACCTAATTGGGAACTATAATGTGGGACCGCAACGTGGGCGCTTGGCCCGTGCTTTGGTGATCGTGTTGGGCAGTGTCCGACAAAGCTGTTGTTTGTGTTAGCCTAGAGTTCTCGAACCATGCTGTCGAACTGCATATGATGTATAGAACCTTATATTTATTCACCTACGAGGTATGGTTGGCTCGATAATGAAAGGGAGAGAAAAAAAAAATTTAGTATTTGCGCGGAGTATTATCTGTATTCGTGCTCGCAACTTATTATGGGAACAAGTTTGCCGCGACTATCATATCTAACATCGCGGGCATATCTAATTTTCCCCTTTTCAGTTACTTTTCCCATTTTCGCTGCTTTTGCTACCCTCTGCAGAACCCATATGCACATTTACTTTCCAAAACAGCGTCGAGGGATGCTGTTAACGAAAGGAATAAAAGTCGTGGACCCGCTACTGTTCGCTGGTTGTGTGGGCATTGTAAAATCGTCAAAAAAGATCCGCTCTCTGTCGAATTAAAGGAAATAGTCGGGAGTGCGACGAGACACCATTGGTTCTCCTGCTCTAGGGCAAGGGTCAAATTGTAGGCTATGACGTGTTAAAAGGTTATTATGAGACTTTGCTATTGAGAGAGTGGCATGGAAGGAGTGGCACGTACAAAGTATACTTAAGATGTTCATCAATTTCCATAATAGCCGCCTGGTTTCCGCATCTGTAGCAGTAATTCGGAGCTGGGAAGATCATTAGCAACAGATCAACGACTATGGCAAAGGATCCTCCGTGAAATTACCTGAAAATATGGTTACCACGTTTCTGTCCTGGGACCAATTATAACCCTCCATAACCAGCTGATGAGCTCTCGCGACGAGAGTGAGTCCATTATTATGGTTGAAGGCCTCTGAAATATCTTGACCAAACGTGTAGCCTGCACCGCGTGGAGAGATACCCCAGCCACATCTATCATCCGGGTCACTCCATAGGAGATCGCACATGGGGCCTTCGTGAGGCACTTCCTGTATACGATCCAAAGCTCGGATATTGTCAAGGGTGTCGATTGACGGGCTTAGACCTCCGTGAAGGCAAAAGATTTGGTTATCGATAAGGGCGGTAAGAGGAAGGAAATCGAAGAGGTCGGTAAAGTATTTCCAAACATTCGCATTACCATATTTCCGCAAGCACTCGTCATAAAACCCGTACACCTGAGTAATCTGTCGAGATTCATGATTTCCACGAAGAATTGTGATGCGTTGGGGGTAACGGATTTTCAAGGCAACAAGGAGGGTCACAGTTTCGACGGAATAATAGCCCCGGTCGACGTAGTCACCTTTGACAGATTTAGCAAAGCTCTCAAAAGCCACGCTGGAGAATATAACGCACCCATAAAAAGATAATTTGTGTCGGGATTAGGGCCTCCAATCCGAAAGAGCTCCATAAGATCATGAAATTGGCCATGAATATCTCCACAGACAGTGACCGGACATTTCTATTGCAGAAAAGAAAAATCAACATCATCATCTCCGCTCGGTCCATGGAAGGTCGTCACGCGACAGGGAAACACATACCACTGGCTGAACATTCGACTCCTCTTGTAGGACCTCCTTTGCCTAGAATAAAAACCATAAGCCCCGATTTTACCCAAATATCCGCGACGCGGCAACAGCATACCCTATCGCACAGCCTCTGTACATCATTCTCCGCCAGCTGCTTGCAGCTCATTAAGCTCTCGATCCATCCGTCAAGGGTCGGTATAGACTCAGGGTCGCTCGCCAGAGACAAGTGATGGGGTTCAGGTGTTCGGCCGGAGTCAATCTCCATTTTGGTATCCATTGGCTGATAGAAAGTAGGGTCCGACATGAATCAGAAGCGATCTGAGGGGAAAAAAACGTGTGGGTCAGGTTGGATCTTCGTCGGCAAGTTATGAGAGGAAAACAAAGGAGAATCGTCAACAAGAGAAAAATGGGTATCAAAGAAGACACAGATATTATTTAGAATGGGAATCAATATGAGTAATTGTTGGCGTGGGCAGAGTTGGTGGGCGGGAGATGTTTCAAAAGCAACAGCTATGGAGGGGAGTTGGTTGTCTTCACCCTCTCTTCAGATCTGGAACCAAGAAAGGGTCAGCGTTGTTTGAAGTGGGAGGTTGGCGCCACAGCGACACCACCACCCAGCTGGTCACAGTCAGCCACTCTCTGTTCTGGTGTTACATAATAGATCCTTCAGCTCGCCGTAGGAACCACAACGGAAAATGCCATCACAAGAGCCCTTCGGACATGATGTTGTTACAAATGCCACAATCAAGAATGTATGTGCTCTGTACATGGTTTATCTTTATCCTATTTGTCTGATTTACTACAAGGAGCCAACAAAGATTAGTGAAAAAAAACCTCTAGGACTTATCCTCAACACCAATTCATCTTTCAAACAGCTATTAGTACCCATTCGGCGACATACCGCACACAGGTTCCTGCTCTAAACAGCCGTCAATTATTTTCTCCTCAATGTATTTACCTGGGTTTCGCTTTTTTGCAAATTCAGACACTTCCTCTTCATCTTGGACCTTCTCCCCACCTAAACTTGCAGCGTAGCCGTCCTTCCTTTTCTCTGAATAGTTCCTCACTTTTGAGCTCCCATCCGGCACGTAAAACCTCTGATCAACACGGCCTAAGAGGAACAAATAAACCACGATAGCTTCCAGTCCAAAATTGAAGATGTAAAAGCATGCTTTATGATGATACCACGCCGGGTGGAAGACCGGTCGTGGTGGCATCGCGCTTGTCCCCAGGCGAAACCCTGCGCCCAACGTGAGAAGCACCCCTGCAGTACCTACAATTAGGCACTTCGCGGTCCAACTACCTTTCCCAAAGGATTCAACTGGTTGAGCTCGACCTTTTCGTGGCGCTAGCTGGACGTAGGCAAGTATCGGAAGGGGCAGGAACGAAATAAACGTCAGATAGCTACCGCCGTAAAGCTGCAAGTTGCGGTCTATACGGCGAATGTCGGCGTTGAGGGTGTAGAAACTTTGCACGGTAGCCGTAATAACTATGACGAGAGTTGCCGCGATAATGATATATAGCGCCTTGATGAAGTACGACATAGATCGGGACCATCCAAGCCGAGGATGGCTTGCACGGAGTAGCCGTTGACAGTAGAGTAGGTTCAAGATGAACAAAAGAAGCACGCCTGCCGCCACAAAGACATTGGCAGCGATGCCGAGCCTGACGTTCGTCTGTCGTGTTGCCCAAGCAATTCGCAAGATATTGGCTACTATGCGGGCCATGCAGAAACCGAAGGTTACAGCGGACGGGATGAATTTATGTCCTCGAGAAAGGTTCAGTTTGAAGAGGCGCATATGGCCAACGGCCCCAACAATGAATATGGCTATGAACACAGCGGAAATAGGTACATCCACGGAGACAGTGGGAACACCGCCAACGCCGGCTGCATTAGGAAGATAAGGTGGACCGCGCAACTTCCCAGGAGCCTAAACGCGAGATGAAAAATGTCAGGCCAAGAAAATAAAGTTGGGGAAGAGAGGGAGATGTAGCAAATCGTACTTGTCCTTGGGGTGACTGCGAAGGAGTTAACATCATGCAACTGAATTATCAACAAGTTTCTCATAAAAAGTTCTTAGCACAAAAGAACGTTATAATTGTAATTTATTCTGTAGTCTTATCCCAAGAGGGGAAAAGACGATTTCCGTTTCGCTTCGCTAAAGGGATCACTGCTTCCAGAACTCTTGGGATAGCTGAAGAGGAGTATAGGTAAGGATAGAATCAAGAGCTAAATAGTCTTCTCCGCGTTATATAAAATAACAAAAGAGAAGAAAAATATCAAAATAAATAGCTTTCAATAAAAAGAACTCATCTTTTGCAAGATTCTCAATACAATGTACGGAGTATCTCCAGGCGGTCCGGCCCGGTTTGAATCTTTAACTCGGGAGCAAGAATATATCTTCTCCGTGGGCCAAGCATTTTCAGCTTCGCTATCAATCATGAATTGTTCCAGCCCGAGTTGCGTTTCCAGATATGACTCCGACACCATGCTGCTCCCTTCTCCAACATAGCGACTGGCGTTCTTGACGGTCAGCACGGCCCGCAAATTTTATGGTGGCTTCAGGGATAGATCAAACGGGAGGAAAGCGAGCCTCGAGTGTCGGGATGACTAAGCAAGTGAGCTCCGATATCTTTGCAAGCAGCCAATGAGGATTCCACATTTTGGAACACCATCGGCGTCACGGAGTTTGGGATTGCCGACACCGCCGATGCCATAAAGCACGGACAACGCGCACACGAAACAGCATGACATAACTTGGAGTTCCCTTGAGTGCTGATCGACAGGCAGGATCGAGCCATGATCTAGCAGGATTGTTTCGTTTTCTCAATGGGAGTTTTGAAGCTTCGAAGGACTCTTATGTGGCTCACGGAAACTTTCCAAACTGGGACTAAAGGGATGCGTCGCAGGGCCAGTTGGGAAGCCCGATCTCTCTGATATCTGCGGTGTTAAAAGTGAGGATTATCTGTGGTGAAAGTACTCTGTACATATGTTTACTCAATCCCGGGAGAAGGTCACTTCTCAAAGGCGATATTGTAGCCTCCTGTACTCTCGTCCTTGACAAATTTGAAGTTATCTGTCGATAGTCCGAACGGTTTTAGAATACCATTACCAAGCTTGAATGTCCAGTCAGTTCACATCCTGGCCGCAAATGTGGTTAGGAAACAGGGAAGAGGTTTCAACATACATCTTTCAATTTTCCCATCATATCTCCAATCTCCTTTTCCCTCGCAACATTGATCCTTGCGGGCAGGTCTCTCAGCGTTTTCATTACACCCAGCTCATCGTTCTTCGGCAACACTCTCAGCTCCAACAACTCCTTATAATCTGTCTCCGCTCCCTGCAAGTTTGCCCATCCACCCAGTTCCAGCTTCGCCCTGGCTCTTCTCATCAGTGCTTTGGCGCGGATTCGTTTGACATCTGCTCTCTTCGCGTCGCTTTCGTTCAATTTCCTTAATTGCTCGGCTTCGTCCTCCTCATCACCATCCCCAATTTCTACCACAGCGTTTGCATCATCCCGTGGCTGGGCAGGCTCGTTTGATTTATCTCTTTCGCCTGTAGCTGCAGACGTGGACAAAGAGGGGAGCACTCGGTCCAAACACTCTATACTCGCAGTTGCCGAATCAATAGCTGCCTTCCAGTCTTCAAGCTTCAGGTGACATGCAGCGATGTTGCTTCGTAAAACGGCAACTTCGTAATCAAGGTAGTTCGGGCAAAGGGAGAGAGCGCGATCGTAGGTGACTATGGCGTCGGAATAACAGGCGGAGGAGAAGAGCTTGTTGGCTTCAGACTTTTGGGTATTAGATTGCGAGAGCAGTTGCTACAGATTATTCCCGTCAGCTGTTTGTATAAACGATGGTTTTTATAAGCTTGATTAGTCCCTTGGACTGGGACTGATTTGCCATAACATACAGCTTCTTCATCGCGGGGAAATCGGGCGTCATGGAAAACGTCATTTTCATCATCGTCACTATCTTCATTTGCGACTTGTGGTTTCTTTGCTGAACTCGACATTTTCGCTGTCGGGCGCAAGTCGGTGCAGGTTGTTTGTGCACTCCAGGAACAAAGTTGTTGAGGGAGGGTCTCGGCAGACTTTCCCTTAACTACGGAGTAGTAAATCTGAATTGACTAAAAAAAGGGCCTGGCGGAACTTTAAATTCCCCCACTGGTGCGGGGCCATCTTGTCGAGTTCTTATTTCGTTCCAGGTAGACAATTCAAACAAGAGTCTCATGTCAACCATCACAATGGAATCTCAAGGGTAAGGATGCAGCATTAATTGGGAAAAAAGTTACTTATTTTTCTATCCTAGTTTTGTTCCTGTCTATGAGCTAACTTGTACATATCTTTAGTCTCCCGCCCATTCGGGCCTGTCTATTTGACATGGACGGCCTTCTGATCAATTCAGAGGACCTCTACACCTTGGTCGTGAACAAGATTTTACACGAATACGGCAAACCATCACTACCTTGGTCCATAAAGGCGCAATTGCAAGGTCGGCCTATGCCTGAGGTAACTCTGGATCCCATCCTCTCAAGCCCCGTAGGTACTCGTGTTAACTCATCATGTCATCTAGGCCGCCAATATATTCCATGAATGGGCTGGGCTCCCCATCTCCCATGCTGAATACATTACTAAACTCTCAGCTCTTCAACTCCAACATTTTCCTACCACCGAACCTCTCCCGGGGGCTTTAGACCTTGTGAAAACTCTGGCAAAAACCGCCAACACAAAACATCCAGTACACATTGCCCTCGCAACATCCTCCCACAGTAGGAATTACACGCTTAAAACAGCTCATTTAGACGAACTATTCTCTCAGTTCCCATCTTCTAGAGTTATCCTTGGAGACGACCCTAGAATCGGCCACGGGCGTGGGAAGCCTAGACCCGATATCTATTTGCTAGCCCTAGAAGTCATAAATAAGGAGCTTCGCGAGAGCGGATGTGGAGAGCCTGAGATCAAGCCAGAAGAGTGCCTTGTTTTCGAAGATAGCGTGCCTGGTGTTGAGGCTGGGAGGAGGGCTGGAATGAGAGTTGTTTGGTGTCCGCATGAAGGCCTGCTGAAGGAATACAGCGAAAGGATAGAAGAGGTCCTAGCCGGCTCGACAGGTGAACATAAGGATCTCGATTCCATCGATGGAGTTATTAATGGTGTTATTGGGACTGAGCCATGGAGGGCTGTTGGAGCAGGCAAGCCTGGACTCATCGGAGACGGCTGGGGTCAGCTTCTCCAGAGCTTGGAGGTTTTCCCATACGAGAAATACGGGATTCAGGCTTCTGCAATATAATTCTTGGATTACTTGTATAGATCTAGAGCCCAATACCCAATTCTGTTTAATACCAGTGAAAAAAGCAGAATAGTATGAAATTCTAATCAAGTTGTTCCTCTTAAAGCCATTCTGGGATAGCACAAAGTGTAAGAAACATCATGAAACAAATATAATGCATAAGTAACTTCATAGAAACATCACAAGTCATAACAATCAATCAACTGTTATGACCATGTCATCGCCATCATCATCATTGTCGTCATCAAATCATCAGTCATCAAAGATCATAGCAATCATGAAGCTGTTGTTACAAACACGCTATCATTGTCATCAAAATCATCAGTTCATCAATCATCAAGGATCATCAAAAATCATGCAAAGTTATAAAGGAAATCAGGATCTTCATCTGTAAAAGCAGGAAAAAGTAGTAGCAGTAAGTCAAGACAATGTTAGAAGATCAGCAAAGGTAGGTTCATATGAAGCTCGGAACCTTTTCTTCTTGCACAACACTGCTCCAATACGACTGTGCTTGGTCGTAAACGTCATAAGAAGGCCCAATGTACTGCAAATTCGACCCAAATCTTTCAGTGATGAACTATGTTGCCCGGATTAGGTAGCCTCATGGAATTCCGAATTCGTGTCATCAGAAAGAGCGTTGTAGGAATATGCAGAATGTGAGGTTGCGGATGTCGTTCCGCTTAGGGTCTAGTCGTAGTTGGAACCTGTAGTGGTTCAGCAAATCCAAAGCTTTGAGCGTCTTGCAGGTCACATAAAGTGGGAAAATGATAGTCATGGGGCATTGGAAGCGGAGCTTGTTGCTGAAAACTGGGTTCTGACAGAACGCCGACCTGATTGGCGAACTCAGATACTGAAGCATTGGGGACCTGAATTGCTGGAGTTGGAAAGTTGGAAGAATGAATCCCCTGTTGGTGAATGAGACTTTTTTGAATGTTCGAGGTCGGGACGACTGAGCTGTGATATGTCTGAATATTACATGTTGAAACATGAGGTGTTTGAGCTCCCACAGTTATGAAGTGTGGTGGTTGAATCCCCTGCATTGGGAAAGATCCAGAATGGGCACCAAAAGCATGATTCCCTTGAGCTCTGAGGTTGTTAACCGATGGACTTGAACTTTGCGAGAGGTCGGAGATAGGAGTAGCATAGGCGCTTGGTCTGTAAGTCGCCATTACTCGAGATAGTCCAACGCCGTATTCATTACAATGAGTGGCATGGCTGTTGTCGTTGAACTGAAGAATATCAACATGAGGATCTGCTTTGATAGATGTGCTAAACTGCATAGTGGAACGATTACTTGCTTGCGTATATCCGAAGGCGCTGCTTGTCGAACTCGAAGGAGTCTCCAGTTTCAGACCTGGAAGAGGATTGTTGAGATATGGATCAAGGGGAACGTTTGTAGCAACACCTGTAGAGACATTTGCAAGAGATGGGGTTCTCACGGATGCCCTCTTTTGCCGTTTTACCGGCCGAGAAAGCTCAGGGGGAGTCAGGGGCTCAGTAGCAGAAGAGTTGCTCTTCTTGTGTCGTCCTTTGGGAGCAGGGAGTAAAGCTTTGCCGGTCTCCCTTTCTTCTTTTTCCAACGCGCTTTTGCCAGCCTTGATCACCATCCCCTTCTTCGCATTTAGTCCCTTGTTTTGTTCTACTCTCTGGTTAAGGGTTAGCAACGTCCTGAAGCTGTGGAGACGTGTCTTACATTCGCTTGATATCCGGGGTCGTCGATAAAATTGAGGAAGAAAGGCACATCAATTAGCCGCTTGCATATCGTCTTGCGTTCCTATGTGTTATTCGTTAGAAAATTGAATTCATTATTGGATGACATTTTGCCTACTTTTAGGATCTTGGTAATGATCGCTATCCGTTCTTCAAACGTTGCAATGCTGTCGGGTCGGCTGTTATCCTTGTTGTCCCACAAGTACCGAAGGGGCCCAGTTTCATGACGCTCAACGCATGCCTCCTGAAACAATGTTAAAGGTGGCCCAACATAGAAAATGTTTACCACAAGAGGCCTTACCAAGACATTCCAGCACGAGATTTCCACACGGTGGTGGCTATATCGACCTTCTCTCCAAGGTCTGACCATTCCATCATTGTCCTTTGATTCTGTGAGGCAGTACATCGCTTCCATGAGTTCCCGGACAATCGCTTCACGGCCTTCCTGAGATTGCGGGATAGTGGGATCATTAAGGGGCGTTGGCCACTTTTGTGGTGCATATGCATTCGCCTCGGCGGCAGACTTAAACCTCAGCAGGATTCCAGTTCCTTCTGTGTCTGGGGTATCGGCGACCTGGCCCTCCGTGATAGCCTGTGTGCTGGCGGTGCCTAATGTTGATAAGGTATTATTAGCTTGAGCTATGAAGGTTGCCCAAATTAATGTCATAGGAAGTCTCACTTGTATCCATCAATTCTGTGGCCGGGACATCAACAGCAGTATGGGAGACAGCTTGCGGCCCACTATCACTGGTGTCGGCCTCTATTTTTTGGGTATTCCCGAAACATGACAGAACTTCAGGGTCCTGCACAGTAGGATCTAGAGGCGTTACGGTAGTTGAATGACAAGCCCATGCATCACCAAGTGTTCCACATCCGGAGGAACTAGAGTTATGCAGAAAAGCCCTGTTTTGAGCCGCATCACTGTGCACATACTGCTCGAAGTCCATATAAGATGGCTCAGGGATGCTTTCAAGACTATCACGATGACCTATGTCATCCATAATACCTTTCACAGAACAAATTAGCATCGTTAAATTAAAGTGAAATTTCATTCATATTAACAATACCGTTGTTGTGACCAAATCCCAGGTGTGAACTCAATATTTCGTCAAATGCAACGTCAAAATGCGAATGCTTTGTGTCTGACTCCAGTTGAAAATCCTGCTTGATGCTTGAAGCTTCCTCCACAGTCCTAAATGGATGCACAAGTAAGAATCAGAAAGCGATGCTTATAGTAAAAGGCTCTGACTTACTTATCAAGGGACAGCTGCTCAGGTTTATTGCTGCCATCCAAAAGGTGCATATCAGGTGCTATGAATGCCTGGGTGGGTGAAGCAGACAGATCAAATGTTGCTTGATCCATATCAGTCGAAGGGGTGCAGGTCACAAGCACGGCTAGTGTAAAATCTAGTAAAGTATACCCAGAATCAGCCACTACCTCACCATAATGCTGAGTGGATAGAAAGGCAAGCGACGGCAATATCACATACCAATTCAGACTATGATCCAATACTAGCCGTTGGACACTAGGCCCGCTGAGCGTCAAGAACAATCTGGCGAGATGAGAGGGCTCCTGGAATGCTCAGCAGTCTCCAGAAAACCGAGACAGAGAAAAGTGAACACTGCTTGAAACCTCAAAGCGAAGATCTGGTGACGAGCCCGATATCGGTATGCAACACAGGATACTCCTGGAATTCACTTCTCGAGTAATGCGAGCGCTTCTCACAAAAAAAAATATGTAAATGAATAAAGTTGAAGTCCCTAAACCCTTCCTGCAGTCAATATATCGGTCGATACTTGTGGGACTGTCTCCACCAAGACTCTGCAAAGGTCACTGAGGGGAATCAATCTGGAAGTGTAAGTGATAAGTGTGGATCCTTTGTGAAAAGAGACAGTAGAAGTTGACGAAGCTGATGGGGCAATGGTGATCTGGTAGATATAGAGGATTGTGAGAAAGGAATTGAATAACTGAATCCCGGGGCAAGCAATATAAATGCACCAGCTCAAGACACTAAGCTTGATACGGCGAATAGAGCAATAATATTCACGAGCGATTGAGCAAACAAAGTGACACTTGACTTAAATATGTCACTGACAATAGTCCATGACTTGGAGCATTCATGCCATTTGTAAGATACAATACTGTATGCCTGAAATGCTAGATTGTGAATTCCCGGGATCTGCCGCTGTACATTGCACAGCCACTGGCACTACTAAGAAGCAATGCCCGGTAATCCGAAAGGCCCCTTGTGGTTATAAAAATTCAGAACACAATAGAGGGTAAATCTGGTAGACACTTGCGGCCAATTGGACTCAGGAATTCCACAGGCATCGGCACGGACATGCGCTCTTCGTCCGATATGCGACAAGTGCATAAAAGGAAAATTTTTAAAATATGGCAGAGTCCGATAGGTACAATACAGAGTCAATAGAACCAATAGCCATATTCAGGTGAGAGGACGAAGCAATTTCTAGGGACGTCCCGCCGGGAGTTTCCAGGAAGAGTCGAGACTCGGGAAGCAACGCAAAGGATGAGCTAAATGTGCAAAGGCAGTATCTAGAGCGATATTAGGCCACAAATGGTTGAGCTGTCCATGCTGCTGGCCAGATCTGATCGTAGACCTCCGCTAACATAGATAGTGGCCCACGATAGTATGTAAGTCCCAGAGGGTTTATACCGTAAGGAGTCTCTCTATCTCCACCGTATTTGAATAAACAGGGAGAACATGCTGCATTACGTCCATGGGTATACGAAATGGATGAAGAAATCTATTAAGCAGGGACGGCAAGGATGCTCCGTTCGATCAACCGCGTACCGGTCCTCTAAGACAGATATCACCGGGTGATAAAATCTTTGCAGAAAAATAAGCAGCTTTCTAAAAGTGACGTAGGTAGGTCACAGCTTAAACTTAGCCAAGCCATGTTGGTAGGGTTGAAGGCTCGACCGTCTGCCAGAAGTCTGTACAACGATCTCTACCGAAGGAATAGAAAAAGAAAGAAAAGCCTGAAACAGCCCCTATGTGTAAATTAGGAAAATCGGGGAAGGGAAATATTTCGCATCTCAAGTGAGATGCACGTGGAGCTAGAACCAGATGGCTGCCGTAAATTTTGACGGAGGAAGCCGAGCAGGACCGTGGACTCGATGGGATGTCGTCGATGCGGAGCGCCTGTGATTGGACAACTCGTCTTCTTCAGGGGAAACTTCCGTCATTGGCCAAGCCAAGCCACGCTGGCCCCACCTATTTCAGCCCTACTGACCATGGCAAGCCAGGGATAAGTGCCCAGTGCAGGGGGGCATTCAGGAGACGGATTTCGCGTCCACCGGTTGATGTCTAGAAAACTACAATTCACTCCCGTCAAGATTTCCAGTGTGCCACCAAAAATTTTTCAATTTCCCGTTCCGATCTCCAACCTCGCAATGGGACCATCTGCTAGTCATTTTCACCAGTGATCAATACCCGAATCTGACTGGGTGAACCGATGTACGTTAGGTTAAGCCTCGCCTTAGTTGTTATATCGATTTTGCTGGATGCCACAACTTCCAATGCTAGTGAAGCTAGCGTTTGTCACCGCTTCCAACCTCAATAGTCATCATCGACAGCTCTTGGAAATACGATGGACTGCAATGTTGAGAGAGGTAACCTCTATGTGGGATGTATTAAAGGAGGTGCAAGCCCAACTTAGCGCGATAGGTGCCGAGCTTCGGCTTATGTAGCGGTGAAGATATTATTTAAAAAAAAAGGAAAAGTTATCGGCACTATGCTTCTGATGTGAACCTGTGAAAAATATCCCGACGCTCGTCACGAATGCTATAAGAAATCGTAGAGGGCTACTGTCGAACGATGGTCTTTGCAGCCGTGCGATGCCACCGGCTAGAGTAAGGCCTCGACAATTGGATTCAGCGAGAATGCAATTCGTAAGATTGGTATTTGCAATAATGCAAATATATCTCCGTACAATACGGCATTTCACTAACGGCTGTTGCGAGCAAACAATGTTAGGAGTCATTCGCACCCCAAATCCCATGAATCTGATTTTCATGCTCCAAATAGAGCACAAGAGCCGTTTATTCGCCGGTGGGAATAAGTGCCTTACCGGGGGTAAAGAAGCAGGGAATTATAACTGCCACACTCGAAGAGAGTTGTCCATTTGGTGGCATTCAGGACGGTCCGGAGTAGGGCAATTTAGACCCCTATTTTCGTCAGAATATTCAGGGTATCTTTTTTGGCCCGAGCAAGTAGCCAACACACTTCCCATCGGGTGGAAAACCGCACTTGACACCGGGTCTACAGATTCGCTGTTAGTCTCGGTAAGTTTACAAGATTCATGCGAGCAGGTTTACCGTCGTGAATCCTCTTCTCCCAAGTCGGTTGTACTTCCCCTCCAACAACGGTCGGAGATTCCCACATCCGGATATATCCATCTGTACCGCCGGCCCAAATCTCATGGCTCCCATCAGCACCACTGCTGACAACGTCAATGTTTAGTCGCTGATTTGTCATTGCCTGCCTGCCCTTCAACCAGCCAACCAGCTGGCCAGTAACTCTAATATCATATATCAACATTCCATCGCTTTTCCTTTCTGCCACATATAGATATCTGCCACAAGGACTCCACAAAACTTGAGTAACGCCCTTCCCTCCAACTCGGCGTTCTGCTTCCGTCCCTGCCACACTGAACGTGGCAATAGTATCACCGCTGCCATGGGACGCATAAAGTCCAATATGTCTTGTAAATGTACCGGCTGCAACGATCCCGTCTCCCGAAGGGTTTTCGGCGAGAGTAGATATAATTCCTTTCATCCCAATCCCGCCACCCACCATTTTATTCCGCTTGCTGGGAATTGTGGGCATCCTGGAGACTGGACCATCTTTCCCAGGACGTGATACATCAAATAAGCAAATTAAACTATCGGAGCCCGTCAGAAAGTGCGTCCCAGTCAGAGTCGCTGGATAAAGAATGCTGTGGGGGGTAATAAAGGCCTCTGTTGTAGGCGAAATCAAGCTGTACGACGCGATCAACCCTGGGTATAGTGCCGAGGTTAATCGAATGGGGTGATCTCGAACTGAAGATAGTAGTATTGCTGCTGAGGTGTCCTGAAGCGAAAAAAAAGGATAAATGGACAGTGAGTAGACTGGTTCTTTGGAGCACAGTGTATAATAAGGAGTGATCGAATGTGGCACTTCCTTCTCCTCGAGTAGATCAGGAGGCCTACCTAGTTAGCATTCCCAGTTATCATAAATACATCGATCCCACATACAATACAAATGTTCTAATGTGGTTATCGGCGGAATTCGTCACAATGGTCGTACCGTCAGCAGTCCTACCCTATAACTTAGCCAACTAGAATCCGCGTTCGTACAAACAGCCGAGCCATACCAATCCGCGCTCTTAAAGTAATTGGAGGGAGTGCCTCGCGTCACCCTATGCTCCGGACTCCCAGCCAAAGATTGGCCCGGTAATAAATTCTGGTCAGAAGGGACTGGGGTGTCCCCCGGGACGTTCGTGGATGCAACACATTTCAAATTCCAGGCTTCAGGGCCTTGTTCCACCATTTTCAGTGAATTGACGAGAATATTCCTTAATTGAAGTCGATTTAGCCTCCGACAGCCCGGGACGCTATCCTTATGAATAGAGTGCCATGCACAACTTCTCGAGAGAGTTGATTTTCAATGGAAGCAAATTTCCAGGACGCATTTCTTGTTCATCGAAACCGTGGGGTAACCAGCAACGGACTTGCCCGAAATATGGCTTTTTCACATCAACCTCCTATAGCAATTTCCGTATTTCAAGAAATCCACTGCCTGATCTTGCAATTATTCTCCATCTCCCCTTCAAGTTCCTCCCCGCCAGTTGGATATGAAGCTTCACATTGGAGGTGAATGGACTAAAGGCTTCTTGCCCAATCAAATATGCACACTAGTCCAATACAAGCATAGCCTAAACTCAATCATCTGTGTCCAAAAGCTATACCAAGCCGCCATTCCATATATGGTCTAGCGAGTTTGGGCTTGGCATAAGAGCTCATCTCTCACATCGAAACTGACAAGCCGCAATCGTTTTGTTTATATTCTCAGCGAAGCTACACTCCGTACGCAATTCCCCCGCGACATTCTCTGCGTACGGTAAGCGCACAAGCCCTTCTCGTATTTAATCCTTTGCTTATATTTTGTACCCTTTCCTTGTCATGTTTGGTGCGCGCACTTCAGCCCCGGCCGCCGGTGGCCTGACGGTTAATACCTCAACCGCGAATGCTTTATTGTAAGTGCATTTGTTTTAAATTATCTCACACTTTTTACAATTAGCTATAATGTGCTCTACTCTTTGCTCGGGTATCATTCTATTAATTTAGCTATCCCCAACGTTAGAGGTAGCCGTCAAACAATGGAATACCACGTTCGTGATTCGCAAAAGAATACTGGTTGATACTAACAAGGCTTTTTGTAGTGGAAGCAAGCCAAATCCAACTCCAACGCCCTCTGCGGCCCCTACACAAGCTGGCGGGCTATTCGGTAATTTAGGATCGACACTAGCCACTACAGGTGCCGGCGGAACTCCATTTGGGGGCCTGGGCTCTACACCGGCTGCCGCTTCTACCCCAGGAGGTGGATTATTTAGCACCCAAGGAACCACAAGCACGCCTGCGACGAGCGCTGGAGGATTATTTGGCGGCGCTGGATCATCTACAACTACCCCGGCGGCGCAACCGCAGACAGGAAACCTATTCAGTGGATTAGGAGCTTCATCGAATACACTTGGAACTGGGATAGCACAACTTCAGCAGTCGGGAGGATTGTTTGCTGGGGTTGGAGCCCAGCAAAAACCTGCAACAGGATCTCTATTTGGCCCAATTGCCACTACATCTCAGCCTCAAAGTAAACCGACTTTTGGTTTGGGAGCGGCTTCAACGGTTGGCGGGGGATTACTGTAAGTTTCAGGCAAGCTCTTGCGCCGTGTAGCTAATTTGCCTATCTTTTGGTCTAGAGGCGCATCCACTAGTCAGCCGCAGCAACAGCAACAAGGGCCCACTCTATCCCTTTTTGCGAATCAAAATTCTTCCGCAAAACAGGATCAGAAGTCCGCCGGATCGACCGTCGTGCAAGGGGTTAAAATCGATGTTTCAAATCTTCTTCCAACTACCAAGTTCGAAAGCTGCTCTGACGAGTTGAAGAAGGAAATTGAAGCTATCGACACGTATATCCTTAACCAGATGCATATGTGCAATGAAGTCTCTGATCTTCTGCCAACAATATCTGCCCAAGGATCATTAATCCCGAACGATGTTGAATTTGTACAAGGCAAGCTCGATGCTCTCCAGGAAGCCCTCGCGAACGACGCGAATGGAATTGATCAGGCGCGCAATCTTGTTAAGGAGGATGCCGCAAATGCTAAACTTGCATTCCGCTCAATCGACACCTTGCTCTTGCCTCTGCAATATCAGCCACCCCCAGGTGAGAGGTGGTGGTCTTCGACACAACAACCGCAATCGATGTCAAAGCACTCTTTACGTACAGCCTTCGGGACTCGGCGCGCTACCCTCGCTCTTCCTGAAGACACCGAAGCAGACTCTATCCAAGACGGCCCCAATAACTTGGTGGACTACTTTTCGAAGCGAGGGGACGAAATGAACTCCGTGCTTGAAGAATATCGAAGGAATTTAAAAGAGATCGAAGATCACCTCCATGGTGTCGAGCTCTCGGTTCAGAGGCAAGTGAATGAACTTACGTCCTTCAGGGGCAAAAACGGCGCTCCGCACAAGCCTGCCTCCCAAGTCAGTCAACTTGCGTCTACACTAGGGGATGTTGAAACCGCAATTCTTGGAGTTGCTGGTAGGTTAGGTGGCGTCAAGGAGGAAGTCCAGGAGATTATGCTTGGCCCGCTGGGCGTGCATGGTGGTAAAGCTCCTAATGGGCTGTGATTCTTAGCGTTTTAAATCCACGCGCTTTACGAGCGAGCGCTGTGTCAATAAAATCATGGGTGTTAGCTACGGGGAAAAGGCTATGTATGGAGTTCCGGTGCATGGTGGAACTTGGAGATCTTTTTTCGTACATTTTCCCTTCTTCTTTTTCGATTTCCCCTACACTACCCGTCCAGCAGTTAAGAATATCATATCCCTTTCATGACATATGGTCTCAATATATCCCTCTCTCGTGTGTTAATATCGTTTAGCAAGAACCCCTCCTGTTCCACATTTCATTTCTATACCGCGAGAATGGGCCAGGGACCGCCATCTCCGGTCATTCATACTTCCGAAAGATATCCCATGGATGGCGTTGCACTTGATTGCTTACGGCCCAATTCTCTGCTGCGGGGGCTTCCTTTCCTGCCGTGTCACGTGTTTGGTCTGGCCTTCCGGAGGACACATCGACCGTCCTCCTCCCCTCGATCTCTGGTGCTACCGTCAAGTCACCCTATACAGCCAGGATACACAATGACAGAGCCCCAGATGCCATCGATGCTTGACTATGCGAGGTTCCATGGCATTGCCCGCAATCACCGGGCAATAGACCCCCTTGCTTTTATTTCCCCACCTCTGCCATCGGGATTGAGCGGATCTCTGAAAGATACCAAAGGATGTCCGGTATTAAGTTTAGATCAGTTACGGGAGCCAGTTTACCAAAAGCAAAAGGAAAAGCTAAATATCAGCAAAGCAGGTGCTTTATTTCTAAAATCGGCCATTAGACCAAGCTCTTCAGATTTCAAGCGTTCTCTAGACTGGGATAACCTCCTCCCCGATCCTCGTCAGATAGAAAATATCAAGCAAAATCCTCCCCTCTTACGAACAGATCATGAAAATGATATGCACGTCTTTCGCGACATGCTGTCCCTGGACAGAATGGAGGTGGATCTGCCATTGGAGAAAATCGACGATGAGCACGATGAAGGGCTAAGATTTCCAAGTTATGTTCGTGAACTACCAAATCAAATCCATGATTATATCGCGAATGAGAAACTCGATTGTACACGAGAGGTATTGCTTTTCATGAAAGAGATTAGAACTGGTGCTCCGGTTCGCGGCTCTGATCACACCCAAAGCGAACCGAGGTTTATCAAGGTCAATATCCATCTTCCTAGCGGTCTTGACTCAGCTTCTAGTGACATAAAGAAACAGAAAACAGATTTAGAGCCCGTTACGCCCCCTCTCCTGCCAAGAGATTCCACACCTAATCATTTTAATCCTTCGTCTGCGAGTATGGAAATGGAGCTACTTTCCAGGCCTATAACGCCAGTGATGCCCGAACACACACAAGTCGAGAGAGCACTCGCTATAGATGTGGATGTATTTGTTGGAGAATCATCGGGGTTGCATCGCAGCAGCCAGAATCCGCTAGAGAATTTCCTTGAGGGTAAAAGTGACCAGGACGACTCACCTCTAGTAAATCTACTTTCCCCAAGGAAGAGGATGCTAGATGAGTCCTTTAAGGTCGAGGGCCCCCTCACACCACCATGTTCCATAAAAAGGCGCCGTGCGGAGGAAGAAGGGATGCAGTTGACGGAAATCGTCCAAATGATGCCAATTCTCGAGATCTGTCTTCCAAATGAAGGCGAGATCCTGGGATTGGATGACGTTCTTAAAACCTCCGCGCTTTGTAAAGAGAATATTGAACTGAAACTGGATAAAGAACGAATCCGTGGAATCAACGCAGATACTCGAATCGAAATCCCAAAGATAGTGAATCTGCCCCCTCGCCCTCCTTGGTTGTTAATGGATCCAGCCTGTTGTCAGCAAGACATGATGACAAAACTGCACAAAACCCATGACATGACCAGTCACAGTCAATTATCAGAAAGAGATGAGTGGGATCTTCAGTGGAACCCATTTCCAATGGGTATTTCCCGGATGGCTGTCGAAGAGACAATTGAAGGTCACATAGAGCTCTCCGACTTTCTTGGGCCTCTTGAAGGTGAGGGGAATGGCAGTTGTGAATCCCCAAAATGGCCTTTTCCGCACGGCACATGGCTGGGGGATGATCTTGATGACTATATTCTTGAACCAAGCACTACCATTGAGAGGGATGCGTTATCATTGCATCCCATTAGTGATTTGGTGGTAAGCCCGAATTCGGCTGGGTTGTCGGGCAAAAAGCAAATCGCTTCTTCACATTTCATCCAACACCGTCATGTTACAGGAGATGAAAAGCTTCACAGTCTTATCGATTCGAAAAGTTCTCTCCTTTCGTCCAATTTTTCTACCACGACTCAACTATCGAATTTCATTAATATTCGAGGGAAAACAAAACAAACTAAGCCATCGTCATCTCCATATTTTACCAAAGACGCCGCCAATGTTCTTGAAGCTAGGGAAAATGATAAACCAGATACAAGTGTACTTGTTAGCCATCTGACTTTGCCAGCACCTGAAATTGCCGAACCGCCATTTCCACTTAGTTTCGTCATTTCAAGCGCATTGCTGCGCACGCATAGATCAGTGGTGCAAGTTCTCGAATCTCTTCCTTCCCCTAAAACGCTGATTTTTCGGGATTACCATGCGATGGCGCTCCTATCGGCAAAATTAACGAAAGGAAAGCACGAAAACGCGACTTCATTCAGTTCAGAAACGTCACTGCAGACTCTAAGGCCAGCAAACTGCTACGACGACGATGCGGATATCATCATATCCCCAACGACAGCCATCCTGCTCACAAAATCCCAAGAAACAACCCAACTGCATCTTCCAGGCCACTCACCACTTCGTTCTGGACTTGGAAATATTCTCTCCTCCCCACTTCGGGAACGAATCTTCCGTGTTTGCTCAAGGTATGAGCGACTGTATGTGTTGATAGGCCATGCATTGAATGTAGCACCAACGGGTGAAGAAGCCATCGATGCCATTCGCGCCCTGGAATCATTTTGTTCTTCCCTTGCGCAGTCCTGCAATGTAGTACCGCTTGTGGTACCTGCTGCCGTGGAACATTTGACACAATGGATTATAAATCTCGCGAAGAAGCATGCCATGCCAGTACCCTGGAGCGGGGCGCGTCCAAGCTTGGATGGGCATGCTCATGCAAAGATTCCCTCGGAAGATGCAACTGTATGGGAAATCTTCTTATATAATGCCGGTCTAAACTTGTTCGCTGCACAAGCTGTGCTCACATGGCCCGTCACTTCACTTGCTAAGTTTGAGGAGGATGCTCCTCCCGCGGATATTGCAGCATCTCCTTGTGCTACTCTATCAAGATTTGTCGGTCTGCCCCCTGAGGAAAGAAAACGCATTTACGCACCTCTAATTGGCGAAAGGATTGTATCCAATATCAGCAATCAATTAGACGGTGAATGGTGACCATGGGGGTTGTTGCAAAGACCAGAACCCGCCCAGGAATTCCGGTCACTGCAAAAGGCTCGGAAGATATTCATTCCTCGTTATCACTACGATTCGACTATGAAGATATGATATAGCGCTATATCTATATCCTCAACGGAGGTCCATTTCATCACAATTTGTTCCCATATTGACCAAATTTCCAGACACATCATACATGATCGTTCAACCATCAAAAGGCATAGTTTCAATCAAACATCCACATCGACATCCCATAAATAGGAGGAGTTTCTCAGCGCTATCAATTCTTCGCAGGATTGCAAACGCCACTCAAACTCTTATTTTTCTCGAATTCGAGCTTTGTGTCTCGCGTTTCGAAGGCACAACTTCGCTCCGGGACGTATGCTTGATAACTAATGGAGATGACCGTTGGAATCTTCACCTTTCGTCACCTCATCGCAGTCTGGAGGTATCGGCTGAAGAGTCAGGCAGCGTCTCTTTTGAAGGCCAAAGGATCTCTTTGCCGGAGAGCCTTCCGTCCCTGATGGATGGTTATGACCCGCTCGAGAAATTGAGCTAAGCCGTTCCTGACGTTTGGATACAGCATCCACTTCAGCATTAGGCTCTAATCTTGGTGGGCGTTGTGGTGGAGGCTCGCGAGGATTCCCCCAAACAGGCGGCACTGTTGGATTTTGGCGCGTATCAAGCTGTGAAATGGAATAAGCTCCTTGAATTTTTGAAAAGGCGACTAGGTTTCTCTACCTCGTCTCGGACCACTACTCTGGTGGGAGGATGTTCATGGATGAAGGGAGAAAAACGCGGGACAAAGGCGTCATCGGGCTTGGTAGGTGTAGCCAAATGGCTACCCGCGACCATGTCAATAATGGTCAAGCCAATGGCCCATAGTACGGTGAATCGAGGAAGCATTTTCGCCTGGCTTGAGTGGTGCTTGGTAGAGGCAATGTAGCTGCTTTCCTAGGAATGGGTAAATGTGGGAACTCAGAGAACGCAATGGCTCTGGCAGTCGAAGAAGTTTATAAGATATAAGCGGTAAAACCGGACAATGGAAATGATTGAGAGTGACAAAGCGTACAGAGTGATTCTTGTGCCGTTCTCAGCTCGATTCCTAAAGGTAGCTATTAATACTCTTTCGAGAGCTCGACGACACAGCATGCAAGCATGCATATGTGGAGGCCAAAGACAGCGACTGGAGCACGATCGGGGTGATACAACTGTCAAGCCGCACAAAGAAAGCTTCTCTCATGTTGTTGGTTGTTTGAGGACATACTTAACACCAAGAACCTCCGTAGCAAGTCGGGATCCCTCTATTTTTCGATTCTCGCGACTGGGTAGAGACCCATGCTCAAATGATAGCACCTGGGATCCTGTTCCGTGTTGGTCCCGACCTGCTAGATTTTAGTGTGCTGTAGATGAGCCGCAACCTTGAAGATAGAATGGCAAACGTTGATCCCGATCGCTTGTCGAATTCGGAGTTTCTTATTTCTCATATCACTCATGAGCTGGGACTTGCCTAGTGGTGTGCGAGCATTGACCGGAAATAAATAAAAGGGCATGGTAACCTGAGCGGAAAGATGCATATCGCGGATGGATATACTCCACACTCCGTACGGCGCACATGATGCATGTATTCATTCTCGACGCAGGCCACCATACTCAAGCTTTGACTGAGATGTTACAAGTACTGAAAGCTGTTTCTCACATGAAGTTGTGGCTACGTAGCACAAAGCTTTGCATGGCAGTCGGGTTAATATCGTTATGGCCGGGGTGTTTCTTTGTCCACACCTTTTCTTTTGCCTGCATTGAGATATTCGTCGAGCCTCCAAATATGGATATATTAGAAGCACTCGGTAATTAACGTAGCGGTTTGAAACCCGAAACAAAGGATGATCAGCTAAAAGAGGAGAGATGTGCTTAAGATTGCTTTTCCAAACACCAAATATCTTTTTGTATCTGACGAAAGAGATTCGAAAAAGGCTGATTGAAAACGGGATCTCAATTCGGCATCGAACCTCCTGCGAGAAACGCCTGACTTGACAATTCCCAGAATGAACCTCCAGTACTCCTAAATGCTGTTTGATCTCATCCACATTTCCACATCTGAGCTCTATGACTGAATCTCATTCCATACCTTCGCTCTTTGATCGTTTGTTTTCCCCGCTCAAAATATTATTACATAATGTACAGGTTGAAATCGCTAGATAACACGAGGAACCAACGGGAATTTGGCCTGGGAGGCCATGGGTTACGTAGAGCTCAAAGCTTGCGACACGCTTACTCTTTGATCTTGGCCAAAAGTCTAGTCGCAATGTAAGCATTGAGAAATCATCCTCATCCAGCAAATCAGAAGGACTTACTCATGGTCGCGGAACAATGTGAACTCTTCGTCGCCGACCTTCACGGGGCTTCCACCGTACTACAAGCAAACCAATTAGTCCATGCGAGCATTCCCGACGGATCTATCGTGCGATACTGGATAGGACGGTCACGGACTAGACCAAACTCGGGTATAACATACCTGGGGAATCAAAACTTTGTCGCCAGCAGCAACGCTCATAGTAATTCTATTTCCCTGCTTGTCAATGGCACCGGGACCGACGGCCAAAACACGGGCTTCGTTGAGTTCCTTGACGGAGCTCTCGGGAAGGAAGATGCCGGAAGCGGTCTTAGTCTCAGCCTTTATCCTCTGGACAAGGACACGGTCCAAGAGAGGCATAAGGTTCTTGATGTTGCGAAGAGCCTATTATGATTACGGCGTGAGTTAGAATGGGCTCTTTGACTGGAAGAGAACGAGCTCAATGGGACCGACTCACCATTGTAATATTTGAAAATTGACAGAGAAACGGCAAACAGGTTGTCTGACAAGGGTAGATTGCTGTGGTGAGATCAATTGAAAGGGAATTCGTGAAATCAAGTGTTGACTGAAGCTGGAGGAAGAGCTTCCTCTTTTTCTGCTGAGAAATTTCCAGAAATACTGCCAAGCCCCGTCCGTCCGGACCACGCCAAACACGGTTTAGCCAGCTCTCCCCGGGTTCCTTGTTTAGTCATCAACAGCCTAAGGCCGAGAAGAAAACTCCAGCTCCGCGTAGAAGACAGTAAATACGCTCAGCGGATGTAAGGAATCTATGGTAGATGTAGACCTGGTTGCTTTACCCGAGCACGTAGGCAGTCTGTGTGAAGATTACTTATGAATATTTATGTCTCCTTAATATCTCTCGTACATGAATTCCATAGAAAACGCCACAGAAAACGGAAAAGAAGTCAGGTTCAGCGAAGTACGTATGTAGGTAATTTCCACCCTTAGATCATAAACCATAGCCCTGTGTAGCCGCACAAAGCTTTTACCATCTTCGAATGCCCTTTCCACGCATTCCGCCACCAAATGCCGCTCCACGCTGGTCGTAGCCACCATAGCCCATCTGTTGTTGACCACCAGGCTGTCCGCCATACCCTTGCCCAGGTGGCTGCGCTCCATATCCCGGCTGCGCTGCTTGAGGAGTCCCAGTTCCTGGCTGTCCGCCTCCCAGCATGGCTTGTGCATGTTGCATAAATGTCATAGGGTCCATTGATGAGGGATCTAAACCTTGAGCCATCATGCCGGCGAGCATGCCTTGCATCATATCCGCCGACAGTTCTGGCATCCCAGGCGGCATACCCGGCATTACGTTCTGCGGGCCTGCTCGCTGTGGAGGACCTCCTCCTGGACCCGGGACTCCTGCCGGTGGCGGTTGTGGAGGACCTGGCATCCCAGGCATCCCTCCTGGCGCTAGACCAAGGAACGCCTGCATTTCCTGGAGCTGTTTTTTCTGGTCGCCAACTTCTTTCCGCAGATCCTGCTGCTTCAAGCAGTAGCTTGCCCATGTGAATTCATCAAAGCCATAGTTGAAATAGTCACTTATATCGGAGCCGGGTCGCCGCCAGGGTTTATCGTCTTCTCCGGGGAAATCGTCATCTAGGTCGGTAGATAAAATAGGTTTGGAGGTAGCGGGATGGATAGGATTGGCAGAAACATCAATTGAAGAGGTGTGCTGAGCTGGATACGACGATCCCGGCTTTTGAGGGGCAAGAGGTTTAGTCGCAGCGGGCTGTGACGTGGAAATTTCAGCTTTAGGGAAAGAAGGTGTCGTGGTCTTCGGTATGCTTCCGGAATCACCGAGCGATGGTCGCTGAACTTCGTTTTTAAATGCGCTGGGTTGTTGGGGTTGCCTGTTCCGTGTCAGCCGTCATATCAAGTTGGTGGAGTGAGTGTTGGCTCACGTTGGAGGTGCAGTTACGGGCTCTGGAGCTTCTGTGATGATATTGAAATCATCCTGTAAACGATTAGCATATGGTTCGACTCACAAAACTCCTTACTCACCTCATCTTCTTCCTCCTCTTCTATTTCCTCTTCCCGGTTCTCAATCTCCATTCCGGCATCTCCAGCTGCGTCTGAGGCTCTCTCGTGGCCGGGAATAGTGTCCACAGGGTTGTAAAGATCATCATCATCTTCTTCTATAGTTGCCATTGATACAAACGATTTGGATGCCGATTGGAAAGTGTAGCAAGTAAGGAAAGCTTTTCGAATCCTGGGTTTTGAACGTTGGACCTTGCCTGAATTTGACACTTTATTTATTCCCAAGCAGTTTAACAATCAAAATGAACGGAGATGCCAACGGGTCCAGCAAACATAAAAACAATGGATACAAATAGCCACCGACTTCAATACACTCAACCTAATTGAGTGACCGCGAAAGTTCATGAATGCGGGAATAATCTCGGTGCAGATACTTAATCACGTGATATTGGGGATTGGAATGGATGCTCCAGGTCGCCGCCAACATGCTGCTTCGAGAGCGCGAAGCAGACGTGCAAGCTCCAAGAAGCATCAAACTTATCTATCGAAGTATAATGGCTACACCCTCGGAATCCCAAAGCCGAACTTCAACTCCGCGGTCATTCGCAACCCAAACGGTGTCCGCAGAGGACCTCTTAAAGTCCCAAACAGTCGGATTAGTTAATTTATCAGAGTTCCGTAAACGACGAGCGGATATTCTTGAGCAGAAAGAACGAGAAGCCCATGACAAGTCATTAGGCCGGCTGAGCGTTGGAAACTCAAGGAGTGCCACTCCATCATTTGGGGATGTTACAGATGGGTAAGTTTATTCTTGGAGGCCGTATCTTAGAAAGATCGTAACTGATGGCCAAAGTGCAGTGGTGTGACAGGTCAAAGCGATTCGGCGCAGCCACCACGAAAGAAGAGGAACAAGAAGGCTAAAAGCAAATTATCATTTGACGATGACGAGAACGACGCTGAAACGGAACTTCTGACCAGGGTATCTCCAGTCTCCAGAGATACCCGATCTCCATCCAAAAACACCAGCGACGGAACGCCTCAGCCGCGCATTCGAAAACTGGCACCAAATCCAAATCTAACTATTCCGGCACCCAAAGCCATGACAAAGGCTTCGATTGAAGCCGAAGCTCAGATGCGGGATGTGCTCAGAAAAGAGTTTTTGGTTATTCAAGAGAAAGTGAAAGCTACTGAGATACTCATTCCATTTGTTTTCTATGATGGAACAAATATACCTGCCGGGAAAGTTAAAGTAAAGAAAGGTGATCCAGTATGGCTGTTCCTGGATCGATGTCGTAAAGTTGGGGCAGAATTAGGCGTTGGGGGTGCTGGGGGTGGAGGAAAAGGGCGAAGAGATAATCGCCGAGAATGGGCGAGAGTCGGTGTGGACGATCTGATGTTGGTACGAGGAGATATTATCATACCTCACGTATGTTGAAATCATAAAGTGCATCCTCGCTTTGAATTCAACGAGCTAACTGGCTGCAGCATTACGAGTTTTACTATTTCATCGCGAACCGAGTGCCATCTTTCACGAGTAGTGGGGGGTTGTTGTTCGACTATTCAAACACTGCACCCGCTGAAGACGATCAGGAATCGCCTCTACCCCTTGAAGGAGCGGACATGGACCCCACATTTACGAAGGTCGTCGACCGAAGATGGTTTGAAAGGAATAAACATATATTCCCGGCAAGCCTTTGGCGCGAATTCGAGCCTGGGAAAGAATTTGAAGAGAAAATGCGAGGTGTCAGACGGGATAACCAGGGGAATACGTTCTTTTTCTAATTCAGCTTTACAAAAGCCTAGCCCAAACCTGTCATTACGTTGTTCTTCATCACGGAGACCACATACGCCCCAGAAAGTGTGGGCTCTCCTATCCACCTGTTAGACTTCATTCGGGCGTTCGTGGATTTGTACCCCTGGGATGGTGGGATAAACGGTGCTGTTTGCTTTCCAGCTAACCAGACTAGACTTCGAAGTGTTCTTTTATACCTGAACTTGGGGCACGTATGGCTTGTTCGGCCTCCTGTTCGCATAGCACGTTGGTTTGGCTCGCAAGTTCAGACGAAATGTGCGGCTCTTCCATATTAGGAAGTAGGTAGGTAATCCCGACATCCCACTCAGAGTCACCTCAGCGCATCATTCATGGAATCGCCTTCACTTCTGTGCTCTCGCTGCCCCGGTACCTATTCAGACATTTGCTACCAGCCTTGAACCAACAAGCCCCATTTCTATTATGGCCCAAGCTTTAGATATTTGTCTGCGATGCAACTCGCTACAATGCCGTTCCAGTCTCACTGAAAGAGCCATTGTCACAACTTGTTCGTATGTTTAGCTTTCTTACCCTCTACCCTCAAAACAGCGGATTGTTCTAACCAGTAGCCTGCAACCAGACATATTTTCTGCCTCAAATGCGCGGACCGCCTCGACCTGGCTAGGTCGACAGGCACAGATCGTCAATGCCCGGCTTGCCAAACCAGCCTTCTCAACCCTGACGACGTTGTTTCTACGGTTCTAAACCCGACCGATGATTATAAAACCAGCGTGCTCAGTGGACTGGATCCGAATACTATCATGGAGTGCGCCGGAAGAGCACTAGCATTTTGGGCCTATCAGACAGCACAGGAAATGTATGCTAGGACTAAATCCCTCTTATTTCGGCCTCGTGCTCACAACAAACAGATTCTTTCAAGAATACCTTGGGAAGAACTTGACGGATAAGTATACAGCGTTGAATAGACAGATGGACAAGGTTGTCCACGATGCCAACTCCGAGATAACGAGCCTCCACCAGCGGATTGCAGGTAGCTTATCTCACGTTCTAAATTGAAGACATGGTTCTCATCAAATCGATAGACCTGAAATCAAGCCAACAGCAACTGCAAAAGAAAAATCAGGAGCTAGTGGAACTGTACCGTGATAAGAGCAAAAGGCATGCTCAAATCACAAATCTATATAACATTTTGAAAAGTCGTACCATGCGATCGCAGCTTCAAACAGCGGTTTCCGACACAGTTGCGCATACCCTGCAATCACTTGGGACGTCTGGGAACCAGACGTCTAATGGGTTTGAGCCGTTGATGCCCGTCTCATCAAGCCAACGGCTGGCTCAGTGCAATAATGATTCTTCTACAATTTTCAATAGCAATACAATTGAGCATTTTCACCGGCAGCAGAGAAGCGAAAGCTCGAATAGTCAAATAAATTCGACAATGATGCCGCCACCAACTGGAATACTGCCATCCTTCCGCGAATGTGAGCGTTGCATCCCTTAGTTTGGTTGGTCCGTCCATGCTGACTTTCCTTAAGCCAACCATCCACAAGCGGTTGTGCAACAGTCGCATCGAACTCAGATCCCTCCTCCCTCCCGCTCTATGAACTCTGCTGAAGGCAGAGTTCATCAAGGCCAACGAAAATTCATTTCCCCCGCCCGACCATTCAGCCTACTTCACCGCTCTCCGAATAATTCTGATCCAAATAGAACCCTTCATACCAGCCCAAACAATTATGGGCTTAGTGCAGGCGTCAAAATAGGGCGACCCAACGATTCTAATTTTACAACCGCAGAAGTTCGAAGAGAAGCGTTTAGCCGACCTGTTCTCTAAAAATGTTATTTCCATGGTATACGATCCTCTTTGACTATCCCCACTTCCCATCCCTTGTGCAACTTAACTTAACTTTCGCTTCCTCTGAGTGGCTATCATTTGCAAGAACATGTCCAACATCCTGTATGTGAAGAACCGTTGTCTGGCAGGCTTGAGTGGATATCTAAGAAATGCCAGTAAAAAATAAGCGAAAACTATAAACACGAGTTGTGCTGTTAGGGTGGACACTTGAAGATATTTTTCCTTGTCGCTTTCGAGCGCCTCAGATGCATGGCATCGTTCATTTTTCCAAAGCATAGCAAAGCTCATTCCAGGATTCTTTTGAGAGAGCAAGTGCGCAAGGCAAGCATAACTTTCAGAGAGTAATATCTCTTCTATCCTTCTTTTCACCTTGTCAATGAGATTATCCGGCATTTGATATACTATACATGCTATAATCCTACTGCATGTAAGAGAATATCAAACGTCAAACCCCTAAGGCGAGGTACCTTCGTCATCAGAATTAAGACGCGAAATTACGGCGGTGTCACGAGCTCTTATGGAGTCTATACCCCGTGGGAAAATTCAATATATATGGCTATCAAACGTAAGTTCGGGATGCGGCGAGATATCAGTGTGTATACAATGCCGTTGATATTGTTGATAAACGGAAGTTTCAAGTATCTCGAAGTCTGCGAAGCTGCAACACGACAATGCAGCCATTTGGAAGATACGGAGCAAATAGCGAGATTGTCTTCATGACAGTGCAGTTATATGCGAAATATATGCCCAAGAACATGATACATAAAATCCCCCGACAACCGGAAAGTGAAGTACCCAGGTCACGGTCGTTGCCTGAGAATAGAATCAATTTGGAAACATTCCTAAAATAGTGTCTAGAGCATAGGACGGTGGAGAATCAGAAACCGACTAAGAGAGCGCTTTAGAGAATCAAAAGGCCCTTGGTTCAGCGGCAGAAATGTCCGTACGATATCCGTTTGGCTTTCAAACCGGCCATGGTTCTCGCCCGTTTTAATACCGATACTTATGAAGATTGGGCGTAAGGAGAGGTATAGCGACTGGATTTTCCACCAGGGATGGTTATCGAGACTCCAAAAAGGCAACAATATTGGAGACTAACTAGTTATATAAAACATTCTTTGCACAGTTATCAATATTTCTTACCTATCAATGGTTTGACATGTTTGTTTGGACCGGCACCACACTCTCTCCACTAACTAGTGCTTTAGGACCGCACATGCAAATATAAAAACAGAGTATACAGGGAACTTTGCACAAGAAACCTGAACTGTGCAATTGATATCTCTAAAGAATCAGAATCCCAAAGAAAAAAGTTTGATACTCTCTTAATAGAACTAGGGAAATCCAGGATCTCCATCACACAAAACCGGTCAAGGAAGAAGCTTCAAGTTTGGAAACCTGAGCGCCCTAAATCAGATTAAGACGAAAGAAAGATTGCATGCAATGTGAGAATGTACAATATTTACAAGAGCAAACGCTAAAACAAAGCTGTAACGCCTCGAATGCAACGTATCTTCACTGCGGGTTGCAAGATTTAAAACAAGGGAATCGGCATATATGACGTATTCCTTCATGGAACCCATAATCTCACAAAACCGGCTACGTCCCGTCGGCAGGTGACGCAACTTCCAAAGTTGTTCATTGCAAGGCTGACTCTGCATTCTTCGCAGATGCAAAGGCAGCGACAAGGCCAAGTGATAATCGATCTTGGGGCAGCCTGGCAAACAACACATTGCGGGCCTGAAGGCCCCAAGCCTGTTGCACCAGTCTCCCAAGCCGAGTCACTGTTAGCCGATGACTGCCCGTGGTCGCTTAGCCGTCGCGAGAGGATGAGCTTCTCGAGTATCTCAGCTTCTTCTTCAGCTGAAGGACGTCCTCCCCCGTTTGATGCTTCTGATGCACGTGAAAAGTAGGGGTGGGGAGATCGGCTTGCAGTTAGAACTCGAGCTCTTTCCATCTCTGTTTGCCTCTTAAACTGACTCCGCGTCATGATCCTGCCCTCCTGTCCGGCGAGCAGGTGGGAGGAAAGTATGCGAGCTTCCAACCTGCTTTCACGATCTTTCGGATTTAATAATCGTGCCAGAGAAGCTGTGTCAATCAGGGTATCTGGCGTTGTAGACCTGGGTTCGGGCAAGCTGGGTGGATATGGATCCTCTTGTGTGGGGGTCCTGCGGCCGTGTGAAAGATCCGACTCCCACTCACCATCTGTAGATACCGACACAACACTCGTGCTATCATCCCAATCATCTGATGGGGGGTTATAGTCACCACTTTCGTCCTTTTCGCCCCATGCTCCACCAAGTTTCCACCAGTTGTAAAGCTTCTTTTCAAACTGCGTTTCTTGAGGTTCTCCCCAGGACCCATGGTGCATCATTTCCCTCTTTCGCATTTCTTGCTCCACGTCAAAATCATCGGTTTCGGGAAGTTGGAGCACACCTTCATCTGTAAGTATCCAGAAATCCAACGACCGTTGATGTATTGTCCGCTTTGTGCCCGTGGCCTTGCGTGCTGTGCCGGCCAACTTGATCAACCATTGTGGACGATTTACAATTCCGACGCGCTCCAATAGCCGCACCAAACCGAAGGCAATCCACCCAACTAAGAGGAAGAAAATGCCTTTTAAAAAGGTAAATCCGTGATGAAATCTTGCAGGACCCTGAAATGCGCCAACGCTTCCAAGGCTGGTCTCGTTTTTCACAGATCGAGCACCGCGCCTCCTTTTCTCAAACTTCTTCTCCTGAGAGTATCCAGTCTGCCATTCTGAATTCCCATCCGGGATTTTGAAATCAAGACCGTCATCAGCCTCGAACCGCGGGTTAACTGAAGTTATACCTGATCGTGGATTATTTCCAGATCGAGATGCCAAAATCTCCGCTAATCTGTCTTCTTCTAACCATGTCATCCTTTTCGCGACTACACCCTTTCCTTCGTTCAGGAAAACAGCCTCACTTGCTGCGGTCAGCGACGAATACCCTATCCTCACCAGCGTCGTATAGAAGTCATCGTGGGGATTGAATCTTATGTTTTGAACCTGTGACGAACCCTGCATATTTGCGTGGGCAAGAGCTAGCCTTTCTCGAAACAAGGTTGGGCGAGGTAGATCCGAAGGGAGAGAGAAAGCAGTCAAGAGAAGGGCAAGTAGGTATATTACGCCACAAGTTAAAATGCCAACCAAAATGAGGAGGTGTGGCACAAATCCCACAATGCAAACTGTAGGGAACCTGAGAACTGTAGCATCGTGGCCTAAGATCGACAAATTGAAAACTCCCCACAGGATAGCAGCCATAAAACAAAGGCCCCAAATCGTTGTGTTAATCAATCGATATCGGCTTTGTTTCCCAAAAACGTCAAGGATATTCGATGTCAAGCTATTCGACGTCGAAATGAGGGTAATTAGCAAGAGTTCTGGTGTGACATTCAGTCTTTCTAGGGCTTGGTTTCGAGTAAGGATTTTGGCTGTACCAGAAGCCATGGCGCTTTCAGCCTCGGTGGAACCAGCTGGTTTGATATTGCCAAACAATCCGAGTCCAATGGATTGGGTGAGCATGGTTTCGGCCTCCGCAAAAGCAAGAGAATGTTCAAATACAGACATCCCCGCCTCCGTGGCCACGGGCCTCCCTTGAAGTGCACATGAGAGGGTTTCCACGAAATGGCCCAGGCACAAGCGCAAGAAAGCTGGCCAAAGAAGAGAGAAAGAGCCGTACATGGCTTCCCCTGGTTCCGCTGGTTGCGCCATAGAAACTGCGCTGCATGACGCCCTATCGTCCTCCCATTGTAAGAGAAAAGAGCTTAACTTGTACAGGAAGCCTCCTTCGCCAGCGTAGTCAAAAGTCGACACCGGTTTGGATTTCCCATAACGCAATAAGGCATAATCTGGCGAAGTTTGGCAACGGCATGCTCTCAATAAGGAAACAATTTGAGTAGCAAACAAGATAATTGGGATTATCCGTAAGAGAAGCCTTCGGTTCCACTTTAGAGATAGATGCCGGCGAGTGGAAGCATAGATACTGACGCGATTCAATATGAGAGCCTACCAACCGGGTTAGTGAAATTTTTGTTTCGGCGACAGGCCCACTGGATATTACCTACCACAGCAAAACAACCAATCGACCATTTGCTCGTCATATAGTTGAAAAACCCACTGAATCTCTTCAAGCTATATAGCATCTCCCCAAAGGAAAACCCCGACTCATTAGCAGCTTCCGCTGCTGCCGCCGCCCCCGCAACCCCGTCTGTTCCGGCAATCTCCATTCCGCCAGCAACAGCGTCCACAGCACCACCATCGATAACGCCGCCCAATTCTCCAATTAGATCTGCGCCTCTTTCTATCAATGAACCCACCAGCCTGTCCAGTCCCAATGCTCGAACCACTGAACCAGGTAGTGTAACGAAAAGGAAGAGTTCAACACGGTATATGAAGCGGAGTGAAAGCATAAAGAATTCTTTTGGGATCGAAGGGAGAAGAGCTAGGGGAGACGACGTCGTGTTCGAAAGGCTGGTGTGATCGTAGACTGATGTTGGAAAGGTGCTCCCCGACGAGGGGGACGAAGGAACTGCTGCCGTTAACGTCTCCATTGCGGGATCACTCATAAGCCCAGAAAAATAAGTAGGGGAAAGGTAGGATCGGAATATTAGATGCTTCAGGTCGTAGTGCCCGTAAGCTCATAGAATAGAGAGAAATCAAAGAGAAAGGAAGTGTCAACGATCCTGAAGAGGAAGAGGTTGAAATGGCCGCACCGCTACGTCACGACAAGGGACGATGCCATTGCTCTCAGCGATTGGTCTGCGAGTAAACCCCCCAGAAGGTAAGCCGGATGTGTAGTTTCAAAGTCGATCAGCGAGCGTTCTCGAGGTGAAGGCGAGATCCGACAGAGGAATACACCTTTGTGTCGCTGGGATGGTCGGCATCGGCACGCCAACGCGGACTCGCGCGGCTTACATGCGCCAAGGCCAGCGCTGCCCCGATCTGTTTGCCCTGTTTGCACGGCCTTGTCGGGGAAATTGTTTTGCCGGCATCCCTTCTGCGGATCTCTATGGTTGTTGCTGTGGACTCTGCATGAGCTGGCATTTATAGTAATATAACATTCATCCCTATTGTACAAATCGTATCGAAAATCTCATGTATATAGATGGCGTATCAAGCTTGGAAAACTAAGCCGAGCCCTAAGCACCATGGAAGGAAATTAAGCCCATGTCATTTTAACACCTCCACCTTACATTGTTCAAAATATAGTGTCGCTTTCCGACATGAACGCCAGCCCAAGAACACCGTAACCACAGAGATAGTGACAGTAGTACTAATTGGATTATCATTCTTCCCAACTGAATTTTCTTCTCACTACACGTGGTGCTTCAGTCGACGGTGGAAGCGAGCCATCCGTCCCCTGAACATTCTCGAATATCGGGCTGTGTGTTCCTGTGTTCGAAATATTGATCCGGCTAGAAGGAGGATTTCCGGGTGGCGACACCGACTGAGAGCTAGCCTGAGGGAAAGACCCGCTGAACGAACGATCTGCTGAAGGTGTCAACGGAGAAGGGCCCGTTGTGCTATGGCTGCCGTTAAACGTTGAGGACATAGCCAGCGGGCTGACTAGATATGTTTCATAGTCAACGGTATCCAGTGGAACGTCGGACAACACATATACAGGAGGCCCCGTGCCGGGCGATAAACGCCTGTTTGATGTCACTGTTTCTGCGAAATCTTCAGTATTTCTATGTTCGTAAGCGGGAGGAGCATCGGATCCATTCCGCCTCTTTCTGTTGGCACTGTAGAGAGGGTTCGTCACTTCGGAAGCTTCAAGCTCAGCCGGCACAGAGGAGCCAGGAAGCTCGAATCGACTCACTGAGGAGTCTGCCGGGGCTTCTGCGACGAAATGCTCATCCCCAAGCAGTTCAGATGGAGAAGGTGAATCCGACGAGCGCCAGAACTTCCAATATCGCCGCCTCCGCTTTTGCTGCTGCTCTTTTTCATTGGGCTCCAATAGCAATTCACGCTTTCTCCTGCGAAGGCAGGATGTAGCCACGACACATGCTGCGACAATAACGACAATACTGACGCCTACGCCGATACCAGCTGCGGCGCCTTTCGACAAACGCCTCCGTGAACCGGAAGGTCCTTTATATGAGCTATCTGGCGGGCGAGATATTGCGACTAGGTCCATGTCGATACCACCATCAGAGGGAAACTTGGCTTGAGATATCGAAAAGTTTCGTCGTTCAAAGTCAACGGCTAGATAGACTTCTTGTAGGAATGCTCTTCCTAGAGTGAACCTTTTCGTATCTGATGTTTTTCGGATAGGAAAGTAACGAAGGGCTTGTGAACTGGCGTTAGCATCCAGTTTGGGAAAGGGGTAAGAGAGCTCATGGTCAAATGCAGAGAAGGGAAGGGTGATATCAACAGACTCTCTAGAGCCTGGAAGATCGGAGAGCGTAAATGTGAATGATATGTTGGAATTCGTCACATGGTCGTACTTCGAGGAGTTTGGTCCATACGTATAAAGCTGGAGCGTGTCGTTATATTCTAGGCCTAGCTCTTCAGCAAACGCAGTACAGACATATTCCGGAAACCAAAAGAAAGGAGTAGAAGAATCGATAGTGTAGCGCTCCAGTGCGTCCAGAGGACGGAAGACAAGGTTCGATCCAAGAGGTTTGAGGTTTGTTGAGACTTTGATAGATTTGACCGTCACAACGGGGAGATCGTCTGGAGATAGAGTGAAAGTAACATTGTTCTCAACGAATCGATTTCTGTCAACGCCCCCAAAGGTGAGAGAGGACCGGACACCTTTGAGCCCTGTCACCATTGGTTAGCCAAATGTAAGTCAAGAGCTTGGGTAGAAAACTAACGATAAGATGCACCCGCAGTATACCCGTAGCTATGACTCGGCACCAGGCTTCGATTCTCTACCAGTGTGCTAAGGACCGACAGCTTCTCACTACCGGTAAAAGTCGTCTTCTTAGTTCCCAACCCCAGGGATCCAATCCACCATTCGGTTGTGTTAAGAATGCTAACAACTTGATCCTCTAGATCTAGCTGGTTATCCATGGATATAATATCGAGCCCATAGTCTCCAATGCCTGCGTGTCCCAGTTGAAGGGTATTGCCCAGCTCGTAGAAACCGACTTCATTCCATGTGCTCGACTCGTTCGAAAGAAAGAGGCCGCCGCGTTCTGTACGACATTTCATAGCTGCAACCGGGTTAGTGCCGTCGAGAGGAAGCGTTGCTTAACCAGCGCCGGACTATTTCTATAAAGGTAACATGGGATTCGACATACTCGAGTCACATCCTCCGCGTCCAATCACCCATGTCTCTGAACTACCCGTATTTGGAAGCACATTCATCCATTGCGACGGGGAACCGACTCGGATTGCGACACTATTTCGCGGTCAGGTTCGAATAACGCGGCGTTTGGTTTCGTCTCAGCACTCACGGGCTCCAGTTCCCGTCATACCCAATCCTTTGACGATTGTCAGTCGTTAACGTTTCTGCTCCCACGGCACATTCCGAAACTTACCAATCGGACCCCGAAGGGATGGCCAAGGGAGCCGCCATCTTGTGCGGCGCGAAATAGGCTGAACACGCTAATGTCGAGGCTCGGATAGAATGTTAAGCGCATTGTTGGCGCGATAATTGAGCGGATGACATGGAAACAACATCACCCTCGGGGAGAATGCAATACCGCCGTAGTATAGGATCGGCGCGTCCTAATGGCAGAAACTGTCTCTAGGGAAAAAGGGAACAGTCTCGATGTTGCATTCATAACCAAGGTCCCTTGAGATAAAATGCGGTTGCGTAATAAAGATTTCCAGCCATGCCGAAAAGAAACAAGGTTGGGCCGAATCAGTGATTTTAGCTTCCATGCAGGGGTCACTCGTGAATGCAGAGTTTTGCAGTGGTTGTTTATTACCGAGTATCTCGATTGCTCACCATCGCCAGGGACAAGGGTTTTATGGTCCTTCAAACGTCCCCAATGAAGGGGCGAGCTCCACGGCCGGTTCGTTAGCTCGAACTCTGCTCCTGGCCATCCAGCGAGGCGGAAATTCGTCGCCCACCTGGGCAGAGGTGGTTCCCTGCAACCCAAGGATTTTATCTATGTTGGAATCCTAAACCACAAAAGACGGCCAATGTTGAATTGTTAAACCCATTTCTTTTATGTTATTATACATTATGAATGACCGAATTCAGCCATACGCCCCCGAGAAACTTTCATGGTCAATTTAGTGCGCACGAAAAAGACATGTTCCAACTCCCTTCGGCATGGAAGCCTTTTTCTACGAGTCCTGCCACTTACACATCCCGGAATCCGTCGAACAGCACTCTCTTGGCTATAATCTTGTCAGAAAACCACTCCAATTATGGCTGGGTTCAACCATGAGAATAACTTACTGCAAGGGAAAGCGTTCCAGTCTCCGCCGTCAGGGGTCAAGAAGACCTTGAATACTCCTCCCTCCACTTTACTCTTCATCTCCCCAGGTGGTCCAGGTGCCCTCCGCACGTTGTCCAACCTACCAAATACCCTTAACATGCTGGCAGCCGCTGTCGTTACGAAGGGTCGTCCAAGGCAGGCATGCGGGCCCCACCCGTGGTGGATATAATCCTCTTCAGGGCGGTCGAGTTTGATGGCTTCGGGGTCTGGGAATTTTGATGGATCGGCCCCGGCAGTCATGAAATTCGTGAATATCACGTCTCCTGGCTTATATGATACAGTGCGGCTTCCATCTTGGATTGTTCCGTTCGTGGCGGCTACCCGGAGAACGCCATAGGCGGGGGTCGCCAGTCGGAGCCTATAAGAAAGTGCGCTGGTTGGCATTGTGTATCAAAGAGCATTGGGAGCTGTGAAGTATGGAGTTACCCTTCTAAAGCGTATCTCTTCAGCTTTTCGAAATCCTCAGGCGCGTCGGAGCGCGAGAGCTTTTCGATCGTCTTCCAGTGCGAGTAGTATTTGTCAGACATGTACAAGTCAAACATTTGGGCCCACTGGACGTATTTGTTAGCCTATACCCTTAAAAGGATCAGGGTTATAACATACTCCTTGCGCCTGCGTTGCAACTGATGCAGCTGCTGTTGGGATGATTGTCCATGTCACCTCATCGACGGACTTTCGCCCTCTGGACAGTCGCTCCACCAAGCGGGCCCCATACTCGCTAAGGATCTCGGGTTTAGCGTGTTCTAAATGCTTGAAGAAAAAGAAGCCGCCAGCTTGAACTGCGGCCACAGCCTGCGAAACCACCTTTCCAAGCCGCGCCGAGTCCCTAGCCCCAACCACGCTTCGCTCGAATGACTTCGCCGGGTCAACATCCAGGAAAACGTACGCGAACAAGTGTGCCAAGGAATCATAGAGCTCTTGCTCTGTGAAGCTGTCTGGCCCACCGCTAGCACTTTGCAACGGAATCTGAAAGAAATGCCCGGCGAAGTTTGCATGAACGAGGTTTCCAATCCTAGCTATGTTAGCGTAAAGCATCATTGCCTCTGGGTAAAAGGAGGACTGACTCGCGCACAGCATCCACCTGATAGGTGTTCCCTGCCTTTCGGCCGTGTTTACGGAGGAAATTCAGAGTAACAGCCTCATAAAATTTCCGGACTTCTTCCAAGCCTTTCTTGGGTTCAAATAAGCATTTTGACACGAACTCCCTCTGCTCGGCGTTGGCTTTCGAGTCACCACTAAGCATGTAGTCGTGTTTCGTCATCTCGAAAGTGTGTGGTCCCCCTGCGCAAAAATCAGCTTTACCGTCAAGCAAGCCCAACTCGGTTCAAACTCACAAGGGACCTTAAACCTTGCTTGGTCGTTGAGAACGTCAACCACTCCTTTCCACGTGGAGACGGGTATCGGAGGCATAGTCAGAGAGGGCCTGTCAAAGCTATATTGATTCACAGAACCATGTTTCGTGAAAACTTCACGGTTCTTCTCCGGTGTCGTGAACGGGAAGAGGGCATACACCGAATTCGGACGGTACCAGCTCGGAAATGCGCGCATGAGAAGCTTATACATGACTCCGCCCTTGGCAACATCAAACGATGAGTTGGCAACACTGAAGCTGCAGAACGAATTAGCCCATCTTTCGTGGTGAGAATGTGGCATCACTTACCCAAAACTTGTGAGGCTCTCCGGGCTATAGTCGATCGTATAAAATCGGTCGCCCCTCACCAATGCTACTGCATCGTACAAAATCGCAGTCGAAACGGTGAAGCCAGGGCAAAGGCCAGATCCAGGCATGAAAGGCTTCTTGGCTTCCTCGACGTGGACTCCGGTGTATAACTCGATGTCATCTGGGTGGCCGTACAATGATTCCACTAAACTTGCAATTAATACTCAAGTATGCTGTGTAGGACGCGAAAACTTACAGGTCTCGGCGATGGATGGATCCGAGTTTACGTCCACTGGTTGAATGGTTAAGCAGAAAGTCTATGCTTCCCTTGACCGGAGTTTACTCACAGAATTTCTCGTGTCGCTTCAGCTTGAAAAATGCCCTGAATTCGTTGAGGGTCGCAAGTCCCCATTGCCGTCCCTGTTCGATTCCAAGCATTTCGACCACCTTCATAACGGCTGGTACATTGCGACCACCAAAAGAACCTATTCGATGTTTTATGTCAGCTCCAGTTCCCCTCGATGTTGAGCTGCGAACCTACCAGCGACGGCTTCTGTGCTTTCTTGAAGAAGCTTCACGAGATCGCTGTCCTTAAACATTCCATTGGACTGACGCTTCAGGCCTCCGAACTCCCGCTTCGCAGGGTCTTTGTCTAGCTTTCTCATCCAATTCCAAATCCCTAGGCGGAACTCATTCACACTGATTTTGGCTTTACGAATTTCACGATAGTTAGTATTGCTCGCAGGAGAGGACGAGCAACTTTTGCAAGATTACTCACCTGGATCCTTATCGTTACCAAATACGTCTTTGAAGAATTGATTGGCCCAAGCTTCGTCGTTATTACTTACTGCAGGGTGGAAGCGGTAGATGACGTTAAACTCGGCGCTCACTTGATTACCGACTCCCCTGGGCACACCGGTTGCATCAAAAATGCCCACGGCCAGACGTGGATCCAACTTCCAGTCTGAGTCTTTGTCGTTGTCGTTCAAGTTCAGAATTGCCCTCAGATAGTCATTGAGAATCACGTTGATATAGAGACCACATGTTACCCTATCCACCATTTGATGAGCCTATGGATACGAAAGGACAGTGGATCCTGAACACTCACAGTCGTCCGGTTTGAAACAAATCGTTATCCCGCTTAAGCAAGGCTTTTTCATAGTTTGGACTACCTTCCACAGGCATGGTGAAACGTCCCCGCTCGTTGATGGTCGCCAACTCTCCAACAACGTAGTTGTGGAAGCGATTGAAAGCGACTAGCAAGGCGCACACTCCTGGGGGTTGGCCCAGCACTCGCTCTTCAGCAAATGCGTCGTTCTTGAGCAAGCCGTCCTTGAACTGTCGGACACCTTTCTGCTGCTCCTCATCGTGTCCGTAGAGCGGACCAAGATCGAGATACGAGGAGTTCTTCAAGCGGCTGATGTCCAATTCATCAGTGCGAAAAATGTCTATGGAAATTAACACTGAATTCACAGCTAATGAGTGAGGCAGAGACACCTACCGTGGATAATTATCGTTGCGAAATGGAACAACATGCTCGATATCTTGGTTGGGTGGTCCTTTGAGGGGCCGTTACGCTTCATCAAAGCTATTCAGAGTAAGTGCCATTCATTCTATACTGACAAATTTCATGCAACATACTCTCAAAAATAAGTTCTGGATCAGGAAGATTGGTCATCTTGGGCCGCTGTGGGACTACGCTTCTCGCATAGTGACTTCCTGAAGCCCCAAGATGGGGATACATTATGTTCTAGGTGCAGTCAGAACTGAAGCTTGTCCCAGTGGACGGGAGGGTGCGAACGTACATTGTTTGAACCATCGGCACTACGGTATTTGAACTGGTCACCCAGGTAAGATAGCGGTGGATGCTCCAGGTTGTTCCACAATGTGGTAACAAATTGATCCGTAAGTTTATCCCGGAGCTTCGATCCGTTAGGGAGAGACGCCGCTAGCTGAATGATGTGCTCGATCTATATGATAAGAAAGGCCGTTTATCGGCTGCTCACATCTAAGTAGCGAGTGGTTACTTACAGTATACTGGCGATCGTCGATAATACCACCAGCGGCCATCGTCTCAGCGCCCTCCCTGATAACCTGAATGTCGGATCCAATACGCCCAGTCTGGCTGAAAATGTCAGCCATCGTGCCGCTCAGCACGTTGGCCAAGCCAGACTGAGTGTCTCTGTCGCTCTTGCGCGCGTCCATGGTGCTGTCTCTCGCTCAATCGAGGTGGAACCTGGCGATTGGTGCTATTGATACGAGCAGTGGTGAACCTCCAGTTCTTCTAGAACAAGTGGACGAACTACAGAAGTATGAGGGCAAAGAGCAGAGCGCCATAGTTATATACATCAATCTCAATCGGCCGTCAAGAAAACCACATCCGTAGCTTTCCGGGCTGGTCGGTACCTCTCCTAGTTTCCATCGGACCGTCCGATCTGTGGGTTTTACCGTAGAGAATCTTCCAATATACTACGAATGACGAGAAGCAACTAGGTGCCGTTTTTGGTTAACGGGTTTAACTTAAATGATGAATCAAGATAAACCCGAGTTCCTCATAGCAGCCTTGCTTGGTACGATGCTAGCATGGTCAAGACCAATTGAGGAATGCGTCAGATTGGATCATAGATTGTGCTTTTGGAGCCCATCGGAACAGCATTCAGCACAAATGAAGCTTTGAAGGAGGTTGGTTTAGGTTGATTTGAACGAGCCCCAATCACATGAAAGACGAGAGAACTTGAAACACACTGTTGGATGGTTGACGTAGAGTTACCTCAAAGGTCAGCATCCAAAAACAGCCAAGATCCCAAGGAATTCTGTTCACCATTTAACACCTCCAGCCGTTACACGCCCATGCGTACAGCATTCAGCACAGATGAAGTTTTGAACCAGGTGGGATTGAGTTGACCTCGACTTAGCCCCAAGCACATGAACATTCTTGAACTTGAAATACTGCAGATGTTGGTTGATGTAAACCTAGTGTGAACATCCAAAATAACCAGGATCCCAATGAATTCTGTTCTTCACTGTCTGACAGTCGCAGCCCATTTCAGACTTAGCAATCTGGGAAATCTATGACCTCTTTATCTTTAATCCAGCTCTTTGGATCTCCGAGGAACTCCGTGAACCAAATTGCATGTTCGAAATTGCCATTGACTTCTTTCTTCACATGGACCACGGAGGTGTAAACCCATTCCGTGGAGGCTGATATTAAAAGCCCAAAGATGGCCGGCCACCTTTGATGCAGTAAGCACATGAACCCTTTTGTCTGCGCATCAAAGCTGCCCATTCAAAATGTTTGCTCAGGATTTTCCTGTTGTGTCCGGCCTGCCCAGGTGGCCTCTACTATCTGATCCGGCGAATCTAACCAGGTCGTCAGATTCCCTACCGTCATTTGTCTCGCCTGTAGGGCTTCTCTGGAATGATCTTAAGTTATTCTTTAAAATATGGAAAACGATTCCGGGGATAATCCTACCCCTTCATCCAGCTCGTTCAGGCGAACTAGACGAGCTGTCCTTGACACTCGGGAACATCGGTGATTTGATCTTCCATGCGATTCTCATTGTTTGCCAGCTTGGCTTTCTTCTCTTGATTCCCCTATCCATCTTCCTACCTTTCAATATATTTTTAACCTTTTTTATTGGCTTCCTTGTTGTGAATTATTTCGTTTGCTTGCCATTCAACGGTAAGGAGGGCGCCATATATAGAGCGAGGCCAAAGAACGGTATTCCCATCGCGGGCAGAGGTGAAAAATGGATATTCATAAATGGCGTATCAGTTGGGTATGGGCATTTGTTAGAACCCTCGCTTTTCAATCACGGGAGAACTGATGGCAGAGCAGGCACCGTTGGCTCCAGAACAATCTTCAGCTATTGGCCAACACCTTTCGACGCGAAATTGTTGGAGTCCATAATCCGACGTATGTTTCACCTCAAATCTATCCCCCCGGAAAGAAAAAGAGACGGGGTTTTGATACTAATTTGATTGGATATGCAGGAGCGGAATTATTTTTGATTTGATCCAGTGTCTAATCGAGCGGGATTTCCAATATAATACTCGCGACGTCCGCCAGGCTTATGCAATGGTCAAGGATGAGCTTACAAGGACTACGAATCCAAACGACAAAGTGATACTTATTGTTCATAGTCAAGGTGGCATTGAGGGTGGTATGGTCATCGATTGGCTTCTGGCAGATGTATCAGAGGACAATATGTCTAAGCTCGAAGTCTACACGTTTGGGAATGCTGCAAACCACTTTAACAATCCCATCCGTTCAGGATCAACGGACAAGACCAACCCCGAGACGTATCGGGCTATTAGACATATCGAACATTATGCGAATCACGGGGACTTTGTCGCTAGATTCGGTGTTTTGAATTATGCCAAAAAGGCACCAGGCCAGAAAGAAAACCGGTTTGTGGGTAGGGTGTTTGAACGGCAGGGTAGTGGACATATGTTTTGCCAGCATTATCTCGACACTATGTTCACAATGGATGGTGATAAGGTTGCGGAGGGAAATCCGTTTATGGATTCACCGCTGGAAGTTGACATGGACAATACTGAGTGAGCCTCCAGGTAGCGGGTGTACCCTGCACAGAGCTTGTACTGACTTCCTGCAGAACTATATTCGCGCAAAAGGCACACAAGCGTACGATTAAATCCATGAGTAGGCTCTGGGAGTATAGGAACGGAGGGAAGCCCTCAACCTGATTGCGGTTACGGTGGAAACCCGCTCCGTCCAGAACCAATGTCAATGGTCCTCTCGGGCTTATCCCCATCATCTGGAGTATGCAATAAAAAAGAAAAGAAAAAAAGGCAGATGCAATTGGTGGCTACATAGGTATTTACGGACGTATGGTGTGGTTCAGGAGTTATTCGGCCAATAAAAGTGATCTATCCAAAGGTTGATTGTGGTTATCTATTGAAGCCACAGGCCTTGCACTCCGTAGACAAGTAGTTAAGTTACTTGACATGTAGTACTCCGTATTACTGGCTATTGAAGTGCTTATGTATGGCAGTATTCAAAGATCATTGGCGCCTCTGTTTCACGGGGCATTCTTGCGATGTTTTGCAGTTTCGTCAGGTCGGCCCGTGTGGCTGGCCCGAGCGGTTTTGCGCCCCCAGCCTTGACATTTGCGAGATCATCGTATCCGCAGACCCGAAAACTACATAGCCATCCATAAAAACAGCTGGATTGCGTTTTGCTCTTTGCACGCGAAGTTCTTTGTTGAAGCGTGAAGCCAGCAGCCCTCTACAAGATGAAAGTTTCTTCCTTGCTGATCCCTGCTGCCCCCCAAGATGGAGAGGGTCTTCGCCGGTCCAGCAGGGCCTTTTAAACTTCAGCGTACCAGGATCGTCCATTTTCGCATCTCCTTCGAGGGTCTCACTCCCAAGCTGCCGCCTATCCCTTGAAAAATGGATGACAAGGGCCAGAGATCATCGTCTTCTGCACACTCGCAGCCTCTTTTCATCCGCCCAGCGAGTATGCTCACGGAAGGTTGAAAAGGGTCCCCCTTTTTTAACCCTGGATGATACGCCCTCGTCCGCGTCGCTCGCTCATCGTATGGATCCGGGGACATTGGCTTTGTCGGTTTTCCAATTACTCGCTCCTTCGTGGCCTGCGATGATAGCTTGAGCTTCTACATTCTTTCCGACAATCCGGGGATCTCGTTCGAACACATATCGACATGGCCATTCTGACCCTCGTTACCTTGATTGCTTCCGCTTCTTTTGCGATTGCTTTGCCATGGAGTGCTGACGGTAAGCCTCGAGACGACCGGTTCTCCACGAGAATATGGATACTGATTGCCCTTTTAACGATAGGAGCTCTGCCTCGTAGGAGAAACTCTCCTGGCACTGCCAACTCTACGCTAGTATCGTCGACCGAATCCCCAACACCTTCGTTATCCATAATTCCGCCTGCCAGCGAATCCACATGCTCCGGAAGCGTCTTTCTCTTCGGATCTGCCCCGAAGACAGTCTACACAACCGTCACCCGCACCTACATAGTCACCGGTTTCGAGCTTTTTAAATCTGGGCCCACATATGTCACACCTCTTCCGCCATGCATCACCCACGATTGTGGATCTCAGGGAAATGGCACCTGCGACACACAACCAGTCTTCACTCTACCCACTACACTTATCTCAGTCACAAAGAAAACCACTGTATTCGAAATTCCTAGCTCGGTAAACCCGCCGATGTTTTCTGGCATAGGCAGCCCTGGAGGACCTACACCACCACAAACGACCGGGGCACCTCAGGAGCCGGGTGACTTTATGAGCTGGATTGAGAGTATAGTTGAAGGAATGCGTCCATCCAGTGTACTTCGCGACAGTTCACGAATTGAGCCCAGCAGCGCGCGTCCCGAAATAACACCCCCGCCCAATGGTGGAAGGAAAAATGACGGGAAAGGCGGTACAGATAGAGTTGAACGGTACATTGGGCCTGACGGCAAAACAACATTTATACTCTCTGGAGTTCCGATAACCATCCACGACGACAAAAACACGATGGTCCTCGCCATTCCCCAGACTACTATCACCATGAATGACCATGCATTGCCCATGACTCTGGTTGCTAGCCACTCTATTCAGCCCGTTGCGCTTACCATCAATACATCCGCGGTTATTTGCAACGGGACGACGGTCCGTTTAATACAACCAAGTTCAACAAGAAGCACCGATGACGATGCCACATTGACAGGACACAGTATATCATCAAGCACCCCGTCGGCTGGAACCCGCGGAGGTGGCGCTGGCGGAGAAGGCGAGGAGCTAACGGATGGTCCGTCCACCCGGTCGCCACCCAGTATTAATAGAAACTCGGCCCAACCAACCACGGTCCCATGTGCATTGTTAATTTTATCTTTGATCTCGATAATGGTATTACTGTATGTATCTAAATGACAGTTTTTCGATTTGGTTCTCTGTATATACTTTTGAAATAAAGTCATCCCCACTGAGCAACGGCGCTTTTACTCTTCGGGGGTTGGCATTGATTAAAGTAATTTAATGGAGGATAGAATTTCCTTGAGAATTCAATTTAGGTTGGATATGTAACTAATATCTAGATGGCCCTAGCCAGGAAAACGAGTCTACAATTTATGAATGTGCTGTTACTCCTCCGTGCATATCTTGCAGCGAAGAATCAGGGCTTCGTGGCCTCCAACGCAAGTGGAGGGAAGTACGGAGTACCCAAGCGGCCAATACGGAGAGGCGTATAAAGCGTTGCCGAGTAAGTTGTCACTCTGATATCTCAGGACAATGTCCTTGATAAACCGGGGTAACCCTGCCAAGGAAGCAGGGGAAGATTGAAGAGCATTGTTTATTCCACTAAGATATGTGCCCGTTTTGAACAGAATGATGGCTTGGGTCTGGTAGTGTTACTCTGTACGGAAGTATCTGGCAACGAAACGCGATGTCGCTGTTGGCCCATCTGCTTAGTAAGCTGGATGTCACCTCATCGGTTCCATTGGACAACCTATTTAGCTACAAACTCAAATCGTTGACTTCACTGCTGCTGGAGGTTTTTTTTGAAAACAGACACATCTTTTATACCGAGCACCCATTCAATGATCCTTTGCTGAGGCTCCTACTCTCCTGGAACACCTCTCCAACCATCAATGACCGAGGTAAGCTCCCAATTTAGCCCATATTAGAGTTCAGCTGACTCGATTTGGACGCTTTTCAGTCGAACCGCACGGCCAAAGCAGCTCGTGTCCGTGATAACCAGCGGCGATCCCGCGCAAGACGGAAAGAATACATTCAAGACCTCGAGCAACGGCTGAGAGCATTTGAAAAACTCGGTGTTGAGGCGACCTTAGAAGTTCAAGCCGCCGGGAGAAAGGTCGCGGCGGAAAATGCATTGCTGCGGTCTCTGCTGAGGATTAGAGGTGTTACGGATTTCGAGGTGGAACATTATTTAAGGGCACATCGAATTACACCGGGTTCTGAAATTTCGGTGGCCGCATCCCCATCTCTATCTCAGAGCCCTTCGGATACAATAGCCAGGCAATCAACGGAGGCCTGCCGCTCGAAATCGGCGGATATTTGCCCAAGGCCAGGCGAATTACACTTGGTGAAAGAGGGGAATGGACGTCACCTAGCGCTGCAAGCCCAACCTGCCAGCCAGGATCATCCAAGACACATGTCAGAGCCTGCGGGTCTGGCGAGGCGTGAAGGATGCTGTGCAGAGCAACAGTGCGTAGGTGAACTCGATACAGGCCAAGTCACCTCGTGCGAAACCGCCGCTAGAATCATTACGATGATGCGAGGACATTTAGATCCGCAAGACGCGAGAGTAGAGCTGGGCTGCTCTACTGAAACAAGCTGCATGGTGAAGAATATGACCATTTTTGACTTGCTTGATAGGTGACACATTTGAGTCTGAGGTACCATATGCTACAATATTGTATCACCCGTATTCAATGCTCAATGATAATACAACAACCACACTTCGGTGGTTCCAAAAGCCCCATGGAGTTCTACGTGCAAAGCGATTACTCTTACTTGCCTTCCTTAACCAGGTCTGCACATTTCTCTCCGATCCCGTACGCTGGCATCTGTGTATGGCCCCCATGAAGGAGTGGCATAACACTGCAATCTGCGACACGCAATCCAGAAACGCCCCGGACACGAAGTTTCTCATCCAGGACTGCCATAGGATTTCCAGATTTGCCCATGGCACACGTTCCTGCTGCATGATAGCCTGATGATTTTGTGTCAGTTCCAAGGACACACCAAAAGATTCTTTGGAAGATATAACAGAAGAAACTCACACGTTGTCGCATGCTCTTTGACATATGGCACCCACTCTTCCCTCGTCTTATACGTATGGTGTGTCAGTTCAGGCGGCCACGACCCTTTCACAATATCCTTTGTCCCGGTGCCAGTCATGACAATCTCGTTCGCAAATCGACATGCCTCGGCCAAAACAAGCAAATCTAATGGGTCATCGAGATAATTGCAGTGAACGACCGGGTTTTCTCTTGGATCGCACGAGTTCAGTGTCACCGTGCCACGGGATCTAGGGCCAAATAGTTCTGCGATAATCGAAAATGCATGTTTATTGTCGATAGGGTATTTCGAATACTGCTTTGGACCACCATAACATTCCGTCGTGAAGAATTCGATGTTCGGTTGACTTGGCATCAGGCCCATAGGATCTCGGCCTGGCTCGTGTTTTGCCTGCGTCCAGAGCGGCTCATCTGCGAGACGATCCTCGAGTCGAGCGAAAGCAAAGGCTCCAAAGGGAAAAGTCGACAAGAAACCCGTCTTATGATTCTTCCACAGGGCGTAGCTCTTTTCCTTTGCGTCCCCATGGTAGATAAGATGGTCGTTTGTTAAGCCTTCTTTTTCTGTTTCGTAAAACATGAAGACGATCTATGTATCCACTCAGTTATGGAAATGAAACGCCTTGAACTTGGGAACACTTACAAGATGATCCATAAGATTCTTCCCTACGCCAGGTAAATCAACTTCGCAGCGAATACCATGCTTCTCCAACTCCTCCTTTGGCCCTATTCCTGATCTCATAAGAATTGCAGGACTGCAGTAAGCACCCCCACTGACAATTACTTCTCTATCCGCGTGGAAAATCTGCTGGGTCCCATCAGCAGCAATCGTTACCACGCCTTTCGCGCAGAGAGCACCCTTGTCGTCTTGTTCGAAGAGAATTCTATCGACTATAGTATCGGTCTTGATAGTTAAGTTTTTTCTTTGACAATCCTTCGTCACAAAGTCCGCAGATGTCGATCTCAGGCCTCGATACACCGTCCTCGGCGCATGCCCACATCCATGTGGTGTTTCACCAGTAGTGAACATATCAGCGTCATAGGGCAGGCCCTTAGAAACAAACGAGTCCATAATGCGTTGTGAAATCGGGGCGAGATCATGAGGCTCTATATGCAGAGGCCCACAGGATCCATGACTGCCTTCATTTGCTTGGAACCAAGGTTTTGGGTGAAATGTTTCCGCCTATATTGGGTTTTCAGCGTGCTTCAGAATCTCACATCTAGACAACAGTGGCCAAACCTTCGACATATACTGAAAGAATTCCTCCCCACTCCAGCCTTCGAGTTGCCAGTCGTCATAATCCTGTTTACACCCGCGAACACACAGTGTACCGTTGACACCACTGCAGCCACCCAGGAATTTTCCCCTACTGAGTTTCACTTGTCTGTTGTTCACACCGGGCATTGGCGGAGTTATGATATTCCAATCGGCCTCCGTGTCCAGATTGTTCAGCCACCTTTCACATTGTCAGTTTCGTCTCATGTAAGCTTGTATTATTCGTCCCTACTCACCCGCCAGTCATGTGGACATTCTCCAGGTTCTCATTGTGCTGGCCTGCTTCGACGAGAAGAACCGTGATATTTGGATCTTCGGCTAGACGCCCGGCAACCACACAGCCGGCTGTCCCTCCTCTAAATTGCGCAGTCAGGAGAGATCCGCAGCTTATATGCCCGAAGCAGGACGTTGAAACTCACCCGCATACTATGTAGTCATATGATTTCGGCTCGTTCTGTGTAGACGCCATGGCTTCCCCGATTTAATCTTCAATAAACACGAGAGAGCCAGAGGTACTAGTTAATAGGCGCTGAGCTCTCTTCTCGTGCCAAACCACAGCTTATTTAAAGCCCCAGTGCGGCATAAACGTTCGGGGAGTTCACGTCATTACCCCGCGTCTTGTATGGAGTGGGTCGAAGATGGGGTTTGCACGGGCTCCATACATGGTTATACCGGGGCAATGCATGTCCGTCAGTTTGGAAAATGAGAGATTACCGCCGGATGGTGATGAAAACAGGATTCGGAAATTCAGTGTTTATGTGTATCATTAACCACCATAACATCAAGAAGGCACAGGGGGAGGTTGGCATTGAGTATGTATGATAAAGCTACGCTGCATTTCCCTGGATATCATGTTGGAGGAAAATCGTGGGAGCGTGTCTAACGGACGAAGGGACGAGGAAAATGCAAACAGTGCCCAGAGGTAATTATATACCGTACCTATCAATGCCGGTTTCGCTAAATTCTCGGTTTGGTCTTCATTTATTGTTAGAATCTCGGATACGAAGTCTTAGAGTGCAGTGCGCTTGACGTAGCCGATAAAGCTCGACACAGTGAATACGGTAGGGTCTATCAAGAGTCTGAGATGGTTTCAATGACTGTGCGGGAAACCACCTGGAATTTTCCCGATCCAAAACTGTGTTGGCATGTCCGTTGTTGCTGGCGAGAATATTACGAGGCGTGAAGTCAGCATGAACAGAGTGTCGTGATTATCCACCAGGCCAGCGAGGATGTCGTTTCTTTCATATTCTTGCCTTCTTTGCGGAAGTGCTTCCACTGAAAAATCATTGAGCTTTCTCCCAGTCTCAAAAGGGCCGCCTTTGAATTCAAACGCGCACTAGAACCCCATTCACGCACTCAGTAGGCTTGCTTTTGGGCGTCTTTAACAGGTTACGAAATGCTCGCGAAGTTTGCGGCAGGTGTCGAGCCGTTGAGAATGACTAAGGTCCGCTCATCTTTGATCAAGCAGTTATCCCAGGATATAATCCATGATGAACTCCATGGTATTTTTCCAGGTTGAGCACCTCCTTCTAGGTCCACCGTCCTTAGGAAAGGAATGGTGGTATTCATAGCACGAAGCGCAGAGTGTCTGTTTTGTACACCATGCTCCCCAAGATGAGTGATGATGCGGCCGAAGTTTCGCATAGTCATGAAATATATCAGCGTATAGTTAAAGGATACATTGGATATATAAACATATTCAGGTTGAGGGCAAAGGGTCCAATTTAAGAGATACAAAAAGAGTGCTCTGCAAGGGAAATCAGGAAATGCAATCTTATTAGGTTAGAGCTTGAGTTGCATGTACCCTGTACATAGACACAATGAAAGTGAATACTTGCGCAGTTATCAGTTAACTTCCGGCCAGTTAATATTACATCTAAAAGCCCATTATAATATTAGAGTTGGAAATCACAAGGATGGCATGTTCGGAGAATCATGACATAAACTCTAGCTGCATCCCTGCAGCACCTTATTCTGCCTCATGACAGCCCGAGCTTTGTGGACATCCCATTGATCAATAACCCACAGGCGAAACAGAGGGGTCCTATTGAAGAGAACTGCATGCGCAGAGCACTGGAATATCTGAAAATGTACTTCAGGTATATCGGATGTCCAGGTACAGTTGTATGCTCTTTAAATTGCTTGGGATGTGATAGTTGAGTTCGAAGATAGAAAGGTACACATTCATGTCGACAGTCATGAACACTCTCCAGGTTGTGAAACATTAAGTCACTGAGAACAACCGAAGGAGTGCTTTGCAGTGGATTGCTGTGTTAGAAATATAGGACAAGCTGTAACCTCCATGGCCCTCATGAAATTCAATTTCATCTTTCTATTTCTGTTAGCCTAAATGCTAAAATTAATTAACAGTTGATGGCCGATAATGCCATAAATAATCAGAAGCAAGTAGTTGCAGAAGAAAATGTGAAGTACATGTTTGTCAAGGGACCTGTCGATACGCCTGAGAGACATATCTGATTCTTCGTTTGTGAGAAATCACTATAATGCTGTTGTCGATTGCAACCACTAAATGCACAGTTAGTAAGGAAAAGAGCATATTCAGGAAATTTATTTGGAAGGAAAGAAGTGCATGAAAGTAACCTACCAAGGGCATAGGCAAGAGTAACAGTTGGGACGATCCATCCGCTGTTGAGATAATAGTAAAAGGCACTTTCTCCGTCTTGCTCATCATATAGAGCCATTATAGAGGTCAAGGACAAACCAATGCCAATGGTGGTGGTGGTAATGATTGACAAAACCTCGCCTCTGCTCTTATGGGACTTGGAAAACCAGTGAAGCACAGCCATAAAGATGAGAACAAGTCCTGCAGCGATGAAAAAGAACCGGAACACCAGAAAGAGCTTATCGGTCAATTTGGCCAATTGCTCACTGTCTTTTTGGCTGGTAGATTTCTGGGGAGTCGCGTCAATACCAAAGGAGCGCATGATCCAGATGAAGAGCCGACCAGTAAATTCTGCGATAAGATCTCCCAGCTTTTGAGAATCTGCTTCAAGGTTTTCAATCGCCGTGATATTATTGTAGATGTAATTGAGGTCGGGAACGTCTTGAGTATTTCTGAGCCGCGCTCTGAGGTTGTGAACTATGAGTTTAAGTGTGTCAACTACCTGAGATGTCGTTTCAGACACCTTCGAGGCATTGGAGTGTTTAAACGCTGTCTCGTAGATACCCTTGGCAACACTATAAAGTACGAAAGCACGACTACCCTCAGAAGTGATGAGAATGGACATATGCAGTGGGAAGTGGAAAATAGCCCAAATCTGTTGGCGAATATATCCGAAACGATTTTCGTCGGTTTGGTCGAAATAGATCATGTACATAAAGTACTAGGTCAAATCAGTTAACCACACACATAAAGGGGTGCAGAAGAAGAGGTAACTTCTCTTGACGGTGTTAGCTTACGAGGATGATAATATAGCAAGTGATCAATATAATGGATGACGCCGTAGGATATGATGTCCCCTTAGCGATACTTGTCACCTGGCATAAGGTCAGTCAGGTAGATTAAGCGTCAACGATGCTGGAAGATGACCTACCGCTTTAGTCATTCCAACAGTACCTTCTCCTAGGACAATAAGAGTCATACCTCCGAATCGCTCAACGATCGGAGTCCCTTTGAAACTTAACACTTTCCAGATACTGGATATTGAAACCATGGCTAATGCTTCTATTGCTGGTACGATATACCATCCTAGATATGCGTATCTGCCACGTCGCATCTGCGTAGTAACAGCCAAAGCCAAAAATACCATAGCCGAAGCAAAGAGTGTTCCTGTCGTCATAATCTTTGCGCTAAGAGTCTTCTTATAGCCTCGAATGTACCAAGCCACGATGGCATACTGGAGTACAAGGACCAGCCGGGATACCATGAGGAGAAGGCCCATATTGCGGAAGCGACGTGGGTGGTTAAGAGGATCGGTGGTATCGAAATTAGGCGCGAGAACTGCGAAACCGGTCATGATTCCTAGGTGCATGCCCGTAAATATCCGCGACAAGATCGAATCCGAGTGAAATCTGAGATCGAAGAGCACAGTTTGGAACCAGTAGAACCATAGAATGGTTATGTAACCGATATATGACTTTAAATCTATGGAAGCCCGTAAGCATCAGGATTACTCAACGCTTGGATCAAGGATGAATACTTTGGACCGTGTTAATATCATGGGTTGACGTGAAGCTTCCAAGATTTGCTACGAAAAAAAGGTCGAAGAACAATTCCATCGCCGTAGCTGCGTGGCGCTTCCTGAGAACGGGTTCTTCATGATGCTGGGAACCCTTTGAGGTCGGATTGGGAGCATGTTCGCCTGGTGTACTTTGAAGTGATATCTCCTCTAAAGCTAGTGGATTCGAGGCCGGTGCCAGAGGCTTTCGCCAGTTCTGATCCGTATAATTGGGGTTGAAAATATTCTTCAGCCTCATTTTGAGGCCGTCAACTGGTAGCGTGTTAATGAAGGGTGGGAAAAGAGGTGGATGAAGATGTGAATGAACGAAGTTAAAGGACACAAGACTCAATTCCCACTATGGAAGACTTGTCCATAATAATATAGACAAAGCCAACCAGGGTGAACCAGGATTCAAATGCGGGCTGTTAAGGAGAAGTCTGCCGCGTGGACAACGTAGGTTTGTCACTTTGGCGTCAATGAAAAGTTGTTATGCTGTTTCACACAACAGGAGCATATGCCTTTTGGGCAGCGCTAACAAGAAACGAAGACACGAAGGAGGGCGCTTCAGTACGAAAACCATTATCCAATTCAGCCCTACAAGCAGGCGCCCACACAATGCAAAGGATATTAATACCGCAATCTAGACCCAGCATCAGGAGGTAAATGAAAAAGACAGGATGAAAAGAGTTAAGCTTGTTCCTCATAATCTTCTGAAACAAGCTCACTGCAGAACTACCTTGCTGCACTATTGCCCGAGGGACCACTCTCGATGTACGGAACAGACTCTAGGATTTTATGGCCCCACAGGCAGTGAGTCAAGCGCCTTGTCACGGATATATAGCCGAAAAAAAAAAAAAAATATATCACACCGAAAGCACAAGAAAATCAATATACGGGGTAAAAAGAATCCAAATCCAACGTGTTGCCACCAGACCGGTCATTCCCTGATTGCGTGAATTGTGGCTGTCGTGAACCTGTGGTTGAGGTTGAGGTTGAAGTCAACTTGTCGATCGGCGTCGATCGAGGCTTAACTAGTTAACTTTGGTGGCTGCTGATGACTTTCGTGGCTAGTTAGTTTAGGCCGTGGCTAACACGCTCACTGATGATGTGGCTGGTGTACGCGGTGCACATGCAGAGTAACAGATAAAAGAGCCTTCCAGGCAATAGATGTACAAGGAAGACTGACCAAGTTCCAGAGGAGAATAAGAGCTGAATTGATGTGGGGGCCGCTGAGTCGATTGAAGCCCCTGGCGCTTCATCGATTGTCGTAGTATCTACCAATAATGTCTCCCGTACCGTGGCTATTTGGGGGACATGGTATGCACAGCGTCCAAAGCCGGGGAATGACAGCATGATGCGGGCACAGAAATACTTAGCCGAGCGGATAACAACAAAGGCCATCATCCAATGTATCTACGGGGTACTCTGTACCTTCATGTATATTATTTGGGCCGAGGAGCTTAAAATTGATACCCAGTATGTTCGTTGTCCTTAGTCCTTCACAGTCTAAACATTTTCCCTCGACTCCTAACTCCGTCGAAAACAAAAGTATTATCAAGTGGCACGTATTGTTTTGTCAACACCTTCAAAGCTTCCTGTGCCACGAACCCCCCCGCAAGCGAAGAGATGTTGTGTAACTCTCCTACCCCAGCACGCTGAGTCTCTTGGACCGCGTTGCGGATGTTGGTTTGCGCCTCATCATCCACGCTCCCAGAGTCGTTGGCTTGAAGGGCATTGATAACCTTAGAAACAGCTCGCTGCCAGTTTCCAGGGTCGTCAAGGAACAGGTATGGCGCTGACTGAAACTTACCCTCCTGATACTCTGTAACAAGAATATCGAGAGCTCGAAGGGAGATAAATATCGATATTGGAGACTCTATATTTCCGACATTATTCCGGATAACCTTCACTGTTTCTTGCTCGGGTTCATCCACGTTTAGGAGGGGAAGATTACGCCCCTTAATAACCTTGATATGTGCCGCGTTCTTGCAAAATACTTCAATTTCCTTTTCCGAAATCGACGAGACTATTCGATCAGCACCCAGCTGGGCCTCAGCCGCACGGACGCCCGCGACTACCTCAGCTAGATCCTGTCGCGCCTTTGACTTGTATATGTTTTGTAGCGATATGTAGTCTGCAGACTGAGCCTTCATGTCTGGTAGCGACCCGGGGAGAGGCAATACACCATGTCGTTTATAAAAAGCCTTAACAGCATGAGCAATGACCCAGAAATTATCAGAGGCTGCAGTGAGGTTGCAACACTGATCCATTTCAAATATATCTCGTAAACTGCTGCGTAAAGTCCAAGGGCTAATGCTTTTCAAGACTGCAGCCGCCGCTTCATCAAAGTTCTCTTCCCCTCCTTCGGAGTTGCCCGTCCTCGCTCCGCCGCGAACCATTTCTCTAAACTCGGTTTTCTCGTTATAGGTTTGCGGGTATATTCCACCGTGGCTCTTTTTCCATTTTTCGAGGTAGTGTAGTAGAAGTAATAGATACGGCACGTGTCCGTGTTGGTGGTCGTCAAGGGCGTCTAGATTTTCCACCTTTTTCGCAACAGCGAGTAACTCTGGCCATGGATTTGTGAGTCGAAGATCCTGCATGGAGTCTGGGTCTGGATGTGTTTCAACGACCGGAAATACGGACGGCAGTTGTAGGGAAAATGAGCAATAGAAACCAACCGAGTGGGTGTATATTAAGGGAATGGAAAGCTCGTGTGTTCGTTGGGAGATGATCTGTAGAGTAGATTGTCTCATCGGACCTGTAACAATGACAAGACTATAGGATGCTAGAAAGCGAGGTTGTTGTCCTAAAATTTCTAAGATAGGCTATAGAACCGCTTAGCCCCTTATCATCGACGTAGGGAAAATTAACATATCGCTTACCTGTGACGACCATATCCCCTCAACGTCCGGATTCAGCTCCCGCAAGTAGTTGCATGTCTCCACCGCTCTTGACTTTCCCAGGCTATCCTCGCTCAAGAAGAAATTCACGCCTAAATCAGCTTCCGTCACTGTCGCCGGGTCAACGATCGTGTACCCACCGATTCCCGGCAGAACTAGGTTCTTGAGCGTTTCGACACCGACGACTCCTGTGAGAGGTGCATTGTCGCTATCCACGGGGCCGTCTGAGTTAACAAGGAGAACCCGAGAATCTTCGAGAGCCTGTTGACCGCTAGCTGCCCAGAGTCGGAGCTGGCGGTCATACTTCCTCTCTTTTGACGTTGGGCCGGCGAAAGTAGACGCAAATGACTGTGTCATTGATGAACTCTTGTGAGGCTGCAGCGCGTTTAATGGTTTGTAAAGTGAAGCCGGCCCTGTTGAGTCTGTCAAGCAGCCAGTGAATCGTTGTTGACAACTTGGATCTCACAACGGTGACATCGTTGAGCCAAGGCGGCGGGGGGGAGGATATCTCCTGGCTAACTAACTACGGAGCACCCCACAGACAAATGGCTTAGTCAGCAGTTCAGCTGAGTTGGAACTTATCGATAAGAGGTCCTCCACACAAAGAGCAGCGTTTTCGGCAGTGAATCAAGCCTATGTAAGATGTGAAAGCAAACTATACTTTTGAATATGTTTTTCATCGCAGGACATAGTAGTCAAGCTGGGGTTTCACATCGCATATTCCACAATTTCATCGTAGAAGTATTATCTTCCAAGTATCATTAGTTAGAAATCATAATCTTAATAGACACTGGGGCTCTTGAAGCTCAACAGTTCAACTCTTATTTCGCCCCCTTTCCTTTGGCCTCGGTCTCACCGAGCTCCCTGATGAATACTTTAACTGTGCCCTCCGGAATATCGTCCATGCCATCTTCAAATCCCGGGCTAACCCCAATTGCCAAGTACTTTCCATTTGAACTGAACGCCAGCGCGGCTACACTGCTCGGGTATTTCTGATATTGCCGGATTCTTCTCTTCGCAACTCCATCCCACAACGCAACCACTCCATCACCACCTCCAGACGCGAAAGTGCCGAAAATTGGATGAAACGCTAATGCATTCACGGGATACACCACGTCCACACCATCCACATTCTGCCGATGGCATTTAAACGCGTACTTCCGATCTTGTGATTCTGGCGATGGATCGAACCATTCCACCGCCACGCGTCCTTCAATACTGGAGGATGCATATCCGGCATCATTAGGCATGCATGCTACAGCTCGTGTCATGAATTTAAGACTGCTCTCGCGGCGTTGCCAGGGCTCGATGTCGAGTTTGTTTGGTGAAGGGGCGGCTCCCGATTCTTCAGTGAATGTCGCTAGAGCATGAAGATCATAGATATGGAGAGTGCGAGACGCCATTGCGACCACCAATCTTGTGGGCGTGATGGAGAGAGAGAACGGCTTTGAAGGAAGTGGAATGGTGGCGGGAGTGATAGCGACGTCGGTGCCAGTTCGGTGGATGTGTAAAGTTGAGTCCCATGATGCAGAGATTAAGATCTTATGTTCTTTGCTGTAGACAACGGATTTCACTCCTGCCTCATGTGAGCTGAGGACCGTTTGCGAAGACGAAGACACGTTGATCCTGTAAGCTTTGGATTAGTCAAGGAAGACAAATAGCTCCCGAATCAAAAGGCCGCGGACTTGCCTCTTAACATCCCAATCTAGACCACCTGTATATAGCTCATCTTCATCCTCCCCAAAGCAAACGTCCAAAACCGGTGCTCGATGTTCAAACTTCGCAATAAGCGTCCCTTCACCAAGCTGCCCTGTTTTAGGATCCCGGAGATCATACAGATATACATTGTTGTCCCACGACGATACAGCAAATCGTGTCGACTCTGGGGCTGGGGAAAACTTGACGGCGGAAATCGCGTCCGTCGGGGATTCTGGGACAGCGAATTGGTCTATTGCGAGCGTTTAGCATGCGCCGCGAAAATATTTTGGGATGATTAATTGCGAAAGTACCAGAGGGCATAACGTACTTGAAGCCATATGAACCGCGATACTACGATAGATTTAAAAAATAATGAAGCAATTGTGCAAATCGATTTTAGCTTGAAGGGTGGTCCTGTTCACCTGAGTTGCCTGCTCATCGAGCGGCTGGTTTGTCCCATTTTCCACGCAGCTGTTTTCTGCCACCTTCCACCGCCCTCGTGCCCCCGTTCGCTTTTCTTACATCATTGTCAGCGCGCAGGTTCAAAACATGCCCCTCCGCCAACCGCGCTTCGAAGCTGCTGTTTAGCCAAAAAAATGCCATTTGCACAACTGGTTATCGGGCCTCCAGGCTCCGGTAAATCTACTTATTGCAATGGTATGCAGCAATTCATGTCCGCAATCGGGAGAAAATGTTCTGTCGTGAACCTTGACCCGGCCAACGATCACACTTCTTATACTCCGGCGCTGGACGTCCGCGACCTAGTCACACTTGAAGAGATCATGGCAGAAGACACGCTCGGTCCAAACGGGGGCATATTATATGCGATGGAAGAGATAGAGGGGAATTTTGAGTGGTTGAAAGATGGGTTGGAGAAGCTAGGAGGTACGTCTAGCTCAAATTTCCTCAACAAGTTTCCGAAATCGCTGAAAAATGATTATTTTGCAGATGACTATGTTTTATTCGATTGTCCCGGCCAGGTCGAAATCTTTACGCATCACTCTTCGCTTCGAAATGTTTTTTTTCAGATTCAGAAGCTTGGGTATAGAGTCTGCAATGACCCTTTCTCCCGATGTCCAATCACTCCAATGCTGCCTGAACTAACCTCTGCATACAGCTAGTGGTAATTCACCTCGTCGACTCGTATAATCTAACCCTCCCATCAATGTACATTTCGGCATTGTTGCTATGCCTTCGGGCAATGCTGCAAATGGATCTGCCACATCTAAACGTCCTCACCAAGATCGACAACCTCTCGAATTACCCCCCTCTCCCGTTTAACCTAGACTTCTATACCGAAGTCCAAGATCTTTCATATCTGATTCCTCATTTGAAAGAGGAAGCTCCGTTTTTAGCCAGCTCCAAGTTTGATGCTTTGAACAAAGCGATCGTCGAGGTGGTACAGGACTTCGGGCTCGTTGCTTTTGAGACACTCGCGGTGGAAGATAAGCAGAGCATGATGAGTCTCCTGCAGGCAATCGATAGGGCGGGTGGATATGCGTTCGGTACGGCCGAAGGAGCTAATGATACAGTGTGGCAGGTGGCTGTCAGGGAAGGTATGGGAACAATGGATATCAAAGATGTACAAGAAAGATGGCTGGATAACAAAGAGGACTGGGACGAGTTTGAAAGGAGAAATTGGGAAGAAGCAAAAGCACGGAACGAGGCAACCAAGCAAATACCTGGCGGAGAAGATGATGACTTTGACATGGATCTCAAAGCACATGTACCGGCAGACAGTGGAGTCAACATCATAAGAAAATAAAACCATGTGATAAGGACAAAGGCAAAATTCCACAGACGGAATTAGGGACTTACCTCTTGTAGAGATTCACAATAGCCTGGTGACTTATCCATCGCTATCTTCATCCTCATCCTCATCACTTTCGACACCTATTCCCATCCGATGTTCTTTGAGGGCGCCGCTTGGAAACATCTCTTGGAGAACATCCTTCCCTTCTTCCTCCCATTTCTTCGATAACCTCACAACCTCCAACCTCGCTCTCCGAATTGCTTCTTGCTCCGCCTTTTTCATCGTCCCAGATACCCGCACGACCCGGAAGACACAATCCAGCTGCTGTTTTTGGGACTTAAAAGAGCTATCTCTTGGAAACGCAGATTTGCCAATTCCGGGCCTTTTCTCTTTTGGTTCTGGTAACCGTGACATATATGTAAGCGCCGCCCAAACGAGCCGGTAGCTAGCACGCGGGCACCGGATTATCGCTGTGGATGTGGCCGGCGAGAGATATTTAACTAAGATGTTCATAAAATTAATAAAAAATTGGCCACGCGTGACAAAATAAGATTGAAAGAGATTGAAAGACGCATCTAATACCACGACTAGAGTATGGAAGAAAATAGAAAAACAGGTAACCCACCGCTAACACTCCCTGCACCCGCTCCTCCAAGTCTTCCCATGCCCCAGTCTCCAAACATATCACTTACCGTCTCCCTTATCATTCTGGCCAACAGTTGCGCTGTCAGGCAGTCAGGTGTAGGCCGGCAGACCTGTAAATGGAATTGGGTGTCTGGCGCATCCTTCCCCAGAGCTCGGGATTTGGCACCGGGCACAGCACTGGAGGACGTCGGGGGATAGAGGATGTTGACGAGGAGGTATCTGTGTTTCAGCCGCACCATAATTATACGGGGTTGTTGGCTCGATTCAGTCCTCAGTACCCGCACCTATTCCAAGGCTTGCCAGTTGATGATGAGTGCAGTGCGAATTTTGAATCCTTGAGGTTTTAGGAGGTAAAGTTCTAGCGGCTGCTTTTCGTTATCACTTTTGAGGTGTGCGGTTAGCTCGATGCTGCGCTGGGGATTTCCATCCCATGGTCCAATGATGGCCCGTGCGCAAGTTAATAGGGCCAAGCAAGCTCGCCGGGAGGTCACAGGGAACTCTCCTGCTTGTGAGGCAGTTAATTTGATGAGGAGGATCCTATCAGAGGAGCTCCAATCTCAAAGAAAAGACAAGAGGAAAATGGAAGTTTACTTTTTTTTCCCTCTTCTTTAGGGGTTTGGTTGATCTGCAACCTAAACAAAGAGCATTTTGTTGTCAGCGGACATGGCGGTGCCAGGATGGGAATTGAATTCACAAAACCAAGTGTGCAGGTTATGATTCATCTTTTCACAATAATATTTAACCTCAGCATGTTGCTATTCACATCTACCTCTTGCAATTAACTATGTCCTTGAGTAACAGGAATAGGGAGTACTCTTGCCCCATACCCTGTACGGAGTACACCCAAACTCTTTGCTCAATACAAGGCAACGTGCAGAAAAGATTCAGCATACTCCGGCACTTACGCAGGAGAGTTCCAATTTTAGCTCTTCAATGAATTTTATATGAGACAAACTGCAAACAAAGGCTGACGAGTTGTCTTCGCTGCTAGTGTTGGATACCGCAGAGCGAAAGAGAGGTGCAAACCTGAGTGACGCATGTCAACGTCTACCATGTCATTGGTGTGCATATTTTGTCCTCCGCCTAGCAAAGTCTTAGACAAGTGAATGCTCGGCGAGCAAGGTCCGGTATGTTTGTACCAGGATGACACATCCTCGAAGACTGGTTTGTGGCTGTGGTGTTTCAATCGTGGCCCAAGTACTCTGTACACGCAGTCACTTTTGATGGAAGAGATGGAATTGCCGACAGAGAGTTGTGCCAGAACACACACTTCATTCAGCAAGCCGCTCCGGTAAATTCGTTTATGCTCGGGCGGGAGAATTTACAAATGTGTCAAAGCCCGAAGACCAGCCCCCGTTTTAACTCCACCTGAAGTCCCAGGGTCTTCGTTAAGAAATTGACCAAAATAACCTACCGCATTGTTGGATTAACTAAATGGCTGCGGATCCCAGGCGACTTGCTAGGGGGAACGGGACTGATCGGAATTCAACGCCACACAAGGTGGACGGCAATTCGAGAGATGAGGTTGCAAGGTTCCGTTGGACCCTTGCTGGATCCAAGACTAAAGAACAGCGTCGGTCCGGCCACCATCCTATTCAAGATCCTAACGGTAGATCCTTGCCGCGGAGAGCTGGGCCCAAGCACCCAATGTGCCTGAATTCTCCTGATCATCTACTCAAGGACGTACAGATCCAACTTTTCTTAGCTCGCAAGGTGGGTAGTTATTCTCATTTGACAGTTGATATATATGCAATATCGCCCACATTTAAAGGCGGTTTGTCCCAACTTGTTGCATCTAGATGAACAACTACCTTGCTCTATCATGACCAAAATTTTAAATCACCACAAGGATCGTCCTTCCACTTGCTATACTTTGCGTGTACGAGCGATCCTAACCCTTGGCCTTTAATTATCCATAGGGCAGAGTCTCGACCATGTCACAGCTCAGTCCTAGGCTCGAAGATCACAATTTCGGAGAAAATTCCATCCAGGGTGTTTTCAGAAGAGAGGATCGCCAAGGCGTATGTTGAGGATGCCGTGGAACTCCCGGTGTAGTCACATTGGGCTCAACACAAGCAAAAAGCTGCAGCGTAACGTACTCCTCTCGGGCCCAGTGGAGGCAAATTTTCTGCGTCTGCTAACCTCAATGACAACATCGTGCCTCCGTGATGGAAGACCTTCGTCGAGACGGCCAAAACTTGCCCTTTGGCATTTTGAGAGTGGATCATAACCTTGCCCCGGTTTGACTCTCCCCGCGCCGTGTCTGGCTCCGTTCATAATCAAAGAGGGGTCAAATAAACGCGCAATACTCCGAAGAGGCATGGAATGGCAAAAGTTTTCTGCCTAGAAAATACATTCCTTGGGCTGCGGCGCAAGGATTTAAGAGTAAGCGGAAAAATAAACAAAACTAATCCATGATCAAAACTCCGTTTCTCTCCGAACTTTTCTCCAGTAATGTCCAGTGAAGGGGCAGTGAGACTCTTATGGCCGATACGTTCCAGTCTCCGCTTTGTCGTACATATCGTCAATTGAAGACCACAGAGAAGTCGACTCCGTGGCTGGCAGCCCTGGAAACCCTACCATGTCAAGAGCTTCAGTTGCGTTGCGGCACTCAGTACTCATTCAGTCTCACTTTATCCTCGTTCTTTGCTTATCATCCTTGGTCATCTTATGATCTTCCCCACCATCGACGACCGAGCTTTTCAATACCAACTCGCCACCCCCTCTTTTGCAAGCATTTAAACGACCTGCACAGCAACATGAGACGAGGACGCTTCTAGATTTGTTTTCATGCAGACAATGGTTCAGTAGCTATTGTGGAATTTTCAAAGTGCTAAGTGCACCCGTTCCTGTATGATTTGCATTGGGACTGAGTTGAATACCCGGGTAGCCCTCTTACAATGACAACAGTTAATTTTTTCCCCTGTTGACGAACATATATTTGTACTTGCCCTGTATCTACAGTGCAAAGGGCTAAGGTGCTCTTCGAAATCCAAACTTCTTCGGTATTTGGGGGATCAAGGATCGTACAGCATATTCCAAAATGACATGAATGAGTCGCTTATCCTCAGTCCCACAGTATACATGCTCTGATCCGGGCTGACTTTGTGTAGTAGGAAGGGTGGATTAGAAACGTGATAACGATCAGTTTCCGAGCCATTGCAAGTAGAGAATACCAGGAACATCGATCATTTTAGATCACCTATTAAATCTCCCCAGAGGTTAGGGTATCTTTTGTTATCAACAAGCTCATTTTACAGTTGAGCTTTCTCGTGCATTGCTTGTTGAAAAGCTCCCTCTTTGTGCTATAGCTGCTGCCCATCCTGAAGGAGAAGTATTCTTTCGGGGAGATCAAAGTTAGGCTCGTGGGATCCTAAGGATCCCAGGGAGTTCCACTCAAATTTTCTGGTTGAGTGGGTTAGCAATGAGGTGCCCACCGGAGTGTATCAAAGGGATCCGGTCAAACATGAACATCCACGGTTCAACATATATGATTGTCAGATCCCAAGGAATCCCCACATCGCCGCATGGTTGGTAATAACTGATCCAGGGGCCTTTGTGGGCTGAGCGCGCAGCGGAACCTGGGCCGGTGATTTGATTCAAGTGATGCTGTATTGCCGATATTCAAAGGAAAAGTACGGAGTATATCCATCCATCTTTCAAGGGAGGTCGCAAGCTGTACCTATAGCAGAGTCCACCTCTAATAGGTGGCCAGGGTGAAGGTGAAAGTGAAGGCGAAGAAATGATCCGTGTTGAAAAGCCTGTCGAACAACCCAAGCTTGAGGACGTAAATCCCATAGAGGCCGCTGCAATTAAAAGAAGCCTCGACGATTTACCTGAAGATGATGAGGAAAAGGGAGGGGGAAGTGAGGAAAAAGAAAACAAAGCAGAGGTGGACAGAAGAGGAGAGAAATATAACAGCAAAAACCGTTACACCTAGACATTCTCCCCACACGATCTCTCAACTTTGATAGTATGGAATTCTTGACTCCTTCTGGCGGGCTACACCGGGGATTACTTTAACTATTGAGTTACTTTCCTCAACTTTTCTTTTTGTATTTCTCTTTTTTTTTTTTTTGTCTGGGTGAAAATACAAACCGTCAAACATCACCAATCACGCATGATATTTTTCCTTTTTTTTTTTTTTTTGTGGGAACACCGGACTTCTCCTCTTCCAAGTATCTGTATTGTGATATTATCCTAGGTACCTGTAGCTTGTAGACAAAGAGAATACTCTGTAGTAAAGAGATGCTCACGTATACAGGGAACATGAGCTCATCCGCATCAGGAATGATTTTTATTATCTCATTGATTCTTCGTGCCTGATTGCGCTGCCGTTTTGCCAAAGCTTGTCTCATATCGGACAATTAGGGTGTGGCGTGTTCAGGGTTACATCACAAACGCCCGAAGCTGCCCTTGTCCGTGCACAAACATATCTCACGGGGAAATTAGTAACTAATCGGCAATGAGGAGAATTAGTTAGCAGATGGACAAGTCAAAACTTTTTAAGAACAAGGATGTCTTAGTTGATCCCCAGCCACTGGGATCCATAGTGACCCAATCTTTTCCCCAGTTATTATTATTAGGCTGATGAGGGTTCACAAGCCAGAGCAATGGAACAATAGTAAGCTACGCGTCGCAGCTAAAGCACCTTGGCTCTATGCAGAGTGCTCCGTAGTCAAGTTCAATTTTATCCCGCACCAGCTGGGCCATCAGCCATCACGAAATGGGAACTCAATGGCATCGCTGTAGCCCTTCCACCCTTATCTCAGTGACATGATTCCACACAAAGCTCTCGGCAGCAGACGAGGAACAACTCGCAGCAACAGTGCCTACAGGCATTTGAGCAACGCCGTCAAAGCGCGCGCTCCGTCCTGGATGCAATTGGAATCAACGGCCATAAGCCCGATTTTATGCATACATGGAGGGGCATTCTCACCCCAAGAGTCGCCCGAAAGGCTCGAGCTCCGTGACCCATGCGCCCGGGCTGGGCAGGGAAGCAGGCCAACGGTGCTGCTTGGCTGGCTGCGCTGAAGAAAACGCTGCGAGGCCTGCTCGTTGCCGGCCGTGTGGAGAAAGCCATATCCATGCAGGGTGCCGTCATCGCCCGTCATAGCCCGTCACGTGCCCTCTAGGCTGTTCTCGATCAAAATTTCCCGGCGCTGGCCGCCCAAGTGGCATTATCACCGCTGTTATTTGCAAATGTACTCCGCCCGAAGCGGCGGTCTGCGGATTATGGCATGCTTCTGGGGCGCTGGCGGGCGAAGCGCCTTTGCCTGCCGCAGGCACCATCCCGCAAACTAGTTCACCACAACGACCCCCTCACTCAGAGGGAATCCCACCTTGCAATAAAAGATAAATTTAGCTTGTCTGCACCGCTTGGGGTGGGGAGAGAAAAAAAAATTATCAAAAACACGTATTCATGCAAACATTTTAAAAGGGGTCAATATAGCTCACTCACAAAGCTGCCCGACGAGTCCGGTCTTCCTTCGTCCCGAACAGGGTTCATCTCCTCAAACAGCGACCCCCCAGTCTCCAAAAGGCGCGCCGTCACAGGTTGTGTGGCTGATCAGCAAGCTGGCGTGCTATTTGTCTGGAGCCCAGCGACTCATACATACATCATGTGTTTGGGCCTGAGCTAACCTATTTGCATGGCACGGCGAAGCAGAGCTTGGCTCCTCTATTTTTCCTCAGGTTAGATGAGTAAACAGGCAATAGTTGGCTGGCGTGAAGCGGGGATCCAGCGTATCACACGTGAAATCATGAGATCGTCCCGTTTAGTCAGAAATGACATTCCCTGTCCCACGCCGCTCAACGAGTTTGTAAGCTTTCGAGGCGGTCTGGAGGTAGCACTCAGGGGGAGGGACGAAGCCCTTGCGATGTGCCGCAGAGCCCCCCGGGTCACGCTCCATTTGCAATTCCACCCGAGAGGCATCTCAACCGGAAAAAAGCACTAGAGCAGCACGATTGAAAACCCATCCAAGTTGGCGGTACAAGGCCCTCGCGCACACACAAGCATTGGCTGCTGGAGTTGCATAAATTCTGAAAGATCTGTGTGTGTATATGTGTATGTGTGTGTGTGTGTGTGTGTGTGTGTCGCGAGCTTGCTTGCTTGTACGACATGGATGGATCCTGTGCTGTCGAGAAACTCACATCAACCGGCCGAGAGCCGTACGGAAGGAGAGACAAAAATGTAACTAGCTAGTTAACCAGTTTAACCGGACTTGTGTTGAGGAGTTGGCAAGAATAAGCAAAGTGCGGTAAAACGATGCCACCAGAGTGGCCGAACATCCCTGGCATAAAGCTGAGGAGGTGGGAAAAACAAAGGTTCTTGGGTGCGGAGCAGGGGAGGCCCGCGGCTTTAAGATGCCTCTTAAGTAACTATGAGCCCATAACGACATAACTACAGCGACACCGCGGGCTTGTATTAATAGCAATCCCCAAGTTTATCTGGACTAGCCAGACGCGGATTCGTATTCGTGCTGCTCGGAGGTTGCGCACGAGGCCTGTCGTGCCCGTTCGCTTGGCCCCGAACACCCGCCAATGACGGGCCGCCCCAGCCCAACTAGCGCCCCCCAGCGCCTGCAAACCGGGCAGCTTCCCCCCCCGGCCGCAAGCATCCCTCGGAGATCGTAACCAGCCAGCAGCCGCCCATGCCCACTCGCAGGTCTCATGGGATATGTTGGACGTGGGATAGTCACGGCGTGGTCATGCCAACAGTTTCTTGCTCGGAGATGCAAAATCACCAGCAAGGATGGCAATGTCGCCATTTGAGATGGCAGCCCATTCCACCAAGACCTTTCGTCAACTTAACCTCTGTACTCCCTCCCTCTCTCTCTCTCTCCCTCTCCCTCTCTGCCTCTCCCTCTCCCTCCGGACCATCCGCACCTTGGCCCGTTACCATGGAGAGCACAATACACTCCTACATACGCCTATTGGCGATGTACATTGTCGATACAGTCGGCCTGACCTCGACGTCATCCTCGCATTGTCCTATTCGAAGAATGGGCATCCTATATAGCAGCCTCTCTCTCTGGCGCCATGAACCCCCCAGACCCACGAAGACCTCCATGGACCTCGCGAGCCTCCCTCCCGAGATCCTCCTCTGCATTGGCGAGCATCTGGATGAAAAAGACCTGAACTCGCTCATCAGGACGGCCAGAGTATTTGCCGAACTGCTCTCACCCCAGCTCTACGACTTCGTGGTGGGCTGCCGCACACGCCACGCCTCTTCCGATCTGGCACCCAACTCGAGCTTCAAGAACGGTGCTCTATCGCATGCCGGTCGCTGGCATTCGCGCTATGCGCTCAACTACTTTCGTACAAAGCGAGCCGACATCCTTTTGCGCATGGACCAGGAAGGAGGGCTCCTCCTAAACAGAATCGCACGTGCCGGGAACGCAGAATTGGTATCGATTCTCCTGGCTAGAGGTGCAGACGTCAACGCCCACTATCGTGATCCGCATGCGTTGGCCTGGGCGGCGAAACGGGGCCACAAGGACGTTGTCCGCATACTCCTTGACGCAGGAGCGGATGATGACGTCTTCAAGCCCTGCCAGAAGACGCTATTGCACGCAGTCTATCGATATAGATTCAACAAATGCCCCGTGATCTCTCAGATGCTGATCGACCGGCTCAAGGAGCGCGGCGAGATATCAAAACGAAGTTCTGACAATTCCACGGTTTTACACTACGCCGTTAGATATAACAAGACATACGCCGTACCGCAGCTGATCAAAGCTGGTATCGATTTGATGGTTCTCGACAGCGATGGTTTGTCCGCCCTGGATATTGCCATCAAATTTGGAAAAATGGACGTCGTGCGCCTACTGCTTCAGGTATACCCGGGACCCTGGCCGTCTTATTACATTCAAAAGGCCATATGGGAGGCATGCGACAGGCTTGATCTCGAGATGCTTGAGCGAATCGTGCCTCTAGTGGAGTCTCGAACTATACCCGTGGATATTTCGCTTTTCGAGAGAAGTCGAGCCGGGCTGACGGCTCTCCACGTCGCAGCCCGCGGACCCAAAGACTGGGCCCGAGTGTCTGACAGTGCTTTCTCTCGCGAATCACACTGCCTTGTCAAGCGATGGCAGAAGGTGGTCGACCTCCTCCTGAAAATGGGCGCCAGCATCTCCGCCCGGGATTGTATCGGACGCACGCCGTTCCTGTACGCAGTCGAGAACGGCAGCCCGGAGAGAATACCTTTCTTGCTCCAGAGACTCGGCTCCACGACCTCGATCCGTGATCACCTGGGCCGCACGCCGCTTCATGCCGCGGTGCACAGCGAAAAGAGCGAGCTCATGGTCCGATGGCTGCTCCCGCTCGGTTTCGACATCAACGCGCAAGACTCCCACGGACAAACGCCACTGCACTACGCGGCTACGTGCGCTTCGACCCTGCCGACTCTGGAATACCTACTCAGCGCCGGTGCCGATGACTCGATTTGCGATAGGCAGGGCTTGCCCCCGAGTCATTTCGCCGCTACCCAAAGACGAGATGCAGGTCTTAGGCTATTCGTCAACGCGGGTGCCGCTCTGCACAGGAACTGTGAACTGTGCTTCCGGAAATCCATTGAGTGGAGAACGGACCATGGCGAGTGGCAGAATCTCTCGGAACCTTCGGATCTAAATGACCTCTTCGACCAGAAATAAAGCTGGGACTTTTTTAAATTACACCACACCTCCACACATCCCACGCTTACCATATATCTAACCAACGATCTCTTCCTCCGGTGTCTTACCCTCGACTCCTTCACGAAATTAACGACTTTGAAATAGGAATTCTTTTTCGTTTTATTCCTTTCAGGGGCGCAGCGATGGAATGGCGTTTTTATTATTATTTTTATTATTATTATCATTTTTCTTTTTTTTTATTATTCCGGCCTGTTCTGAAAATACCCTTGTTTATTGCATTGAGCCTTTTGCCTGCATTTCTCCTGTTTTGTTTCAAGGAATATATATACCCAATCTCCATACCGAATTGTATCTCTGCTCTCTCCTTTTTTATTATTATTATTATTTTTATTTATTTCTATTTTGGCTTTCCTGCGCCTTCATGCGAAATGATTCATCAACGGCCTTGTCAAGCACATACATACATCTGTCCCAGCATGAGAGTCCAGCTCTTTTTTTTTTTAAAAATTTTTTGTAAGCCAAGCATTCTACTCATTTTACGCATGCATCCACACAAACAGCTACAGTGCTAGGTTTTTCAACTCTTCTGTCCGTCGCAAGATTTCCCGGATATCAAGCTTCGCAGAAATTAGCGGAATTGAAATGAACAAATTATCAAGAACATGAAAAAAGATATCTTCTAGCTATTCTAACCTAATTGGATTCTTTTTCCCCGTTTTACCAACATGTTCATTAACTCTCCCGTGATTTTCTCCTCATAAAGGTTCTGGCCGGGTCTTTCCCACAGTAATCATGGCGGTGAACTGGGAATAAGACCGGGATTATGCACATATCAAAAATTGGGGTGCTCAACAAAAAAGCAACCCGCAACAATAATAGGATCACACACAAGAATATTAAAAAGGGAATTCAAGAGACACGTAGAAAAGAAGAAGTAATTACCCTAGTCTGTAAAGAGGATCCCATAATATCATTCATTGTTTTGTTAAGAGGAGGTTAAAAGGAGAAAATTGTCAAAAAAGGGACCCCCTGTTTACATGCTAACTTCCACACGGCCTTCTGCACCTCCCTTCTGCAGAGTTGGGAGCAAGTATGTAATATCATCCCAAGGATGACGATACAGACCAGTGCGCAGTCTCTTCTGATCGAGGTAATGGGCAATCAAACCGATACTACGGCCAAGAACGAAAAGACCGTTCAGCACACCCATGCTCAAGTAATCCTCGGCTTCTTCTGGGCTGAAAGCTCCACAGTTGCGCATGAGATCGACGAAGCAGACGGCAACACAGCCGTCGACGTTGAGGATGAGGTTATCCTTCTTGGACGTAGTCACTGTCTCGACGGCAATGGCATAGTCGAGCAACTTGTGGCTAGGGAAGTGCTTGACGACAAATTCCTTGACGAGCTCGACACGGAGATCGGGGTTGTTGCGCGACTTCACCTTGTGGCCGATACCGGGAACTGTCATGCTTTGTCAGTGGCAAAATTTTCACATGAAACACAACGCGATAAACCTACTGAGTTTGTTTTCCTTGCGCATTGTATCGACAAAATCACGTGGGCTGAGACCCTTGTCGAAGGCCTTTGTGAATTCCTCGGCAGCACCGTCCAAAGCCCCACCAAAGCGTGATCCAATGGTGAGAAGACCAGACACCAAGGCGCTGATCAAATCCTTTCCGGCTCTGGTGGTGATGATGGTGTTCATGGCGCCGGACACAGCCGGACCGTGATCGGCAGTCAACATCAGAACCATCTCCAAGAACTTGCTGGCATAAGGGGGAAGGCGACGGCGGAACCACAGGAGAGACATGACACCGCCGATCCCAATGTCTTCCTTGAAGACATCCGAGATTGGCATTCCGGCGTACAGCAACTCTTGGCCACGGTCGTCGGAGATGGTAGAAATGAAAGCGGCAGGTTTACGGATAAGACCCAATTCCTGGGCCCAGGCATAGTCGATAGGGATCTTGGGGGGGATAGGTTCGGGCTGTGGTTTGATGATTCCTTGCTTGACAAGCTTCTGGTAGACAGCTCTGAGGACCTCGGGGAGCTCTTCAAAGGTGTCTGGGACATGGATGCCGGCTTCTCTCATGGCCTGGTTCTTCATCACAGCAGTTTCCAATTGAGAGTTTGCCGACGCACCTGCGTGACCGAATTGAACTTCGGTCTTGAACATGCTTGCGCAAGTACCAATAGCCCATGCGACGACGGGCTTGGTGATGGTGCCATTCTTCACAGCCTCAATGACACGGTATTCCTCAACACCGCCAACTTCACCGAGGAGAAGCAGGATCTTGCATTGAGGGTCGGCTTGGAATCGAAGCAAGTGATCCAGGAAGGTGGTTCCTGGGTACCGATCACCACCGATGGCGATACCCTCGTAGACACCGTCGGTGGTTTGAGAGACAATGTTGTTCAGCTCGTTGGACATACCACCGGACTTGGAGACGTAGCCAACAGACCCCTTGCGGTAGAGCTTGGAGGCAACGATGTTGTCCATCATACCTCCGGTGTTACCGATCTTGAAAGCACCAGGCTTAATACCGCCGACGGTGGCGGGACCGATAATCGTAACACCCTTCTCCTTTGCGGTAACCATGATCTCGCGGGCACGCTGCCAAGCGTTAGTGTTTTTAAGATCAACGAAGCGGCCGGGGGCTTTATCTTTTAGAACATACTCTCTCCGGGACACCTTCGGCGATAATGGCGATGGTCTTGATCTGAGGGTATTGCATCAGCTCCATGGTAGAGCTGTACACACTTCGCGAGGAAGCAAAGTTGACGACGACATCAACGTCTGTGTGTTTTGCCATGGCCTTGCCTACGCTCTGGTAAACCGGCAGCAAAGTCTCGCTTGTGCCCCAGTACCTGTTTTTTTTAGGCATCAGTAAAAAACGAGCAGGTTCAATTGAAGCAAGAGAGAGAGAGAGGGGGGTAAGAGAGAGAGGGGGGAAGCAGTCCAACTCACATTTTGCTGACGAATTGTCCACCGAAGGTGTAGATGATACCTGCGACGGATGGTGTGGTGCGCTTGCAAATGAAGTCAAAGTCCAGCATCCCCTGGACGGCTCTGGGCTGCATGCCACTGTGCGACCGGGGGGGGTTAGAGCTGTAGCCACGTGGGATATGCTATGCACTGTAGGTAACGGCCGGCTACTCACTATACGAAGCATCGCGTCTTGTTGTGAAAGAGATTGTGTTCCAGGGGGGTCAGCGGTCTGCTGGCGGCCTCGAAGCGGCGGATGTTGTCATTTGCGCGAAGGTTTCCATCGCCGGAGGTCGCGAGAGGTGCAGCGGAAGGCATTGTGAGGGAAGGGCGGATTACTGTTTTTGCAGGAGCTTAGCAACATGTAGCGGATGGGAATAAGACTTGGATATAACAGGATGATAGGCAACTTTCTCGTTGAGAGTAGTAGACTAACCTTTTCTTTTTTTTTTTTTTTGGGTTGAGTAATAGTGAAAAAAATGTCGACTTGGGGGAGTGGTGGACGACAGTGAGCACGAGGGGGGAGAGAGAAGCAACTGGATTAAAGGATTAATTAGGGAACTCTTAGAGTAGAAGATGAAAAGTCGTGAGAGCAGAAAAAAAGAAGAAGAGGAACGAAGAGGGGAGGGGAACAAGAGATGATTGTCAGAGTGAAGAGATAGTTTTTCGGAAAGCGAAGAAAAGAAAGATGAGGTGGTGGTGGTGGTTGATGTTGTTGAGGCAGCTGAACAAGGCGGTTTGGTTGGCTGGAAAGCTCCCCGGTCAACCACCCAAACAGCAAAAGTCAAACGCAGTTCGAGGCTTTCGCATTGGGACCCGCGCTAGGCCCGATGCGGCTAGGGCTTCCCCAATGGATGGAATGCTTGGTGGGGAACTTTCTTCAAACGGGAAAAGGAAAAAAAGACAGGCAGGAAGGGGCGAAACGCACGCTGGATTTCCTTTTCTGCCGGGATGGGGCCAAGGAAGTCGCGTTGGACCCAAAAGGGGGGGAAGGAGCTCCTGTGGGTTTCGGTGAGCGGCCAGCCTCAGGGATTGCGCGCGCTGAATTACGAGTACGATGCGCGCTGCTTTGCTGCCCAATCTCTCTCTTTATCTCTCTTTACTGTATCTCTTTTTTTCTCTATCTTTTTCTTCCAAGGTTCCAATTGCGACCTCTCCGGAGCCGGACAAAGTCAAACAGGCAAAGAGTCGATATCGGAGCTTTTGTGTTGTTTCCGTAGTCCGTACGAGTAAAAAACAAAAGTGTTTTTATCTATCCTCCACGCTGTACCCCGGACATATACGTAGTATCTCTCTCTCTCTCTATATATATATATATATATATATAATAACACGTAGCTATTAATTAATTACTCCGTTGTCCGAACCCGCACAGCGAGATACTCTGTACTCCGTACATATTAAACCATTTTTAATTTACGTTGCCAACTGGAAGTAGTTATGAACAGCAGACGGCGCAACGCAGCATCGACCATTTATCTCTGACGAGGGATTTTACAGCCCCGTTACTAGCGGTAACGAGGTCCCAACGAAACCTAATTGAGACAGCCCATTTTAGGAAAGGACCCGAGGGAGCGACCCAGTCAGGAAGCAGCCCCGCCCCACCACCCAGCTGGTCGGCCCCTGCCTGCCCTGGCGAATCCCGGCCCCTTTTGGGTGACTAAGCCGGGCTAGGCGTACGTTGGTTACTAGAGCTTTAGGGCGGTGGGGTTCAGAGCGGCGCCAATCGCTGTCCGGTGCAATGACAGAACAGCTTCAGCAAGTCCTCAACAACAAAGCCTTTTTTTTTTCCTCGCTCACCAACAAACCGTCTCTGCACCACCAACATCACCAACATCACCACCACACACCGCGGACCGATCTCTCCGCCGCTTTCTCTTCTTCCAGGTCTCCATACTCATACTCATTCCTGCTCTCATCTCTGCTCTCCTGTCTCTCTTCTGCAGCTTCATATCCTCTCTGCTTCTCTTTCTCTCCCCCTCTCTCTCCCCCCTCTCTCTCCGCCTTCTCTCCCCATCTTGATCATCCTGCTACAGCTCTACACTCGAAACAAAAAAGAAAAAAAATATTACTTTACCTACCCTAACCAGCTTCACTCCTAATCATGTCGGCCAAGTCAATCTACGAAGCTGATGGCAAAGCCATCCTCAACTACCACCTCACACGTGCGCCAGTCATCAAGCCCTCTCCTCTCCCCGCTCCCACCACACACAATGCTCCCGCAAAGCTCGCTTCCCTCCACTTTGACGAGGACTGCTCCGTCGAAGGCGTCCTCGACCAGGCCGAATCCACCTATCCCTGGCTGCTCGCCAAAGGAGCCAAGTTCGTCGCAAAGCCCGATCAATTGATCAAGAGAAGAGGCAAGAGCGGCCTGCTGGCGCTCAACAAGACCTGGGAGGAGGCCAGAGAATGGATTGCCGCCCGCGCCGGAAAACCACAGCAGGTCGAGACCGTCACCGGTGTCCTGCGACATTTCCTCGTTGAGCCTTTCGTCCCCCATCCACAAGAGACCGAATACTACATCAACATCAACTCCGTCCGTGAGGTAAGCGCCACAACTAACCCCCCCCCCAAAAAAAAAAAAAAAAAAAAAAAAAAAAAAAATCTGGCTTGGCCTGCGCTCCTGGGCAGCGCGCGAATCAGGCGGCTGACTGCTTCCTCCACAGGGCGATTGGATCCTGTTCACACATGAAGGAGGTGTCGACGTAGGAGACGTCGACGCCAAGGCAGAGAAGCTCTTGGTTCCCGTTAACCTCAAGAACTTCCCGTCGAACGACGAGATCGCCGCCAAGCTGCTCAGCAAGATTCCCCAGGGCCTGCACAATGTCTTGGTCGACTTCATCACAAGACTATACGCTGTCTACGTCGACTGCCAGTTCACTTATCTGGAGATTAACCCCCTCGTCGTGATCCCCAACGCTGACAAGACGTCCGCTGAAGTCCATTTCTTGGATCTGGCGGCCAAGCTCGACCAGACCGCCGAGTTTGAGTGCGGCACCAAGTGGGCTGTTGCGCGCAGCCCGGCTGCCCTCGGAATCCGCGCTCCGCTCAAAAACGATGACAAGGTGACCATCGATGCCGGCCCACCGATGGACTTCCCAGCACCCTTTGGCCGTGAACTGAGCAAGGAAGAAAAGTTCATCGCCGACATGGACGCCAAGACCGGCGCCTCCCTCAAGCTCACCGTTCTCAACTCCACCGGCCGAATCTGGACTCTCGTTGCCGGTGGTGGTGCCTCCGTCGTTTACGCTGATGCCATTGCCTCCGCTGGCTTCGTCAGCGAACTCGCCAACTACGGTGAGTACTCCGGCGCGCCCACCGAGACCCAAACCTACAACTACGCCCGCACCGTGCTTGACCTCATGCTGCGCGCGCCCATGCACCCAGACGGTAAAGTTCTCTTCATCGGCGGCGGTATCGCCAACTTCACCAACGTCGCCACCACGTTCAAGGGCGTCATCCGCGCACTGAGAGAAGTCGCGCCGGTCCTCAACGAGCACAAGACCCAGATCTGGGTCCGTCGTGCCGGCCCCAATTACCAAGAAGGTCTGAAGAACATCAAGGCTGTCGGCGAGGAACTCCACCTCAACATGCATGTCTACGGCCCCGAGATGCACGTCAGCGGGATTGTGCCTTTGGCGTTAAACGGGAAGACAACTGATGTCAAGGAGTTTGGTGAAGCATGATTATAACGAAACTCATTAATTAAAAAAGAAAATACATTTGGCCCGGTCTTCTTCTTATTATCACTCTTCTTTTCTAGACTATCGTTCTTGTATGAGAAGTTAATTACCGCCCCGCCCGAAATAATGAATTTCATAGATGCTTCGGCTTCTCCATCTGTTCTGTGCTTGGTATCGCCAGCTTTTAATGTGATTTTTTTCTCATCCTTCCCTGACACCAGTACGCCGCATTCCTTTTTTTTTTTTTTTTTCTCCCAAACAAAAAAAGGATGAGTATGTGACATGCTTTGATAGACAAAAACAGTGTCATCACAGGTACTTTCTTGGGATACCTAACCAAAAGGGGAGATTGATAGAATTGGCAGCCGCCCTCCCTCCCCAACAAAAAACCGTATCGTGACAAGATTCTTCACATAAAGCCGGGGCATATTGGCATAGGATCCTCCCAGGTAGAAATTGGAAGAACGTTCCAAACAGTATAGTCAGACAAAACTCTTCTCATCGAGTATGTAGGCCAGATCACCCTATCCTCCACGGCCTTCTCAAAGAAAGCAATCGGATAGCCGTTGTCCAAAAGCATCCTCGTCATCATTTGCCACCTACGCGCAACGGAGATGACCAGGAGATCTTCCCAGTAGGAGTCTGGGAGGTACCACATCAGCACGCCGTGGCTGATTAAAAGACCCAACATCTCGAGGTGGCCCATGCTGACGACCCATTCAACCAGGTGGTACGTCTGGTCGTGCGTGTCCAGTGAAATATTCAGGTTTGCGCCGTATTCGATGAGCAGGTCCATAACCTCGCAGTCAAAATTGATAGCAGCCATTTCCACCGAGGTCCTAAGGCCGTTTTGTTCCCTGGCTGGTTCGTCCACGACCGCACCGTGTCTTAGCAACACCCTGGCGCATCTGGCGCATCTGGCGCTCTGGTTAAATGTTGCGATGTACAAGGCACTCTCTCCCTCTGGGTCGTGAGCGGCCGGGCTAGCTCCAATATACAGGAGGCGTTCCACGATCCCGTCAAAGCGGCGTCGGAGGGCCATGATGAGTAACCTATCCAGAATTGTTCTGAACTGCGTAGTGAGGGTTGGAATATCGTGCGGGTACTGCTCAAGGTTTCGCTTGTGGAGAGAATGGAACTCTCGAAGGGCTATTTCGGAAATCCACTGTGGCGCAACGGTCATGACCTTGGCTACTCCGCTTCTAAGCAGGACAATCGTAGCCATTCCGCGCCAACTTCCTATGGTGGAAGCATTATGGTGAATAAGCCATGGTGTCAATCGAATGCTGAACAGTTAGAAAGGAGCCCCGGGGGGGGGGGCAGCCATGCATTGGGGAATGCAGGCAAGAATGGGGAGGAATGGACCAAAAAGGAGCAACTTACGGCAGACGCAGAAGAAAGCGCTGATAGTACTCCAAAAAGTCAGGCCATCAACGAGCGACATAAAGCTGCTGGATGCATCAACTCCGTCACAGTTTATAAGGTAATTTATGATCATCCCTCGGACCTCTCGTGTCAGCCTGAACCAGGATACTAATTTTGCTTGGTGGGAAGTGATGGCCCATGCCGTAAAACTAGTTGGCTGAGGCATTTTGGTTTAACTGTGCTTCTGGACTGGACGTTGGAAAAAATCACGGTACATCTGCAGCATATGTATAAAGGTAAACCTGACGACAGGGAAGATAGAGACAGAGATCGATATAAAGTCTCGCAGACCCCATCTTGCTCGCAATCCTCGCCGCATGAGAGCTCTTGCCGTGGGAAGGGATTAAATGTCCCGAAAGAGTAAAGGGAAAGAGCGGAACTTTTCAAGTACCCTGTTCTTCCCGGAGACACCAGGGTTGTCTCCGCGGATGTGGTGAGCCCTGTTCTTCATCATCATCAGCTATAGTTGGTCCAGAGGGCAATTCTAAATATGGTGACAGAGTCAGTCCACTGGTGGTGGGATGGCTGTTGTTGAGATCTTAATTGCATCCATATTCAGCATGAGAAGGTGATCTTTTGGTTATCGTCTTATGTTTCTAGTCCGGATTGTTAATATCAGCAACTTGAACGAAAAAAAAGGAAGTGTCATAATCGTACCTTCTGAGTGCACTGGGAATCCTGGTGTGTGCTGCCGCGATCCTCTATGACTAGAGCGTCTGTATGACGGGTGATTTAGGTTGAAGGTATAGCCTGAGTCTCCCCTAAGGGGATCTCTCTGTGCATGCTACACCATTGGATCGCGATATCACACATACGGGATTTCCGTTAGCTCACTCCTCATCTTCCTCTAATATGCTGCTGCCCATGGGGTCATTCGACCTTCGAAGCCAGCGGGGATATATATATCTCGTCCTCGGACGTATCCCACCGGACCACCTGCGTCTCTGACCCTCGTTCCCGAGAGTTGCCATCTCAAAATCGTCGGTCTCATGCTCTTTCAACGATCCTGTCACTGAAATATGAGCCGGCTCTTTTTGCTTCAGGAGCTGCTCAGGGGGCGAAGGGGCTATATTCAACATCTGGTATGCGGACCGCAAAGTACGGTGCAGCATGTAGCCCGCAATTGCCCCGAAGAGGAATGCTGTTCCGAAAAAGTTGTATACCGGCTGTATGCAATTTTAGTTTCAAATTCATCACACGAGAGAACTAGCTATATGATGCAAGGGAATATGCGTGATCGGTCATGTTGTGGAAAACGGCATGGAGTTTCAAGATACATCAATGGGCATTCAATGCTTGGGTATTTTCTGATATGTGACAGGTGTCGTCGCATGGTATAGGGGATAGGAGAGGGTTCCGTATTCACCTCAAGCCTCAACAGCATCCGTATCAAAAGCACCAGGACATAGTAAACCTGGCGGAGAGGTAGGAGCAAGGGGCGTGTAAAAAACTTGAGTAGGGAGAATGAAAGTGACAAGGAAAATGATACAGGATGAACAATGCTTGCGGAGAGAAGAGGGACGAGTATCGTGAGCGGGTTCATCGTGCGCGAGTTTTTCAGAGGTTGAACGACGACGACAGGAGGGATTCAAAAAGTGAAAAGACCTATCAATCAATGACTGAGAGTTTGTGGAGCTGGGTGCATAGCTCGAGTCAGATCTATAGTGTTATTCAATTCCCATCCAACTATTGCACCTTGTATGGGGGAGAATTGTCAAGGGTCGTGGTTGATTGTGAAACTGTGCCGCCTGGTTTCTACCCTTCGTCCACGCCAAGGCTTCAACATTGAGGATCAGACCGAATGACGACAGACATCTCCTGTATGCAAATGCACACAGACTACGGAGTACAGAGTACACAATACACATTCCAAGGAGATATCATAGGTGAATCGCCTCTGAAAAAAATAGTACTTGTTGACTGTCACCTCGGACTTCACTCCCTTGGTGATGTACACCAGCAGACACAGTCGCCGTCGTGTGCTCATGACCCCATCACACTAGGCAAAAAAATGTAACAATTGCGGACACCACAGCCCCGAAGCTTTAGTGTTTCTATTCAGACCAAATTTGAATCAACTGGAATCAAGAGAAGTATTTGCATACAAAGAAATCCACAGAATTTACAACTATGTATGAATCCTTCGATATATGTAAGGGGATGACTTCAGCAGCAGTCAAACATCTTAGAAAAAGTTGGAAACTATTATAACCTACAACAAGACAATATAGAATTAGCTAACTGGCGTTTAAAAGATTTCCAACAAAGCTTTGAGTAAATCTAAATGCCATTGTTTAATGTTGATAGCATTGCGGTACACCAAACCAATCCTGCTGCTATCCCTCGAGGTACCCAGTCAACCACAATTATAATACCCTCTGCTTCTAAGCAGACAGTCTTGTACGGAAGAAGAAAAATTTTCTTTTTCCTGCTTGATTAGTATTTGCAATGATGCACACGGATTCTTACCATCCCATGTTTTTAGTTTCATGCCAACAAAAGGCCCACTTCTGACTTTATAATATCTCCAAATTTTGCTGCCTGTAATACCATAGCTGGCCCTGCGCGAATATCTATGCCAGATCACTCTTGAAGGGTTGAGGTTGCAGGGGCATTGGAGAATGCTTGTAACAGAGGACAGGAATCCAAGAAGGATACAAAAGGTCAAAAACACTCTGTCGCGATAATGGCAGAATAATGCTCTGGCCACAGGTGTAAATACCCTGGTAGGCCTAAGACAATTCAAGTGCATGAGGATAAAGATGATCTTGTTGTCTTGTGCCCTGCATAAGTTGAGGTGGACAGGACTCCATACAAAAGAGCTGAGATGGCCATGCTGGTTAATGGTCAAGGGACAATGCTTCCCCCCGCTCCTCCTCCTCCTCCTCCTCCTCCTCCGTTATATTTTTAGTCATTAACGCTCTGCTCAGAATATATATATTTTTTGTACATAAAACCCTTGGTCAAACACGCTCAGATTAAGTTGGCAGACGACGCACCAGTACCGAATGTGGGCCACCATGTAAGCTTATTCCAATTATGCTCAGCGAAAAACCCACTTGGCCCTCCCCACAGCGAGCATTTATGTTGGCCGACGCACCGGGCGCTAGTTGATTGAGCCAATTATGGAAAAGCCGGTTCATCCTCACTCGTCCGAGTCCCTTTGGCATACGGAGTATAGTGTCACATTTCACTTCAGGGTCCGTGAGGCAGCTGCGAATTTACTGAGTCGTGCGATTTCCCGTTAGCACACAAACTCGCAATGCCTCCGCAGCATCGCATCGCGTACCTCGACCGAGTCCATATCAAAGAGCCCATTTGCGCGGTAAATATATCATTTCGTACCGTAAACCTCTGCTCACTTGCTAGTTTCCAACATGAAGGATGATGTCCTTTACTTTTCCAGCATTGTGAGAGGCCGCAGTGGTTTCCAAGAAAACTATCACTTTGGGAAATGTAAGTTTCCCTTCTGGTTCTGTCCGCGGAGATACGATATCAGCAGGAGCAATACCTAGCCAGGCAAATTGCATTCTGGAAATTTTGCCAAGGAAGATTATTCCAATGCATGAAAAAGGTTGATTCTTCCATTTTAAATAATGACGAGGGCAGAGTAAGCTTCCAGCGGCATGACGAAGACCGTCACCAAGAAGTGTTGCAACCGGCTCTTAAGGCAGCTGCGTAACACACCCGCTAACTAATCCTCCTTGCATCAGCACTCGCATAGGAGCTATACAAGTTTCTATACAAGTTTCAAGGAAACGGAACTTTGTACTGATCTCTTGAACTGAGGGATACAATTGTGTCTCTCTTCTCGCGACTATATCTTCGAGAATTGATTCGGCGCGCGCCGCTTCTGCTCATGATGTCGCCTAAAAATAGATAAACGGAATGACCGACAAAAACTCTGGGTGAAATATTTGGGGAGTAGAATACATCCATTGTTCTAGAAGTAGTGGATAAACTGCTGTTCATGCATACTACTAGCGGTAGCTTGCCGTAGCTCCGGTGTTTGGATGGAGAGCGTGATGAGTTTTTCTTCCCACACCTACATGGCATGTCTGTCCATCGCAGTGCCCAATGCAATGGAGCTGGGTGATAAGGCACCTGTTCGACACCTGTCAGAGCAGGAGCTTTACCAGGGTTGATAAATGCCGATCTGACAACTGTCCCCGTCGATCAGGTACAGCTGGGCTAAAAAAAGGAAAAAGAGGGAAAGGAAAAAAAGGATACCATCAGTGACTGGGCGCCACGCGTCAAATTCAAGTACGCAATCCGCCAGGCGCCATCTCTATGTGGACGGAACCGATGGTGAAACAGACGGGACAAAGCGGTATCAAAATAAGACTGAGAAATTGATCGAAATGGCCTGATTCAATGACCCGGATCAGTACGTGTTTTGTCTTCCCGAGCACAATAGTAAATAGGAGGAAGATCTCAAGTTCTTCAGGATTCTTGCATGGTATAGATGAGGAATCGAAGGAATTGGCAATTGAAACCCGTATTCATGTTGAATACGCGATGTACCGTGAAGCACAATGGCAGGGCGCCTAATTAAAAAAAAAAAAAAAAAAAAAAAAAAGGAAAGGCAGTCGACAAGTCTTTTGTCACATCTTACATCGTCCTTGTGGTTCTGCTTTTTAAGCCCGGTTCGGGTGCGTATACGACGTGTCTGGACCTTGAGAAGCCATGATACGTCGTATTCGATGTCAAGGAAGCACGTGTGGCGTTTCTTGCACCGGAAACCGGCATGTCCGGGTGTGAACTGACGGATGAGCCTTTGCAAAGCTAGAAGTCAGCTTAGAGCGCTGGATTCGCCTCGACGAAGTTCACACTCGGGTCGTTATATTGTGATTGGGAAAAAGGACAAGTGCGGTGGCGTGTCGTTTTGGTGTGGTGACTAACACCATAAGGCGACGTTGGGCCATGCTGGACTGTTGACAACCAACTGCCATCAACCCCTACTCCGTACACGCTATGATTTTGGACGCAAGACATTCTCAATCAAGCAGATATATTTGATTATTCTTACCAACTACTCGCTGCAACCATTACCAGACAACAGACCAACGCCCGTCTCCCATCAGACTTACTCGAGGAATCGTTGTGGCGGGTTTATTTTCTAGGTCGTCGTGTTCGACAGAGACAGTTCTCTTTTCGAAACCCAAGACAACAAAACGGGGTGGTCACTTGTATAGCACAAAGGTCCAAGAGAAGAGACGGAGAACAAAATATAACACCAAATTATTAACAGGGAAATAAGCTCCCCTTTCCCAGATGTCAATTAGATACAGGATAAGTAATAAGTGTGAAGTGAAATCAGGTGTGTTATATTCGTTTCTCCCCCCCGTAAAAAGTCACAGACACAACATTGTACACCCATAGCCGTGGTCACGTCGCAGAATAGAGCGTTTTTGACTTTCGGGAATCCCGAATCCCAGATCCCCACTCCCTTCACCCCCAACGAACGATTGCCCATCGCCCCATTTCAATCCAAATGAAACTTAGAGCCTCCCAGAGAGGGAGAGCAGAGAAGAGAGATCGTGAAACCTTTTATCGTGTTGCGGACATCCGGGTCATTTCGCCTTCCAATGCCTGCTGAGTTGTTGTCGAGAAAAAAATGAACTTGGGAAAATGCGCGAGGGGAATAATTGACGCCATGACGACGTGCTTGTCAGTTTTGCTGATAGTCTAAATTTACAGGTAGGCAGCGAGACCGAGGAGAGCAGCAGCAATGCCGCCAACGCTGGCACGGACGTTGGAGCCAGCACCTGGGAACTCAGCTGGGGTGGAGGCAGTTGGTCTGCCAGTGACGGTGAAGGAACCGGTGCCAGTGGGGACACCACCGCCAGTGCCGGTTGGGACGGCAGTGGGCTCCTCGGTAGGCTCATGAGTCGGCTCAGCGGTGGGCTCAGCGGTGGGCTCGGCAGTGGGCTCCTCGGTTGGCTCAGCGGTGGGCTCAGCGGTCTCGGATGGCTCGGGAGCGGCGGTGGTGTCAACTGGTGGGATCTCAATTGGGACACCGGCCTTGGAGCACTGGTCAACGACGATGTTGGAGACGGCTGGATTTTCAACATGTTAGCTTGCCATTTCGACTTTCTTTCCATCTTCTCATCTTATCCCATCCTTGCGCGAGATGCAAGAATTTGGTGTCGCTTCACTTACAGATACGGGCGTCGAGAGGGCAGGCCTCCTCAACGCAAGGAGTGATCTGTCCTGGGAGCTCAGGCTTGGAGCAGTGGCACTTGAAGTCGGTCAAGCGAGTGCAGCCATCGTTGCCGAGAGCCTCAACGAAGCAGTTGAGCTAGCATCAAGCCGTTAGCATTCCAACAGTCCTTCTCGTTCCTCTCCACAAAAGGTTCGAACATACAGCGCAAGGTGGGATATCTGGGAGCTGGGCACTGGCGAGGCCGGCAGCGACGAGAGCGATGAGAGCGTGAGAGAACTGCATTTTGATTATGTATGTGCGTCTAACGGACGAGAACGATTATCCTCCCTAATAGTACAGCAAAAAAAACGACAACCGGGGTTGGAGAATTAACGATAGTCTTTGATGGACCACGAAACGAATGTATATTTTTATATGGGGAAGGAAAATAACTGAAGGACTAAGGGGGAGGGAGAGGTCGGGGGTGGGTGGGCTTCTTATATTTTAAGTCCGCCCAAACAACCCGTATTTCCCAAGATTTTTATCGTTCCCTGGTTTCTCTCCTCTCTGGTCCCTTTACCCATGAACCCCATAACAAGAACTGGGCGTGCAGGGTACCGCACTAGTAGTCGAAGGGGAAAAAAGGGTACTGGGTTGGCTGGAGGTTCCACCTCTCCACCCTCGAATTCTCTTGCCCCAAATTCCCGCCCTCCCCTTGCGTGTTTGTTGCTAGTGGTAAGACTATTTTGGCTTAAACTTCTCGAATGGCGAGGTTGCTTTTCTGTTTTCGCTTGGGAAGGGGGGGGAAATCGGCAGCAACGCGGCCTTGATTCACATGCAATCGCGGGCTCGGGGCAGACCGTCCTTGTCATATGAATAATGACGATTGCATTGCCTTTACGAGGAAATAATACTCCCGCCTCTACATGTGTCCTTGAAGGTTTGGATTCGCTGGCGGGCCTTTTTTTAATAAATGTTTCTTTTTCTTTTTGGTTTTTCAGTGAGGTGTCTATTGTGATCTTCCCCTAACGGAGTACATCCAGTCATTTGTAGCAGACGGTCCTGATACCTCGTGGTTGGTTCTGAGGGACTGCTACCCCATCCTTGGTCATTTAACTGGATGGAGCTGTTAATTACCACCGTGGTAACGGTTCCCGGGCACCAGAAAAGACACACGCTGTTTTCTTCCCCCGCCGTCCTCTTCCTCCCGTTGTGTGTAGAATTCATTGGTAGAGCTTGATTCGCGCCTCGATTGTATTACCAAGTTTCGAGATTCAGCCTTTTGGCGCCCTCAAGGCTTTCTCTGAAGACTTGAATGGATGTTTTGTAGTGAGGTTGCGGGCTACCCTTATCCGGTGGTGGCAAGCGCACGACCTGCAATGGCCGTCACACAGCCTGGACGTAATACTCGGAAAAACCGGTTACTGTACTCCCTCCATCGCGAAGGTAAAAAACCAATATCTTGGGACTATTTACCGCGAGGGGGGCAAGTGGGGTGGGTGTTAGAGAAATACACCTGGAGCTTGTACCACTTCGCCTGCCGCAAACCACGCGCAACCAGCGCATTGGAGGTTCCTGTACATTCCTGAGAAGTCACGAACCTCCATTTGTTCCCACCACAATACAGTACATACAGGATTCTGAACGTGTTTGTTGAATAACCAAGTAACCATACCACTTTCAGGCCAGGCAGTCCACCCACACACACCCCCCCCCCCCGGCTCAAGGTTACAGGCCGCGAAGCAGAAATACAATGCTGCACGCCCGGGATAGCTGGTCTAGCGCGGCAGCGATATTCACTGAACTAGCCACTTTTGATCGCAGGGCATACGTAACTGGACTTGGCTGGCAATCGTCCTCGTTCTTCCAGAGCGTCGATGGAAAACAGAGCGGGCGCAGTCCACCACACATGCGGAAGCTCGCGTGCGGGCGCATTGTTCCCGCGAATGTGATATTCTTCTTTTCTTCCTTCCTTTCCTTTTCCTTTTCTTTTTCCTTTTTATTTATTTATTTATTTTTTTCTTTCTCTTCGTTTCTTCAGTATGAGTCGATTTATTTCGTGGATATCTGCGAGTTTCGAAGAGAAAGGCGAGAAGCGAGACCAAGGAAGGGGGCAGTTTTGAATGTCTCAACCGCCGGCCCACAGGAGACGATTTGATTGGCCAGACGCGGGAGAGACAATTCCAGACAAAAAAAAAAAAGATAAAAAATCCTTCTGCCGGCGCCGTCTGTGTGTCTGGCTTCCTGACGAAGTAAAGCAGTTTAGCTCTCCAGAGTACGGAAGTAACTTAATTAGTTAGTTACTTTGAGCATGACATGACAAAGCCAGAATGCTCCGGCCGCACACACCTTGCTCCAGGCTGGATCCTGCAAAGTCCGGCCTTGGCGCCAATCACCGCCCAGGAACGGCATGAAGATATGCCCGGATTGGGTATGGCCCGCAGCCTCCCCCGCCCACTGATTGGCTGAAATTGCTGGATCAAAATTACTAGTGGTAATGACGCCGGTGGGGCGGGCTGTCCAGTCGCCGAGGTTTGTTCTTGCCACTTTACCAAGCTCCTTCCCTTCCTGCTGGGCTCCTGCCTGCTGGACGTCATGCACCAACTCTTTCTTTTTAAACAACGATCACACAGCGGCCGTCTCAAAGCAGTCGACGCGTCGGGCTGGTTCACTACTGGTCGGGGGCAGCAGCGGACGAAGACGCCCGTTGTTATTCCCCTGTCGAACACACACCGCGCACGGCCACTGCAACGGGGCGGATTCGTGTTTTCCTGGCATATGATTTTCCGGCTGCCACGGAAAGAAAGTACGGCGCAGGAAAATCATATGCCAGAAAACACGAAGAAGAAAAACAGCGTTGTCGATCTGGGGAAAGCAATTGACTGGCAGCACTTGTCAAAACATGCAAAGAATACAAAGCTTGGCGCTGCTGCTGCTGCTTTTGCTTGTTCTGCTTGCTCGCGATCGAGACGCGCCCGCTTGGCAACTAGTCTTGACTGGCTCAATCATTCCCCAAGCTTTGGAGAATTCAATCATTCTTCCGGTGGATCTGCCACCTCGCCCCGGCATGCCAATCACGGTCCCCCCGCCGCCTTGCCAGGGTTAACGCGCCAATTGACGCCCTGGGTCGGTCATGGGTTGAAATTGCACCCTCTGTGGTCTTGGCTTGCGATGGAGGCAAATTCACGGAGGTACGAGTCCTCCCACGCGGAGCTGTCAAACTGTTTTTTCAAGTGCAGGATACCCGCCGGTGGGAAAAAACGGCTTCCCTGACGTTCCTCATGACTCGCTGGCCAGCGAGACTCCAGCCCACCCTGATCTGCAATTCGCCTCTGTGGGCATCAGGTCTCATTGTTTCTCCTTTGCAGGGAAAGGGGCATATAGTCACTGGAAAATTATCTACTTTACAACTAGCTTAATTTGCCTCCTGGCGAATAACCTATCTGGGAACCCTTGAATAGAACGCAACAGCGGATCGCTAAATTGCCACCACCACCACCACCGGCAAAGTGCATCAACCCTACCTCCCCGCTGCTGGGGCGTGGAGCTGAACAGTAATACATAATTCGCCGCCAGGGGCTCAAGTGTGTCTTCATGTGTTATGTTTCTATTTCGAGGACCATGGGAAGCTCGAGCTTCAAGAAAAATTAAAGCTTTCTCCCTTTCCTTTCCGTCCATTGTTTTCTCTCGAGAATACCCCAGAAAGTGGATGATGGAGTTGTGCGGAACCAGACCACTCGTTCCCGCCCCTGCATGCATGCATGGGGAACACTCAGGTACACAGGACATACTCCGTAGAGCCCGTCCAAAACATTAGGGGGAGATGGTTAGGGGGTATAACGGAGCGGTCCCGTCAGCCGAGTCATCAGGTAATTAACGACTTTTCTCAGGGGGGCAGATCGAACTATTCGACCGAGTGGCAGGTAATCACATGCTTATCAGTCTCGGTACTTTCGGTCGTTGAAAATGTCCACTTCACGCGGTGGAGTTCTCCAGCCCGCACCATCTCGATATTCCACAGGGGCCACTGTTACCTGTGCGTTCATTTGATTTGGGATGGGGATCTCTTCTCCTCGTGTGGGGAGTCTTTCGTCCGTTTTGTGTCTGGTGACGAACGGTGCCGCCACCAATCCTCCCTTGATGAGCTGTTCGGGCTCCAGTTGCTGCGTTTCGCGAATGTCCCTTTTAGGAACAATCAAAACGCCGAGCTCCATTGGCCGGATTGGCCTTGGGGTTTCCCCGTAAGAATGTGTGATGTGTGACGATCCTTCCGAAGGGGTGTTGGGTCTTTGGAGAGGTTGGTTTTCGTTCTTCTCCGATGGAGATCAGCGAAGGTAGTCGGGCATTTCTGCCTCGTACGTGGACCAGTGTGCTCGCGAGGCAAAATCCGAGCGTTACACAGGTGTTGGCGGGTTTCGATGTCATCGATCAACTCGGGCCGATTGACGATCGGTTGTCGACATTCGCGTCTTAACCACCCAAACACCTCAGCCAATTCTTGGCGAAGTTTACGCTTAGTTATGATATCTCTAAATGAAGAAAACGTGCTCTTGACTATGATGATTCGAAGCCTTACATCTGATTCTTCCATATGCACCTCGATATACCAGATCTGATCGCCCCCGTCGGGTACATGTCCTTGTTCCCATCGCGTTCCGATCCTCAAACCCCAAACTAGCACATCTTAACGCACAGGTCTCAAACGTTGTCCCGATTCGCCAGAGCAGGATCCGAGATGAAACTTCATATCTCACCCGAAATACTGATCGACGCAGCAGGTTTCCGATTAGTATCGTCATATGTGTGGCCAGAATGTGAATTATCGAGCTTTGCGATTCTTCGTCCATTCCCCACGATGCGGCTCACGCCCTCCCGCTCATTAGGTATTACCCCGCGATATCCACCGCGCTTCGTCATTTGAAGGCACAGGATCCCCTGGAGAGCTGCGCCTATCTGTTGGCTTTAATTTCGTCCTTTTTCGCAGCTGGCTTGGAGCCTGGGAACGAACGGGCTCCAGTCCCCCGTGCGACCTCGGTGACACATGAGAATCTCCTCCATCAAGGTATCCCTCAGCCCAATCCAGATTCGAGGCAACACGGCGTGAGTTGGATTTTGCCGTTTCTTCTTCTCGTCTTGCTTGATACTGCTGGTCCTGTCTCGCTTTTGAGATAACCTGCAATAGATTCGTCATCTTCCCTTTTTCCCTTTTTTTTTCCCCCCTCCCCTTGTCCGATATCAGTTTCATTTGATCTCATGTGCCATGACTTTGGAATTCATGTGCTTCTTCCGAACTTGCAGTTCGTCAAAACGTTCACGGGTGTTTTGGAAGAACTGGGAACTGTGGCGAGGAATTGTTCCGAACATCATATGAAGGTAGGGTGGTTGACAATGCGATAACTCGGCCTCGACCAAGATGGGTTGGTAAGCTGTTTCTGGCTCCTACCTCTAACATCCCACGGAAACTGGCCTTCCAGCCAGTATCGACTCTTCTCTTAGATGTGGATTTTACAACTTTGCTTTGTCTTCCTAGCCGGAAAAAGGACCTCAAGCCAGACTCTCTCTGAAAGGAGTTTCCTCAACCCGATTTCTATGCTTGCGAGAACCTACTACGCCCTCTATCGCCTCTCAAGACTTCTGAGTGCTAATTCCAATTAGCCACTTCTCTTATAGGATCATGATGTCCCCTTCCCCCCAAAGTTGTTGGGATCGGTGCTCGAATAAGTTTAGACTGGCAGAAGTTGATACCCCAGCAAACGATTGTCGAAGGGCAAGAAGGGGCAAACAGGATCGCAGACCTCCGGAATCACAAGACAGATTTGATAACCGGATGCTGGAGATAGGCTACAGGTATTTGATCAGTGATGGATCTGGCTTTGAAAGACTGTGTAGGACAGGGATGGAATATCAGAATCGCTCCCTGGATACATTGTATCTTTGATTTCTAACCATCAATCTACGGTCTTTGAAGCAAGAACGCCAGTGCGAGCATCAGCAGTCTTCAAGGGTGAAGTTTTAGGCAAAGACTGGTGGCGGACCACTCCATGGGTGTTTGACATCAAATACAAGGTCAGTGAACCAAGGTTTGGCTTACCGCTGTTATCTCTCGATATCGGGAGAAACTCCCTGACCAATTTTGCCAACCATCAGTCCCATGTTACGCCGGAACATCAATAACCACAACGCTTTGATATTCCCTGGCAACCCTAACCCGACCTCCTCCACACTTCCCAGACAAACTGAGGTGCTTTGACTGGCTGTGAAAGCACGGTTCGCTTGAGGATAGCGATGTTTTCGTAGATTTCAATTTAAGGGGTTTGCCCCATGGCGATCACTTCGCGAGCATTCTCGCGCCAACACGGAAATTTAGGGATATCCCATGAAGAATACCCTGCTTCCGAAAGGCTCTTTCCGGATCACCATAACCGTCAGGGGAAGATATTGACTCCATAAATGAAGTTCAAGGTGCAAGGGACGACAAAGAAGCAAAGTCTTGGCGAAGCTCAAGAGGATCAGACACAGAATTACCCTGATCCCTGGACGGGGAGAAACATCGCGTGGGATGCCACATTGGCATGGATATATATTATTGGCCGAGACAACGCTCTGGGATGCCGGCCCCCTTTTTTTCCCCCTCACAGAGATGATATATTCTGGGGTTATACGGAGTTGCGACGGCATCCCGTATGGTCTATCCCGTACTTACCGGAGTTGAAAAATGTATAAGAACTATTGCCGTCAAATCCTTTCGAGACAACTAATGCCCGAAATGTTGGGCGATGGTTCTCGACTTGCTTACGTTATTTAAAAAAAAAAAGAAAAAGGAATTTTTTTTCTCAAGGCCTAGATGGCTTAGGTAGCATTCAAATATGGACTTAGGTCATGAACGATAGCACCATTATAGTTAGGTATGGAGTATACAACTACGCCATCAAACTGGGATCCAGAAACACCGAACTCCAACCCGCCCAGCTCGAAAGCAAATATCAAGAACATTTAGAGAATATTCGACATCCTTTAATCATCGCATCTCACCCGTTGTGACCGCCGGTTTGTCGATTCAAAGTGAAGTTATTCGTTTACGATAACAACTCGTCAATATATGCCTTCTCCCGGGCAACTCCTCGCGCTTCGTCCTTGACTAGCACGGCAAGGACTTCTATAGGTGGATTCAGATCCAACGTGTGCGCTCGGCGCCAGCGTTTTATTCTTGCAATACCGATGCAAGGCTGCGAGAATTTGGCTTTAGCGATTGGGTTCAAAAAACATAAGAAACCAGAATTGGGGGGAGGATATGTGAAGGCTTTACCCCGTATTGATTTGATAAATCGAAATGTCGGAGGATCTTCTCGTGTATGCTTAGACCTTCTTGGTGCACTGCAGAATCAATCCGGGTCGCCGTTAGCATTGCTTTGTAGAGCAAGTTCCTATTCCTCTTGGAGAGTTGCGCATGCCGTGTATTTCAAAAGAAAGAACGGCCGCCGGAACGATTATCATGCAGCGGAAGAGAGTAACTGATGCGCATACCTCTGGGCGCGCTCATCTTCGCCTCCTCCGCCTCCCAATACCGCCGTATATCCTCCTCCGTCAACGCCTCCGCCTTTTTATCCTCGGCTGACTTGGGCGCTTGGAGTTGCACGCGGGCTTGCTCGCGAACGACATTCTCGGATTTTGATGATGCTGCGATAGGCTGTGCGGGTACGACTACTTCCTGTTCGGCGACGTCCGCGACGAGGGTGGGTGCGGCTGGCGATGGGCTCTTCGAGACGCCCTTGCGGCCGGCGAGTTCAGGTTCAGCGGTCGGTGAGGGAGAGGAGATGTCTTTGAGGTGTTTGGAGGATGGGCCAGATGTAGGCTTTGAGATGCGTGATTTTGTGCCGAAAGAGAGGGTTTGTTGGTGTCTGGTGGAGGCGGGGTTGCCAGAGCGGCGGCGGGTGGGCGGCATGGTTGCGTCTCGTGGTGGGTGAGAAAGAAACTTGGGATATGGCGATTGATGAGGGCACCTAGATGCGAATGAATACTTCTTTCTGAAGTATCAGTTGATTCTTGTCCCAGTGTGAAAAAGGGTTTTCGTGGTCCGGCTGCTTGGACGGTTTGCTGCCTGCTCGTATTCTGGTTGCCCATGGCAACCAGCCCTACAACACCGAGCTTGGCCTTCTATCCCGCCCTGAATCCCAGGTTGAAAGCTCTTTCGAGTGAGCGTTTGAGTCGAAGAAGGACGAAATTTTACGGGTCTAAGGTTGAGATAGATACCGTTAATGTTCACTATAAGGCTTGAAGCTGGCTGCTTCGGTGGCTTTATTTACAAATTCGGCCTTGGCTGGAACTTGAGCGCTTCCGACACGATCTCCACCATCTCCACCACCTTCTCTTCCTCCAATCGTCTGCCGACAAGCTGCAGGGAGACGGGCGCCCCGTGATAGAACTCCGGATCATAGTCATCCTGGACTGCTTGGTCTCTGCTGCTGAGAGCTTTCCAGTCGCTGCCTCGCTTGAGATCAACAGACTTGTCAGCATATGTGACTGGGAATGTGCAGCCAGGAAGGTCTGTTCGTTTTTTCATTCAGTCAGCTCTTGATCCATCGACTGGCATCAACGGAAAGTTAAACATACCGAGCAGATTTGCGACTCCCGTGTAGCCTACATAATCCACCGTTTCTCCCAGTCCCAGACGGGCAGCAGCCGCTGCTGCGACTGGGGTGATAATGCAGTCCATTGGCCCAGCTGTAGCTGTTTTAGTCGCGAGCCAGCGATCAAGGTAGTCCTTCTGAAGCTGATTTCTCCTCAGGATCATTTCCCGCAGCTTTTCGGGGCCCAGTTTTCCACCGGAGGCCTTCCCGCCAGCAAACATTCTCTGCATGGCGCCGTAGAGGGGCTCCTGGAAGGCCTGGAGGTTTGGCATGATGGCCGAGGAGCCCAGTTCATCGAAGCCTTCTGCAAGGAGATTCATGATTTCCCGGTGGGCAATTGGTTCCCTGAAGTATCCAAAACTTTAGCTGGCGTTAAAGCAATAAAAACAGAGATAAGCTGTTTACCATTCAAAAACATCATGTCCAGCATCTTGCAAGGCTGTCTTTACCATTTCCAAAGCTCGCTCAACGGGCGGATGGCAAGTGATAATGGTGTCATTGTTTCCTAGCACACCGATTCTCAATTTTCGTCCCTTGGGCTGGATGACATCTTTCTTCCAGGGCATGGGAACGATCTTTGGGTCATAATTCCAGGGTGCCGCTTCCTCTGAGAGAACGGACTCACAGAACAGTTTTATCGATCGTAGTGAAGGTGACATCGGTCCGCAGACACCGTTGACGAAATCCTGGCCTGGAATACTGGGCCTGCCTCCCCAAATTGGGAGGCGCCCAAAGGATGGTTTTAGTCCATATAAATGACAGAAAGCGCTGGGGATTCGAATGCTGCCACCGATATCAGTGCCCACCCCAAGAGGAGAGGCTCTCATGGCCATGATGGCACCTTCGCCTCCAGAAGAACCGCCCGGAGTAAGGCCTTTATGGATGGGGTTCCGCGTTTCACCCCATACTCGGTTGGATGTTTCGGGCATCATCATAGCCGTTGGGACGTTGGTTTTGACATAGAATACTGCACCCAGGTCTTTGAGGATATGCACCAAAACTGACTCTTTGTCGGTGGGTTCGTTGGCGTATAACGACATTCCAATTGAAGAGGGATGCGGGGGAGTGATAAAGTTATCTTTCAACGACAACGGCAACCCGTGGAGGGGGCCAATGGTTTTGTTATTCTTCGCGAGATATTCATCCAGATACCTGGCTCGTGCCAGCCCTTCACGGAAGAGGACTTCAGTCACACAGTTTGTCTGCCATCTTCTTGTCAGATATATTGATCGACGAGTTCACAGACACCAGGTTTATCAAGGTTATACCAGCTTCTGGGCAATTACTGCAGCCTTGCAGAATGCATTTGTCGCTGCCACCGAAGTTAAACTTCTGCTTCTGATCCGTTGAAGAAGAGTCTCGGCGTCCGAGTTGATGATCTCAAGCTCTTCGGCGGATAGCAGCCCAGAGGTCTTGGGGAAGGATCTCAAATCTCGTGGTAGGTCTTCTTCCCTGACATCGGGGACCTTGAAGAAGGCATTGATGGCATCATCACGCCTCTTTTGGGCAATGGCCGAGATTTCTTTGTATGTCTGAAGCATGGCTGCGAAGCTAGGATAAATACTATATCAAATCACGATATTGTTGCTTGCATTTGAAATGAATACACGCCATTTTCCTTGGACGGACAGTGGCACCACCAGCAGGCTTATATCATTCCGTTCCTGGCCATTTGACTAGCAGGGATGCATACCACGGCAATTCGCATGAGGGGCATCTGGAGAGGGGGAAAGATGGATGATGTTTAGCTGTCCTGCGCTTGTGGAGAACCCCAGAATTCTGGTTTGTCCCAGTGCATTCAGCGGAAGTTGAGCGGATATGACGGGACGCCTCTAATTGGTAAAGCAGAGCCTAGCCTCGGTGTTTGGTTGCTTGGGCTCCCGGATATCGGCCCCGATTAGCTCTGGCTGAAAGGCGCTCACTTGAGATTCGTAATTGTGTCCAAACCTAAATCTAGACTCCTTTGATCTCGATTGCACGGCTGCTATATGTATGTATGTACGGGATGAACAGTCCTTCTGCTGCAGTTTACCCCTCTCGGCGATGTGGATGGAAAGTGTATTCGCGGAGTTCGCAGAGGTAAATAGAGAACCACCGGCCGAGTGACAGCGGAATATTTCCTTCATCCTACGGGGCTACTCCGTACCCAGATACAATCAATCAGCCTCTCTTCCGTACATTTCATCAACCTACAAGCTGCGACGGTGTCTGCACGTCTGGACTAAGTAATCAATTTATGATATTTGCTGGGTTCGGTTGATGTTTTGACATGGCCGACCTTCAGCCAACAAATCTGCTCCCGGGGACCTTTGGTCTTTGCAACTGCCTGGCCAGGTGACGAGCCACTCCTATTCCCTGCTCGAAAAGCCTGCCTTGCAATCCCGTTCAATGTCGTTGCCTCGATCATGGCCTCGGTAGCTGCTGCTGCGCCATAATCAGTGACTGCGTTGTTGATACTGGATAGAAAGCCAAGCAACAATGATGAATGATTTCGTAGCAGCTCGTAGCTAAGCATCCGGTCATTGCAACCCGACCGCGATACGTGACGGTGTGAATATGAACCGTGCGCCTACAATAGATTCCTTTGAATTCCAATCTTTCCCTGGGGGAGTTTTACATATTTCAGAATACTTTTATTTCTTGATTGATGATACCTCCAAATCCACCAAGTCGCGCATCGGGATCGGGATGCAAATGACCGGCTAAATGTGTTTCCTGCAGCAAAAAAGGCGAAAGCCGAGGCTCTGTCACCAAGCCAACAGCGCGTGGCGTCATTGGCTGTGCTCGACGCGAACCTGGACAGATTTCGCGTTGAGGCAGGAATCGAACTCCCCGAAGACGGGACTTTCGCAACACAGACTGACCGCATGTTGATGCTGAGATAAATTTCATTTGAGTGACGTACCATGAGTCGCAAGGCTTCTGAGCAGGCTTTAGCCAATCTACTTCCCACTCTTGCTGAATCCTTGCCTGAGGAGCTAGTCGAACTGGCTGCGTATCTACTGGCGCAGTCACGAAGCTATGGAGGTAGTTTGAAGCCTGAGGAGGAAATTGCGAGACCTTATGCGTGTGCAGAAATTGCTTGCAAGAGGTTTGTTTCCACATATCTGTTATGTCGATTTATTACGTGACTGAGAACTAATCAAGCCCTCTTTCTTTTTTTCTGTAGGTTGAGCAAGTCGTTGAAACTCCCTCCGAGAACCAGCCGTCCGCCATGTCCCCCAAGAATATACAAGAAATTATTCGCATACCTAGAGCAATTGCTTTCGCAATCATCCACGGCAGCTAAACGGCAGGAGAAGGATAAGGTCCAGCCACAGCCAAGGCGAAGTACAAGAGAGCGCCGTGGAGGCCCAGTTACGCCTTCAAAAACGGAGGCTAAAAGCTTCGTGACTCCATCCAAGTCGACTAAGACAGCTAGAATAGATAAGACAACCGCGATTCAATCCAGACTGTCCACAATAATCCAAGATGCACCTTCATGGACGATGCCTACAATCCGGAATATCTGCAGGGCTCTTACCGCGTCGCTGTCAAGATTAGTCCCCTTCGCTCCGCCAAAAGTGTCAACGTCTTTTCCTCCGCATATATTTGCGGGATTATCATCGGTATTATGCTTCGCTGAGAGGACCCTGTCCGACGACAGCCAAGGTCTTGATCCGAACCATATACGATTGCTCTCTGCAGTTTCGGACCATTCTCAACCGGAAGAAACTTCATACCGTGAGAACATGATAACACTTATAATAGCAATATATTTCCTCGTCATTGTGCGAATGCTTGGGCTGGGACGCGATGAGAACCCTCACCCTGGCAGCTCGAACCGACGCGAACTTGATATGGATATGTTCAATGATCTAGCCACAGCTGCTCTTGCTAGCGAAGGTCTAACCGCCGACCAGACCCTGCTGGACAACGTTCATGTGTGGGTCAGAACGATTATTATGCGTGACTGGATGAATGGAAATGAGTGGTTTGAAAACATTCCTGTCGCCGATCCCGATCGCGGCCAAGGAGGAGCCGGAGCAGGAAACGATGAGTCTGGAGGGAATTTGGGGGATAATGATGACGAGGAAGACGGCATTATCAGTCCAAAGAAGCGGAGATTGATGAATCGTTACGTTAGAAAAGTGACGCATCGCTCTCTACGGGACATTGATAACCAGCGTCCAAAATTGCTGCCCGGCTTGGGAACCATGATGCATGATCGGGTGGATTGGTTGAGTGAGGGTAAAAAGGATGAGTATGTAACCTGGAAAGAGGGAACTATGAAGCGGATACGGGAGATCGAGAGTGCTGCAGTCACAGCTTAGTTGGCCTATATGCCATCGCAGGGACCGCTTGTCTGTATGTACGTGCCTAGCAAGTTGACACGAACCGGCCATGCAGAACCATATGTGCTTAATACCAGATACTTCTTGTTCGGTGATGCGGGATTTCTTCTTTCCCGTCGTTTTCCACTTCCTTCATCCGATCGTACAATAGGAAGTCGATCAAAATGGCATTAACACCCATGGGCTTCTCTTCCCCACCCTCTTCTTCATCGTCACCTCCAAGATCCCGTGGCTCGAGGTTGTTACGCTTCTTCTCTTCCTCCGCCAAATTCATGTCTAACGCCTCAACGGACTGCGATCCCGAGGTAGATAACGACGATCCTTCCGCATATGCACCAGCCTTCGCAGCAGCATGGTTCCTCATGATCATCTGACGGATCAGTTCCACGCACCAGATACTAGCCCCACGCAGCTCTATCTCCCACTTGTCGCCGCTCGGAATCAGCTTTAGCTGGCGAATGTGACTTTCTAGCCGGGGGGAGTACAACAGACAGCCTAATTGGTGAAGCATCTGCGGGACGCGATAATCTGCAAACATCGTTATTTTATCAATGTCGTTGAATTTACCGTACTTTCTGCCCCGGAAACAGGCCCATATATCTGCGACTAGAATCTGAGCGCGTTTGTAGAAGCGTACGGTTTTGCGTTCGAAGGTTGCTTCATCACGGAAGCAAGGGAAATTTTCTGCTAAAAGGTTTACCAGAGCGGCAGCGGAATTGTTTGCTTCTTCAATGCAGTTGACGAAGCTGCAATCATATTCCTGTCGTTCTCCAAATTCAGCAAGTGAGGGAAATAAAGGTCTTCAATGGCCACCTACATCACAAAGAATTCGACCCGCTTCGCGGAGACTTGCTATCCGCTCTTGCAAGAGTGGAATTTCTTCGTCTGTCGCAGACCGAAAGACATGCTTTATGACGTCTTCCGTGCATTCTTCTGCATTTTGCCAGAATTCAGGGCTCGTAATTGGGATCTCTGCAAGTTTCAGCAAATCTGTGAGCCGCAGAGGAACCAGGATCTCAATGAGTTTACCTTCATCCAAAGCTCTTTGTAGTGCAGCAACAAGGCTCCAGTAGCCGGTCCACCGCTTTCCACGATAATCTATGGCAAAGCGTTTAGACTCATCCTTCTCGGCGGACCAGAAGCTAAAGTTTAACAGATCCATTGTAAAAATAAAATCAACGGTCTTCTCGTTCTTTTCCTTTGGATGCAATTCGTGTGATGCCCACGTCTTAGTGGAATAAGATCTCTCCTGCATCATCTGCCATATTGTCTCTGCTGCTTCTTTTGTCTTTGCGGGAGAAAGCGCAACGTCGATGGCGTTGTCGAAAACGTATTGGGCGCCTTGCAGCACTTTGGTCTCAGCCGGCGCGTTTTTGGGTGGGCCGCCCAAACCCAGGGACTGGCGGAGGAGCTCGAGGAGCTCTGGATCCGCTTCGTCATCAGACATTCTGACGAATATGTATTAAGGGTATCTACAAGTAGCTCAATTGTCTCGCGGGAAAGGGCAGGAAATGGACCCTTTCCATTTGCACAGAATGGATAGTAACTAAAAATGAGTCACGATGAACAGGAAATAACTCCCAGAGCACAGACCTCAAAGAAACGCTCAAAAGCAATTTCTATCAGGACAAAGAGTCAAAATGAATGGAAACTGTACTCCAAGTCAATAAAAGAGAAAGACAGGAAAGGTGAACAATTGTCAGGAAAAGGTTGATATCCCAGGCTGCCTGTTTCGGGATTTGATGCTGCTGCTTTTAAGTTCAGATCATGTCAGCACAACAGCCGCCGGAGCCGCCGTTGACGCACCGCAAGAAACAAAGCACAAGATGGCCAGCAGGGAGGGGCCGGCGCGCGATCTCAAGCTTTCTGCCCTTTAATTAGTGATAAAGGTCAATTGGCTTGGGGACTGTTAGTAGGATATTTGCTGGGAGCAAGGTGTTTTCTATAGTTAGGTGGAATATCCGCAATTCATTCTCAGACCTCCATGGTCTCGTGCTCAGCACTTGAAGATTTGAAAGATTAGGAACCCTCATTCTGGGAATCGGGGATAACCCAACAGTTTATCTTATCCATAGCCCTTTGCTGGAGGTTACTTTTAGAGGGAAAAAAAAAATACAGAGTAGCCCTGATATAAATGTCGCATGAGTGTGCGTGCCTCCCACAACCACGTCGTCTCTGAGGTAGTTTGTAGTTGAGAGGATCATGCAAGTGTGCCGATGTGAGAGCCACTAGTTGGTTATCCAAACAGGAACACAATGCAAAGTGTTGACATTAGAGCCAGTCAGCTTGTTAGATCGGTTGGCCCTGTGAAGCAGCCCAGTGTCTTCCTTGCATTGTGAACCCACTCTTATTTATTTAGCTAGTAGGGTCGGACTTCAAGGCTCGCCGCTGAATCTCCCTCCCAACAACAACACTAAGCGCCACACTCCCCTGGCTTTTCTTTTTTTGTTTTTTCTTTTTTTCAGTCAAAAGAGAGCTATCCTATGAATTCTATGGATCTGCCTATCCAGCTCTACCTCTAGTCGACGTGTATCTTAGCCAGATACCTTTTACTCAAAGATGTCGCAGGCCGACACGGCACCAGGGCCACGAGACAAACACCTCAGGCAGTCTCTCGGCACTCTATCGTCGAACATCCGGAAGGTAGGCTGAGCAATGAGCGCGAATGTGGTGATAAGTCAATGCTGATACCAATTCTTTGCTATAGTCTCGCGTACTCCTCGTCGGTGCTGGCGGAATCGGGTGCGAACTCTTAAAGAACCTTCTGCTGACGGGATTCGGCGAGGTTCATATAATCGACCTCGACACGATTGACCTATCTAATCTGAATCGCCAGTTTCTCTTTCGGCATGAACACATAAAGAAGCCTAAAGCCTTGGTATGCCTCGTCGCCGGCGCGTTTCCCGGGAACTATTACGGCTGACTTTCATGCTCTACACGACAGGTTGCAAAGGAGGTAGCGAGCAAATTTCGCCCGCAAGCAAAACTGGAGGCATACCATGCCAATATTAAAGATAGTCGGTTCAATGTCGAATGGTTCACGTCTTTCGATATCGTTTTCAACGCTTTGGATAACCTGGATGCCCGACGACACGTCAATCGCATGTGTTTAGCAGCAGACGTACCGTTGATCGAGAGCGGGACGACCGGGTACAACGGGCAGGTCCAGGTCATAAGAAAAAGTCGCACCGAATGCTATGATTGCACCAGCAAGCCGGTCCCTAAATCTTTTCCAGTTTGCACGATAAGGAGCACGCCAAGCCAGCCTATTCACAGCATCGTATGGGCGAAGAGCTATTTACTGCCAGAGCTTTTTGGGACATCTGAGGATGATGTTGAGATGGACCATTCAGAGGACTCTGAGAATGCCGAAGAGATCGCAAATCTCCGACAGGAAGCGCAGGCCCTCAAGGAGGTTAAAAATTCGATGGGGTCTTCGGATTTTGCCAAGAAGGTATTTGAGAAGGTGTTCTCTCAAGATATCGTAAGACTACGCAGCATGGAAGAAATGTGGAAGAGCCGGAAGGCCCCCGAGCCTCTTTCATATGAATCTTTGGAATCTGAAGCTAGTTCGGTTGACTCGCTTATATCCACTCAGGACCAAACGACTTGGAATTTGGTTGAAAATTTTGCTGTCTTTAAAGACAGTACTGAGCGTTTGGTCAAGAGATTGAAGACCCTGCAAGCAGAAGTCCCAGAGGGGCCGCCTCCAATCGTGACCTTTGACAAAGATGATGTCGATACGCTTGATTTTGTTGCTGCCGGTGCCAACCTTCGCTCCGCGATCTTTTCAATCGACTTGAAATCTAAATTCGAGATTAAGCAAATGGCTGGAAACATTATCCCAGCGATCGCTACAACTAATGCCATGACAGCTGCACTCTGCGTCCTACAGGCGTTCAAGGTTTTGAAGGATGACTATGAAAACGCAAAAATGGTATGACGTTCATGCCCCACAGCCTTTTGGTCTATACTAAATGCTTCTTAGATTTTCCTTGAGCGGTCTGGAGCTCGAGCTATCAACACAGATACCCTCAAACCGCCTAACCCAGAATGTCCAGTTTGCTCCGTTGCCCAGGGAAAAATATTCGTCGATCCGGATAGGGCCACTTTAAATCATCTAGTCGAGGGCGTCCTCCGGCTAAAGCTAGGCTATGGAGAGGAATTTTCAATCAGTAACCAGCTTGGAACCATCTATGATCCTGATTTAGAAGATAATTTGCCGAAGAAACTAAGCGAACTCGGCGTGGAGAAAGATAGATTTGTTACTGTGATTGATGAAGAGGACCAGCGACCCAAAGTTAACTTGGAATTGCTTGTTGCTGAACGGTAAGAGCCCAGTATATTACTGTTTTCTTGATCATCATTTTCTTTCCCCCGCACGAGAAGCCTTTGGGCACTGACGGGTTTTAATAGACGGGCTCCTGAACCAGAGTCGCCAATATCTCTTGAGACTGAAGTCACCATCCCGGCTAAACCCAACGTGCCTGCACCAGAAGTCACCACAAATGGTGCGGCGGAGCAGACCAACGGTACGCCAGGCAAAAGAAAACGAACTGCAGAGGAAGCAGAGCTCGAAAATGGCGATCCTCTAGCTAGGAAAGTTGCGAAAATCGACACGAATGGCGGCGACATCAATCCGATTGTCCTAGATGATGATACAGGCGCGATTCTAATCGATGATTAGTCCCTTCTAGTACCATTAATCAAACCCACGCAACTCACTGCTTAAACCGTTCCCCTTTGATCGGTGAGATACCAACCCGGTCGAGTCGGACATCCAACCCATCCGTTTCCAAGACGAGCGGTATCCTTTCTACCATTTTTTCATCAATCTTTTGATGTGAACCAATTAATCACGGTCGCAAAAAAGCTCTTCTAGATTCTATGTCATCATATCTTGCTATTGGTGTTCTGTTTTTCATATTCCTGTACATACATGGGAGGATATGTGAGGTCAATGGGGATTTCCGGCGCAAAACTATACGGGTGATAAAGCTTTGGCTCGAAGTCGTTGGCTCTCTGTGTTGCATTTCTGCATTGCTCTGGATGGAACAGGAATTGTTTTTCTTTTCTTTTCCTTTTTTTATTTTTGTCTATTTCTCGCGATCGGACGGAAATATGACGCGACACATTGTAACTGTATCTTTTGCACGTTCTGGCTATTTTCGGCCTCAGTATGATCCTTCTCTTCACCCTTCTACATTTTTCTTACAGAGCACTTAGTCCACCGTCGAGATTTAAAACGCAATTGTTGGCGTACTGGTTCGTTGCCAGGAAAAGGGCTGCATCGGCGACCTCCTCGCACGTGCCGAATCTCTGAAGTGGGACGGACAACCGTGCTTCCTCGCGGATTTGGGGACTCAGCTCTGAACTAGATTGTTAGCAACATTTCTTGCTTTGTCTATCTTTCTCGTTTTTCCCCCCTAATGTGCTGGATTATAGAATGGGCATCATGGGGGGACCCATGACTTGTTTTAATAATGTGTATTAAGAAGTTGTAATACAACACCATCATTTGGCTAAGAACATACCGTCAAGCATCTTTGTCTCGATGTAGCCTGGGACAATGACGTTTGCACGGAGTCTGACTCCGTGTCTGGACGCCGCAGCTTCTGCTACAATTGCACGTGTTAGAGCAATCACTCCGGCCTTAGTGGATGCGTATGTAGCTGCTCCGATGCCTCCCTTCACGGCATGAAGGGACGATATGTTAATTATGCATTTTGAGTCTCCATTGCCGCGTGATGATGGTTTACGAAGAACACGGCTAGCCATAGCTCGGCAGGCGAATATAGTTCCTCGAAGATTTGTGTCAAGCATGTCTGAAATAGCCTCGTCCTTAGCGAAAGGGAGGAGCGAAGTGTGCGAAACACCGGCAGCGTTAACAAGAATATCGACTTGGTTCTGAAAATGTCAGTAGGGAAGCGGCGAGACTCGGCCTTTGAAGCTATCTTACCATGACTTTTTTAACGTCTTCAGACCAAAATGATGGGTTTCCAACATCTCCGATGACCAAGGACACCCGATCATTCACGGACAGGTGCACTTGGGATTTGGACGCGAAGCCTCCCCATCGCTTGGATTCGGTGGTTGCGGATTCCTCTTTTTGTGCTTTTGCCGCATCTTCCTTTTTAACGGGCCGCGATGGAACTATCTCCCCTAGCCGCTCCAATGCGCTGTTCAAACGCTCCTCGCTTCGGCTGACGAGAATGACTTTGTCAGCGCCTTCGAGTAGCATACGTTGCGTTATGGCAAAGCCAATTCCTGACGAGGCGCCCGTGACCATGCATGTCGTTTTTTGTAAGCGGCCGAGGCTCTTAGAAGGTCGTGTAGATGCGCTAAAGTACTTTTCACTCCAAGTGTTAGGGTATAAGGGAGCATTATTTGCAACGAAACAAGGAACAAATGCGCTCAATCGGGAGGCTCTGAGAGCCGCCCCGCGCAGCTGCCGGCTGCAATGGGACGAAAAGAAGAGCTTGGCCATCGAAACAAGGCCTGGCAATAAATTTCGGATGCAAGGCTCCCAGACACAAACGTCAATATTGCACCGTGTCTCTACTTCAGTCAGATTAGCACAGTACAGTAGCTTGTCATAGAGAGTACGGCGATAGATGTATTAATGAGCAAGACTGTTAACTTGATTAACTATGTGAATTGAAAATAAAAGAGAGCCAGATATCAAATTTCAATCTTCAATTGCTGGGCGGGCCGAACGTTGAACACCCGTTGATTGAAACGCGCGGTCTTATCTTATCAATCAATCTCCCACACGGGTCATTTAACTAGTTAAACTCTCCCAGCATTCGCACTCGAAACAGCTTCTACCTTCAGATTCCACCTAGCTTGGCTTCTCTCTCTTCTACTCTCTCAAATCTTTAACCCCCCTTTAAAACTTGATCTACGACGCGTCGAGGACGCATATCTGCTAATGGAACCTCCCGAGTTCGTTACTCTCGCGTCGAACGATGGATTCGAATTCGTGATTTCAAGAAGTGCGGCTTGTATATCAGGAACAATACGTCGAATGCTTGATCCAGCTAGTCAGTTTCTCTCTTCAAGTTTGCTCAATTTGCGCCATGTCTGCTGCCATGCGCCCGATGCATTGCTGACTGGCTATTCCTTCTGATGATAGGCAAATTCTCCGAAGCCGTGACCGGCCGATGTGTCTTCGAAGATTTGAAGTATGCCACCTTCCAACTCTACTTCCCGATGAAATGCGTTTAGCTGCGTTGGGATTCATTTAACACAGGCGTTTCCTCTTCTCTAGTGGTGTCGTCCTCGAGAAGGTCTGTGAATATTTTCTCTATCACGAGAAGAATAAAGGCCAATCTGAAGTGCCCGATATGGATATACCGCCAGAACTATGTCTAGAGCTACTTATTGCGGCTGATTATCTCGACAGTGAGTGCCGAGAGCGCTTCGATTGCAAGAATACACCTCATCGATATTCCTACTGACGTTCTTGAAGCATAAACGGATCATGCGTTGTCGATTCTGGGAAGCTGAAGAGATATATTTGGCGTTTGGTGTTAAATCTTGACTAGAGCGGTTCGATGCAGGATAGCCATGGTTTCAGCAATATGCTTCGTTGGCTTATTTAGAGAGGCTAAGATGATACATAGATCTTTTTTTCTTCAATATACCCTCTTTCGCTATCTTTATTCTGCAGCTGATTGCCCTACAGGCCACCAGCAAAGCATGCAAGACTGAAGCCCACACCTGGCATTACGTACCCTCATGTCACGTTACAATGACATAGTCCCACTTATAGCTGAGGAATACGTCTAAACGTGATGGGTATATCAAACAGTTCCAGCGAGAAAGTGGCCTCGGGGGAGACTTGCGAATTCGCGTCACGCACCCTCTTGCCTCTCGAAAAATAGCTAGCGAAATACATGTCTCCATCAATCCAGCGGGAACTGCGACAGGTGTCTCGTCATGATCCGCGGCTACCAACCCGTCCTATCCTCCCCTAATATTGCTGCTCAACAGTATCCTAGGGTCAAGCTAGTGAGTATTTCTCCCCACTGACGAATCGACCAAAAAAAAGGAAAAAAGGAAAAAGAAAAAAAAAGAAATAGAGGCGGATGGTAGCAGCTGGGCCGCTTAGTCAAGCTTAACAGCGGAGGATTCCTGATGTTGTGCGTGAAAGGGGGGCGAAGCTTAACCATTTCCACAGCTATATTGCCCGGAATTACCGAAAACACTGGTGGGAATGGAGAATAATAGCAGCGTTGGAAGGGCTTCAGACAGACTTTGATCTGTCCGGGCTCAAATAGCTTATAATATATCGGGCTTGCTATCCATGTGCGGCGTTCCATCCTCTCTGTGTTAAGGCTTCCTTTTCGAACGGCCGGAAATCAGTTATTGTATATCGTAAAAACCACTTGATAGTCTTCAGTTCGTAGGCATATATCAAGCTGATTGGATCAAGCCGAAAGCAAAGGCGATTCATCTATCGTCCTCCCTTCTTCCCTGGCGGCCTCCTACCACCTTTGCCGCCAGGGGCTATGGTTGTTAATTTCTGCTCGTACAGCGGCTCCTTGCAGAAGCCAGCATCCGCAACTCTCAAATAGCTGACGACTCCCTGGTCAACAATACCAAGGATAACGTTTCGCCATCCATGTCGCAGCCGCATGTACATTAGACGATCCAATTTTTCACCGCGCGGGGGTGTTAATGGTGTACTTGCTAAGAGGGAGCCGAGTTCTGTAAGCGACGGTAGGGTGGGATGTGTTCGGGCGTTTATTACAGCAAGGCGGAAATCTGGTGTGCCCGGGAGGGATTTGCGAAACGGGGTTGAAGGCTTGTAGACATTGAACGCAAGGCGGTAAGGCGAGGTTGAATGGGCAATTGACGATATAATTTTCGGGTCTGAATCTGGGATATCCGGTTTAAAGCCTGGAATGATCGAGAGGGCACGATAGATGTCGTCTAGTTCGTCAAGTTAGTTTCGAAACATAATGTAAAAGGGACTTCCGCGACACACTGTAACTTCTGTAAATTCCCAAGCCTATCACCGGCCCATGGGCGGTAGAACATGCCGATTGTGAATTGATAATAGAGTAGAAAAGGCGCGATAAGCGTCCTAAAAGACCCGGCTGTGGTTCAGTGGATACATCCTCCATTCCCTGGTCAGTCTCCGCGGTTTCCGGTATTCCAGAATTGTTCTCTTCCCACCCTTCTGCACGAATAACGACATATCCACCTCTTTTTAATCCCGCGTATACGGTATAACGTTCTATGGACAATCCTCCACGTCCAATAAAGCACGCATAGGCTGCTTGCAAACTCATCGGAACACCTTGCTCCATAGCATCTGCGGCATCAATCATTCCTTTGCTCTCGAACGATTCTAGTGGCCATCTAATGTCCATACTTCCGCGTTCCAAAAGGTATAACGCTTCTTCCGGCAACAGCCACATTCTATTGAACTGATCTGCTTGGCCCATTGCTCTGAAATATTGGCCACGAGGATTCGGGACACACACGCAAAGGTCAGCCCCGCGGGGTCGGTAGACCTGCCTGTCCACATCCTGCTTAGTTGGAGCGCTCAAATTACCCTCGTCCTCGCCTTCTGGAAATCCGATCTCAGCATCCGTCTCTGTTAATGCTTGATCCGGCCGTGGCGTTACGGGTTCCAGGATCCCATCTGGACAGAAGATGCCCACAACTTTATTCCTGGGATTATGCAGCCGGGGAAAGACGAGTGCATTGTGCATAGCATCCCGGGATGCCGCAAGCGTGTCTGCTTGGTGAAGGGTAGGGTTTGGTTCAAAGTCCTTTTCTCCACGGCGCGGCAGGGTTTGCTGGGTAGGATCGGAAAAGCTGAAGTGAGTCAGCATTACCTTTGTGTCAGAAATAAAGACGAAAACCATTGGAGAGAGATTCACTTACAAAGAGACGTTGTTCAGGAAGCGGAAATCTTGAGTCTCGTCAGAGACGTCGTGATCGATGCTGGAGGAGGGATCCACGGAGGAAGGTCGCAACATGCCATCTTCGTCTGCGTCGGCCATCTTCTCAAGCTTACGTAGAGGGAGTAGGAGATCAAGTTAACTGCCTAAGTACCTCGTGCAAACCTGTTGTAACTTGGAAGCGCAATTCAGTTTGGTTGGACTCTGAAAACTCCCAGTGATTGATAAGATAACCAACGATCAATTCGCATCCTTGGCTTCTCGGTAACTAATCATCAACTAGTTAACTAACTAGCTAGCGCCTAGACGCGCGGCAACTCAAGCCTGTGTTGGGGGCGAGCTACTGAGGCACGTTGCAGCCGTTGCGGTGCGGCGATTAGGCCCGGCGGGGCGTTGCGAGCTTATTTTTGCCCCTCGTCGAATCCCTCAGCGCTGCTGCTTCTGACATCTGTCCTTCACGACCCAGGAACCTGTCAAACGATCTCTTTTCCTCTAATCCAGCTATTCAACCTCGATGAACATTTCTATCCACAAAACACCTCGACTAGTTATTGCACTAGCAGTCCGATATACCTGTATCTAAATGACTTCTCCTCGCCCATCCACCGTACTGATTGAACAAGCAAGTTCCTTTACAGACCCCATTGAGCGATGAACTTCTATGCGACTGTTATCTAACCCAAAGCCCGCTTTTCTGCGGTCAAAAAGATTTCAAGAAACTTAGCGAACACCCGTGCTTCATTCGGGCCCAATTCACCGCAGTATCGTGCTGTACTGGACGTGCTACGGGAATGCATTGCGGAAGCTGAAAGTTCGCGGAGTACGGAGATGGTAGCACCAGAGAGCTCGAGGTCTGTAGCAAGGACGATAGATGCGGAGATACAGGTGGATCAGTTGCGTGTTTTGTTGGAAAGGGAGCTTAAGATCGTCGAGCAATAATCGCGGAATTTCAGCCAGGAGACCCTGAGTTGAATACACACTAATGCAACGATGACTCCTACATATAATTGTCACGAGTTCATGACGGACGAAAGTCCTGATTTTCGTAGTCGTTCACGAGTTTGATATATTTCGTTTTCTGCTGGCGATCTAGTTATCGTATGTACACACCTTCAACAGAACAGGGCCATGCAACGATTCGATTATCAATGAGTACGTGTTCCCATCGTCTTTGACTCCCAAATTGCAGACTGTGGCCTTAACTACATCCGGCAAATCGGATTAGGCGGCCTCGACCAGTATTTGCCTCGTGCTAGAGCATCGTACAACGGGCCCATTACCACCTGTTCAAGCTCCGCTTCTTGTTTATTCCGTACCGAGTTCAAGAAATTGCTCTGCCGTCCCCGTCTACCCATATGCACAAAAAGATCTTTTAATCCCTTTATACGAGTAAGCGGCTCGACAATTCGCTTATATACTTCGGGCATGGCGACATTGTGCTGTAGGCGATTTTCCACATCGACGTCGGACGCCTGTCCGCATGACCTCTCGGTGCACTCCAGATAGAGCGAGAGAACAAGGTTTGATATGTTCAAGTGTTGGGTAATATAATCAAGCCTGTCGATCCAGAGTGCTATAGACGACGATCCGGGAGCATAGTCCTTTAGGTCGTTCAGATAAGAAAAACTAAAAGAGATGAACCGTATATGATGAAGGCAGCTTTGAGGCAGATACCATCCCAAGGGATCATCATGATGAGGGTGAAGGAACCGATTCTTAGAGAAGAACACGTGTTGTGAAAGTTCTCTTATCCTGCAATTTACCAGGAATAATGAAGCCGGGAATGTCCAACAATGATCCCTGGAAGTGTAACGGGCTCGAAATATATGGCAACCAATATATCTAATGCCCGCCCAGCCACGAATACCACAAGCCATTTCGGCACAGGTATTCAAAATATAGCCGATCCCCTTCAACCATCTAAGATCCCCCGGCGCGGAGAGACCTGCATATTCAAGAATTTTGAGCTGGAGTTCTATTGGAAGGTCCTCGAAGCGGAACGGGGGACAAGACACGATCTGCCCAGTAACTTGGCGAACAGTCCTCTCTGTCAACAGCTGGAGCTCGCGGCTACTGGCCATTTCAAAAGCTACAGAGCATTCTTTCAAGGTCGGGAGTGCGGAGAGTGTCCTCAGCATCGCCGAACCGATATGAGTATCCCCAGTGCCCAGGTTGAGCTTAACCTCCAAGACGTTTGGTTGAATGTGTGCAGCAAGTCTATCGCAGCATCTCTTCCACTCCTCAACAACCTGCCGCCCACATGCGAGCTCATTAGACCGCGTTGGAAACCTTTCAGTGATCGGCTTGCGAATCTTTATATTAATGGAAAGAAACGTCAATGACCTTAGATCCAAGGGGCTTAGGTTCCGCAACGCGAAGAGGGCATTGAAGGTATGCAACACCACTTTGTTTTCGGAATAAAAGGCTTGTAATGCATCATCTGCGATCTCGCGAGAAACGTAGAAGAGCTGGTTCGAAACAGGAGGACGTGGGTCGTCGTCGATTTCTCTGAATGTTTTACTCTGAGCCGACCACACAAAAACAAAATACTCCGGTGGATAAGACAGTGTAACTTGGGAAGTCGATGGTATGATAAGACCTAGCAGTACATATACTTGCCGACGAATCGCATACGGCAACTTTAGGAGCAGGGGTCTTGTAGAGCTCTTGTTCTGCATATCGCTCGGGTGCTTGAAAATCGAGTTTGCCATCCCGGACTCCGTAGGATAGAAGAAAATTATGTCTCTAATACGGAGGACTTCGGAGGTCGGCTTCGATCACTGGGCATCGAAACCCCATGCGAAAGGGAACAAACTCGAAGGCGGTGAGCCCCCTTGCGGCTCCTAACTACTTAGTTTGATTAGTGAGCTCAAAACAAGGCTGGGAAAAAGTGCTAACTAAACTAATTTGGGGCCGAGCGGCTGGAACAAGGGGAGTGTGTGTCGAACATAATAATAATGGCATACTCCGTACAGAGTATCCAGATAGTAGCATTGCCCGTAGGCAAAATCGACATACACTCAAGAACGGTAGTAATTGCATGTGTCTTGTAAAGTACCATCATCTCAACCACACTGAACAAAACATGGTCGCTGTTCATAATAAGGTCCCTATTGGGATGTGACAAGAAAGAAAGCAAGGATATCGTATCCACACTTGTGAACAATAGAAGAGAATTAGGAATCAATCCGCGCCCTCTAGCTCCATAAAAAAAAATTGCCAATGGGGGGGTCAAATAAAGCGCCTTCACTCCGTAACATTCCCAGATGCAAAACAGATTTTCCACCAGGCCCAAGAAGAAAAGTATTAATGCCAATAGGGAGAAATCCGTAAAATGCCCCGTCTGGATATTCCCTTGCCAATAGAGCAGGTAAATCTGACCCAAAAGTGGATACGTACGTATGTATGAATGAAAACAGGCTTTCTGGTTCGATGAGTAGGGTTCGCCGATAAAAGGATAAAATCGCCGACCGTTTGAGGAGTTCCAAAAATAAATCGAAGGTAGGTCATATCAAAGGCGCCGCCGGTCGGCATAGAAAGGTTAAGCAAGGTGAGGGTGGTTAGAAACGATGTGTCTATATTGCACTGCGCTCCCAAACCCCTTCGCACACTTGGTTTTCACCATGACACTTATCGCGCGTTCATACCGGAGGTAGCGGCAGAGAAGCGCTAAGCAGCTAGGTGTGATGAGACATCATAATACCGAGCCGGGCCATCACTAATACGTGGGTGTTGGTGTTAGGAGGGTCGTGAATCAGTCATAAGTCGTTCAACGTACGTTACGAAAACGGGCGGCCGTGTTAATTTCGGTCGGATGGGCAAATCACAAGGGCCAGGTGCCGGCTTGTAGTATTTCAATCTATCAACGGCTTTTTCACATTGCCCACAATCGCTACGTTGATGTAATTCAATGCGTAGGGGTCGTGAGCTCGCACTATTGTTGGCAAAGGTAACATCGGATTATCGGGATTAATATGCCTGGCTTCTCTAGCTGCCTGCTCGATGGCTTCCATTTCTTCTTTGCATCCAACATGATCCTGAGGACAGACGACAATGGGCTGGCGAAGTACTATGTCTTTAGCTGAAGTTAAATGGGCCTGTAAGGGATTATCCTAGTCAGCTCGGACCTTTTTCATGAAGCATCCTTGACACGCACCTTGACCGTAAGATAATATTCGATTTTATATAGTGACGCGGTTGTGGTAAATGAAGTGACAGCATAAAATGGAAAGCCCGGTTTTGAACGCGGTAGAATGCCATCTGAATCGCGTAGGTCCCTCGCAGGGAATACCAGACCCAGATTGGTGATATACCCTGCTTCGGGCAGTTTCATACCCACGCTTTCTGACCTCTTCGCCAAGGTTTTCACTTTGCGCTGAGGCTCATCGCCCTCATGGTTGTAAATAATCTCTTCGTCGATGGTAAGGGTAAGCTTTTGAATTGTGACTTTTCGGGCTTTACTTATCCAATCTGGGTTCGGGGAAAGCTGCACATATACGCTAACAGGGTCGAGAGGTCCATATGACCACCGCGGTAACGATATTCCCAGAGTAACCAAATGGTCCGATACCTTTTGCGATGATTCGGGTCGGTTATACATCCCAAACGTTGACAAAGTATCGTATCGCGCCAACGGCACAGGAAATGCATACTTCTTCTGTTCCGACGGGCCTTGTTGAACCATAACCACCAACTCGTACAATGTCTCTGCGGTCCGGCTGGGGAGCTGTAAGCTGGGCGGCGGTAGTCTCCGAGATGATTCCTGTCCGCCTCGGCCGAACGGTATAAATAATACGAAGGGGAGGTCCATCGCCATAATCTCTTCATGATCACGGCCCATCGGGCAACGGAAGAGGAGCATTTCTTTGCCAACGATATCCGTAATCTCTTTGCGGGGCGCCGCGAGGTGTCTCTTCGTTACCGAGTCCGCAGAGGGATGTATCGTCTCTCGTCGCTGCAGACATATTGTGACCATGGAAATGTTAACGGGGGCGGATATGCCAGCGCTGGGTCGTATCTCAACCTTTCCCTCGATGCGGGGCTTCGAACAGTGGTCAGCAACGGCGATCCCAGCGACTATGCACCCGAAGCCTTGTATCGCGAACACCGGAATGAATTCAAGGGGACGGAAAACTCACCAGAGTTGCTGATATGCCAGGGTAGCCGACGAGAAAGTTGCTGTTCGGAGGCCCGGACACGCGCACGAATGCGGCCATTTTTGAACCAGAGGTTCCTCTTAAGCCACCATGAGCCGGAGATAGGGATGCGCGTCGCGAACTGAGACTGCTGTTGAACTTTATTAATATGATCAACTGTTCTGGCGACCGTGGTGCATGAGGCTATCCCTGCGTGTGGGTGAACGTTGGCTCCAGCGCACGAGGAGGAGCTAAGTCAAGGGTCGCTCTTTAGTGCGGAGACGCGAACGGGGGCGGGTAGGTATGGTCGAAACGGCTCAGGGTTCGACGGATTCAGAGGTAACCAGGAAATGTCGGCGAGGAAACAAGCATCATAGGGAGTCTGCGTAGGGATCAAACGCAGTGCGATGGAGACGACACTCTTGGGAGCATCTGCAGCAGATGTGTGCGCCGAAGATATTTTTTGTCTGACCGGCACCTCTTTTGGCAGCAGCCTTCTTCCAGGGATAATGGAACGGCAGGGGTTGCAATTGGAAATTCGTACCCCGTACGCAGTACTCCCGTAGTAACTTGGTAGGAAAACGACCGGTGGCCCACACGGATTAACTTAGTTGACGAGTCCCTGTTGGCCTGGCCAACCTGCGAATTTTTAACAATCTGATAGAGTGATGATGACGATGACAAGATGTTTTTGGTGGTCGCTTTCCGGGCGGCAAAACCCGAGGACTAACTGGTTAACTAGTTAATATGGTTAAATGTGCCAAACTCTCGTACAACTCTGGCTGGCCGCCACAATGTGTTTGGCAGTTACTATTCCATCCAGGGGACGGGATAAACAAAGCTAGCAGCTCTGTAACTAACTTTGTTGTTGACTCTTGCGTAAATTCTAGGCGGTGGACTCTGTGCGTGCAGCTCCACGTCATCCCCTGGGTCACGGTTTTTTAAGGCTCTGGATCACTCTACATACTCACATATTGTTGCTGTACCTTGCCGGAAAACCACATTGTTTCAAGACAACTGCATATATATTACTCTGTACTCTGTACTCTATATACTCTGTACATACCAAGGAATTAACTATGGAGTCCAAGGGCCCAGAGAATCCGACCGCAACTCCTAGGGATGGGTGTGAAGTATCTCCTTAAGAGCAGGAGTAGCAAGAAACAAACATTTTCCTGAATGCGTGCTGGAGGTAGGCCGCTCTTTGCCGTCTACTCCGTATGCTCCCCATATGCGATGCGCCAAGGATCTGAGAAATGCGGGAATTGTCCACTGTTCGCGATTGGAGCACGCTGGAGGAGAGGCGGCCGGCGGCGTCGTTGGTGGCTGCAAGGCTGGGGGAACAAAACGGTCCCGGCCGGCGTCTAAACCACGTGATCGGCGAGAGATGCAGGCTGGCGGGCGCGGAGTGCCGGGGGGAAATGGTTGGAAGACGACGACGACGACGACGACGCGACGGTGAGCATTGTTGCGGAGCTCGGACTCCTGATGACTGCCTGGGAGCCTGCACTACAATGTCTGTCACGGTGAGCATCGCATTTAACCAAGTTTATCTGACCCAAGAAGCGGCATCAGTTGACATCTAACCGCATCTGTACCAGCTCCATACCACCCATGGCGACCTCAAGGTAGAGATATTCTGTGAAGCTGTCCCCAGGACCGCCGAGGTATGTTCCATTTACATTTAGTCCGTCGCGTTCACAACTCCCTCTCCAGCGGTTTTACTTGTTGTTATTTTACTCTATTTGCTTGACTCTAAAAGCTAACCACAAGCCAGAATTTCCTAGCCCTATGTGCCTCAGGCGCCTACAACGACACCCCCTTCCACCGCCTGATCCCCTCTTTTATGATCCAAGGCGGCGACATATCTCTCTCCCTGCCCTCCACCGATTCCGAATTACCCCCCGAACGACCTTCGTTACCATTCGAAATCCCCAAGGGCGGAGCATCAATTCACCACCCAGAGCCCCTCGAGCAAGAAATCCACCTTCCGTCCCTCCGACACAATGCCCGTGGAATCCTCAGCATGGCGAGCAAAGCCGTTAAAAAGAGCACAACGGGTTCGGAGACAAAGCACATCAACGGCAGTCAGTTTTTCATCACATTTGCCCCCGCGTCTCATCTTGATGGGAAGAGTACTGTCTTTGGGAAGGTTCTAGGTCTGGGTTCCAAGGAACAAGGGGAGGAGCACGATACATTGACGAAGTTGGAAAACGCGAAGGTGAAGATTGATAAGAAAGGGAGGGTCGTACAGCCGGGTGATGTTGGGAAGAACCAGAAGAAAGAAAAAGCAGAAGTGGAGCAGGATGCGGAATGGGAGCGAATTGGGATTGAAAGGGTGACAATCCATGCAAATCCGTTTGCGGAATGAGCGGCCAGCGGTTCTGGAAAAATATAATGGGCCCCCGGTGACCCTGGATTGAAATATTCCAGTGTTTCTTTGGTCATTTGGACGGAAACCCGGTTGACAGCCAGCGAATATCCGTACAAAAGGTTCCTCCTTGCATCCTCCCTTCGGGAAGTCACGATCTTGATCTGGACATGACGCTCTCTGCCGAGCCGTTGGGTTTCGCCTAGCCCACTCCTTCGTCTCGGGTTGGGAGCGAAGACCGGATCAATTCTCGTATCCGCCGTCAGGTCAACCAAGAAAATTATGCCTGGGGCTTTCAAAAACAAAAGACCCTTTCTCGTGCTAGACTGATCAAAGATCAGTTCTCAAAGGCCTGGCTTCTTTAAAATTTGTCCGAATAACACGCATTCTGTGGATAGCTAATTTATCAAGCTGGATGAATCTGTACATTTACATCTGGCCAATTCTATCTGATTAGAGCGTATAAACTATGCCAAGCAGGGTGCAAGAAAATAATAATCATCTTTCGTTCTATCCCAGAACGCAATGAGCAAAAGGATAATGCCACCTTTTCGGGATTCTAGCTTCAGATTTTGTATCGCGTTAAAAAAAAATGGGTCATTCCAGTTCATTAATACACATCACAAAGGAGAGAGGGAACTCAAGACAGTGTCTACACACGAGATCATGATGCTTCATCCTTTTGATTGTCCTCTTCATAGCCCTCAGTTTTCATATCTTTCAATCCAAGTTCATCTTCTTCCTCGTCTGTCCGAGTGTAGTCTTCAATATGCAACTGAGGGTCGGGATCCGGTGCATGGAGGTTCTGGACGTAACTGTTTGCAAGAGGATCTTCAAGTAAAATCTTGAATTTAAGTTCTCCCTTAATAGCGGCATCGAGCCTGCTGAAAAATCGTTCCCAGGTTGATCGCTCCTCAGCAGCCATCGAGTCACCCGGAGCCAGGTCTTCATCGCCAATCTCAAAGATCTGACCATGAAGCTGATCGCGGACTTGGGTTAAAAGGCCCTCAACGGTAGTAAACCGACCACCAAGGGTGCCCGGCTGCACGGAAAGGTCGAGCTCTTCGCTTGCAACGGCACAGGTATCTGACTTAAGGATATCGCGAGAGAGATCTTTAATACCCTCAACTTGGAGGGTAATGCGTCTGCCTTTCTCTGGAACAGCCCCACCTGTCTTTACTTCATTTGTTCGATAACCACAATGATCGCATACCGTACTCCAAATGAATACTTCCTTAAAATGGGGAATATCCACCTTCTGCATATTTACCGAGCATACTTTCGTGCAGCCAGGACACTCGGCGGGAAGACTGTACACCTTTCCGTCTATGATATCGAGATCATTCGGATCACCCGCAGAAACCATCATGTTTCCTGTTTCTTCCCCTCCTCCAATACCCAATTCTTCATTCTGCTCACGAGTCCGGCGGTAATCCTTCCGTTGGTATTTGTTCCCTTCATCATGGGGTGCAGGTGCGATCCAGGAGTTGCCTGATGGGTCATCGAGTGAGATGGTGAAAGGAAATGCTTCACGATGAACCATTTTCTTCAACTTTTGAATAACGGTTTCCAAGGACTGGTAGAGTTCCGGGTCAGCGATCTTTCTCGCAGGCTGATCGCTTTCAAGCTGCTCGAGAATCTTCGATAATATTCCTTCAACATTGGTGAGTTGCCCATCGCCCTTGGGCATTTCTATTCCCAAAGTCTCCAGACGAAAGACTGCCGAATCACTTTTGATAACCTGCCTCTCGAAATCTCTGGGGGACTCGACTTCTAGGGTGTACCGCGAACCTTGTTCTTGGATCTGGCCGGCAGCCTTGATTGAATTATTCTTAAAAAAACAGTGAGGGCACTCAAATGACTCTAACAGGACGTCTCGGAAAAAGGGGATGCGAAGTAGGAGGATTTTGGTCACACCCTAGAACCCGGTGAATGTCAGCCTCAAAGGACCAAATGGCCAGGGAAACTTTCGCGACTTACATTCTTATGGCAATTCATACATAAACTTTCCAATTGCATGGGCCCGACATCGTCTTCATTTTCATCCTTTCCTTCTTCCTTTCCAGATTTGTTCAGGGACGTTTCTTCTAATTTAGCGGATAGATGCTGCGTAGAATCTTCCTGGAGCCCTGCGGATGTTTTCGCGACGGCTGCGCTTTCGCTATTTGCCATGATTCTGGTCTCTAAGGCTAAGTGAAGGCGCTATCAAACGCGCGGTCGAATTGAACTCTTGGTTATACGCGGTTGTCTTTGGGGGAAAAATTGCTTGGAAGGGAAAGATAACAACCAATGGAGATGAGGGTTCTTAGAGAATAACCCTTAAAATGCCCACGGCAACTGACAGGTCCAGGTTGTTTCCTTTTCTCAATAAGTGTCGCGGTGCTTTTTCTTCGGCCAAAAAAAAAAGTTCAGTTTGGAGAAACATTCCAATTCTTTCTGGGATGCTCCCCGCACTAGCACATATTAAGTTTAGCCTTATCGTCAGGCCCCGCACTAAAACATTTTTGGACTGAAACGGGACAAACAATTTTTCCGTGCTATTTTGGGAAAGTAGGGCTTAGGGCTGTAAAAAGTCGAGCAGATCAAGGGATGTCGACGGCGAGGGCTGCGAGGTCTGTTTGCTCGCTGCGAGAGCTGCTAAGAGGCCTTGTTGTTTGCGAGCCTTGGCTCTGTTCTTACTGCTCGCATTATCCGAACTGCTTTTCATCTTAGCGGAGCTAAGCGTAGCAGCAACATTGAGCTCCGGGGCCGATGTCTCGGTCTGGCTTGTAGGTTGTAACGAATTAAGTGCTGAGGTATCAGCCGCGATTCTGCCCCCTGGCCGGTTAGGTTTTGCTTTTTTAAACGGCTGGACAGTTTGGCGATGGCAGCGCAGGCAGTTGTAGACAGCACATGATTCCTTGTCGTTTGTGGGTGGCATCCTTCCACGCCTTGCGCCCTTTGGAGCCCTGGCACGGGTAGAAACTGTGCAAGTTGTAGCTGGAAGACAAATACTCCCACATGATGGACAGTATTCTCTTTTCTGACTGAAAGACATTGGCTTTGACAGCTCATAGAGGACACAGTTGTGAGCTGCCAAAAGATGGGCAGATGTTGATGGGCTGTCAGACGCCAGCATCAGAGCTGACTTCTTTAGAAATTCCAGTCGTGCAGCCATATGGCTCATGGTAGGTAGTGATAGACTGTCCGCTAAAAGTAGCGGTAGGTAGGAATTAGCACTGGAAGGAGCGTACTCCGTAGAAAGGAGAGAGATGTATGTAGGGAAGACAGTGTGAGTTTGATATGGTCAGTTGAGAAGGGGGAGACGGCCGATCAAGTGAGAAACATCAAAACCACCAACAGAGCTTCCCGCGCTCTACTTAATCCTCACTTTATCGCTCACAACATGCTCAGGGTGGTTCATTCGCGTGCAAATCTCTTTGATCAACTTTTCTTCAAGTATCATCCTCGCATCTATTTAAACCACCCATTCTCTCTGGTCTTAACCTTCCGAAAATATTGTCGTTCGTCGTCACCAACCTACTTGACGCGCCACAGCAGAAAATCCTTGCATCAGTCGTCGTCACTTTGTCGACAAACCACTATGGCATCTGATCTGCCAACACAGAAGGGCTTTCGCCTTGCTATAGAAGGATGCGTGAGTGTTCCTTTTGCTACCCTCAGCCTGCTTTTTCTTGTTGCGACGCTTGTTCTTATCACTGGAGCAGCACATCAACTACAGTAAAACTGACCTGCTTAGGGACATGGAAAACTACATGAGATCTATGACTCAGTAAAGAAATCGGCTGAGGCCAAGGGTTGGGATGGTGTGGATTTGGTTATTATTGGGGGTGATTTTCAAGTGAGACCACGTCTATGTCAAGTGCTCTATTCCCTGCTGTTGCCCTGACTAACATTTATCTACAGGCTGTCAGAAACTCCAATGACATGGCTTGCATGGCTGTTCCAGCAAAATATAAGAAAATTGGTGATTTTCATGAGTACTACAGCGGTGCTCGAGTCGCACCTTATCTGACTATCTTCGTGGGAGGCAATCACGAAGCAAGCAATCATCTTTTCGAGCTATATTATGGAGGTTGGGTCGCACCCAATATTTATTACCTTGGCGCCGCAAATGTCATTCGATGCGGACCCTTGAGAATTGCCGGGATGTCGGGAATCTGGAAAGGCTATGACTATCGCCGCCAGCATTTTGAAAGGTTGCCATATGGCGATGACGCATTACGTTCTATCTATCATGTTAGGGAGATCGACGTCCGCAAGTTACTCCAAGTTCGCACACAAGTTGACATCGGAATTAGTCACGATTGGCCGCAGGCTATTGAATGGACTGGTGATGTCGATGATCTATTCCGCAGAAAGCCTCATTTTGTCAAAGATGCAGAGTCTGGAAAGCTTGGAAGTCCCGCAGTGCGATATGTTCTTGACCGCTTGCGACCAGCTCATTGGTTTTCTGCACACTTGCATGTGAAATACACTTCCACCCTGGAGCATAAGGCCTATTCTCCTCCTAGAGCAGTTAATGCTCACAACATTGACACGAAATCACAGCAGTCGCGCATGAAAGATCCCGCCAAAGATCCAGAACCTGAGGAAGTTATGGCGAAGCCAATGCAAGCGTGCGTCAGAAGACCTCAGATGATGACTCCAGGCGCCGCAGCATACTCTGACAGGCGACCTGTTACTTATAACACTCAGCTTCAGAGCAGTGAACAGGACCGTATAAATGCCTGGAGAGGATTTTATGAGGTGGCCTCAAAAAGGGAAGCTGAAGAAAATGCCGAATATTTGAAAGCTGCGGATGAGTTTAGACGTCGTGTCGATGCTGGGGAAATCGAAAAACCTAAGTCCAATATTGACTATCAGGTGACCTGGAAGAAAGTTGTTACTGATGATGGCCTCTCGCGAGAAGTTTCAGACGTTGTGAGAACCAAAGCTGAGGATGAAATTAACCAAGTTCAGAAAGAGACTGCCCCTTCTCCTGTAAAAAATGCAGACGAAATAGATCTTGAGATGGAATCTGCATCAGAAACGGCTGAGACACCAAACGAAGCTCTTGATGCCTCTATCACAAAGCAAAGCTTTTCCACCCAATTGGAAACTACAGCTACCATGCCCATGCCACCTGCACAATTTGATGGAGTCTCAGATGAACTTCGTGAACAACTGCCAGCCAGTTTTCAAAAACGTGACAAAACACAGGACAAGGCCATAGCTGAGGAAGAGCTTCCGGGGGGTATTACAAACAAGGCAACCCAATTTTTGGCTCTGGACAAATGTGAGCCGCACAGAAAATTCCTGGAGCTGCTCGAGATATTTCCTGTGTCTGAAAGCGACCACACTGATGAACAACGTCCATACCAACTTAAATATGATAAGGAATGGCTTGCGATCACACGTGTTTTTGCTGAGGGATTCGTGGTAGGGAAGAAGTCGCAAGTTCTCATTGACAAAGGGAGCGCATTTTATAAACCAAAAATCATTGATGCTGAGGCCTGGGTTGAAGAAAATATTGTCAAGGAAGGCAAGATGGTTGTTCCACACAACTTCACCATCACAGCACCTGTCTATGAACCCTCTGTTCCTGTCACCACTCCTGAGCAGCCGTTCGAGTACTTGAATCCCCAGACCACTCGATTCTGCGAAATGCTAGGCATCGCAAATCCATTTGAGCAATCTGAAGAAGAGCGTGCTGAACAAGAAGCAGCTATCAGACAGGCCAACGATCGCCGAAAATCGGAGCCCGCTCATTCCGGTCGTCGGGGAGGCTTTCGAGGAGGTCGTGGCGGCGGCTGGGGACGTGGAAACGGTGGGTACGGCGGCCGAGGCGGTTGGCAAGGAGGTCGCGGAAGAGGACGCGGTGGGCCGTAAATCGTTACCTAACCACCTCCCTCCTCTCACAAAATCACTTCGCTTCGACATCGAATTTGATTTCAAGGCGCAATTTATAGGTTACGGATTTTTTACTTCCCAGCAGAGCTTGCATTTTACTGGCCGTTCGGGGTGAACGGTGTTGAGGCGGGATTGCTGAACATGAAAATTAGGGCTGAAAGTCATTGATTTCGCTCCGTGCTGAGCATCTACTTTGGCATTTCTCTAAGCCAGAGTGATGAAATTGCACCATTCCTCATAGGTAAAAAACCCTGGGACGGGAGTTAGAAAAAGGGACTGGAAGATGACATGTTATCAAATGGATGTTTCCCCCCAAAAAATGTGGTATTCAAAAGGGTAATTAACTAGTGGTTAGTGCTAGATATATGAAATTTAAGATATTATCCTTTTGAACATAATTTTAACGAAGCCATTGGTATTATGAAGGTAGCCAATTCTTTGCTGCACAAAAGCACAGTTACTCCCTTTGATATTTTTCACTTATTTATTCTAGCCTACTCAATCTCCTCAATTCTGGGATGTTCTCCTGTTCTCCCATATTTTTCTGTACTGGACAAAGGGTGGATATCTAACCCTGCCAGCCGATCCCCCAATTCAAACCTGGGCTGTTCCATCAGGCTCTGTTGAGTGCGAATTCCCCAAAGTAGCGACTTTTCGAGCCAGGCCTCCAAACTCTCGATTAGAGCTCGTAAATGACCACGTACAATCGTATCAGTCTCTCTGCTTTCAACGAAGTTCAGCGCGCGGAGGATATCGGGAACATTGCCGATTGTAGTACGTTCGGATCCGGATTGGTGACTGGCGGGATATATAGAGGATGATGTTGCAGTTACCGATAGGCCGAAGCCGAGATCCTTCCCCGACTCTCTAGCTTCGTCAAGGGCTTTAATCAAGTCAAGCAGCAATATTACTGCTGCACGTCGTAGAATTGCGCTTCCTTCATCGGATTCGAGGGTGAGAGTGGATATCGCGAGATCTATTGAGGAAGATGCTAATGCTGGACCTAGACCGGCTAGGTTTGTCTGGATCGCAGATGCGAGGATTGATATCGCGGAAGCACGGGCACGTAGATCATCTGGGGCAGTATCTGTTGTAGCCCCAGCCTCCCATGCGTGGATAATTCTGCTAAAATAGGCTTCTTTAACTGGATCTTCCGTTTCAGAATCCACATCTTCGTTAATTTGGTTCATAAGCTTCGTGATGTTTTGATTCAATTCTTCACTGTTTTTCGCCGGTGGGCTCTTCTTTATGCCTTTTCCCCGTTGATCCTTCGCTTTGAGCTTAATTCCCCTCCTGCTGGCCACCTCGATCATGACATCTCCGAGGACCCTGGCAGCATCTCCTACTAATGCACCCCCTAGATTTTGAATTGTTCTGAGGAGTGCTTCGCCGATTTTGAGTCGCTGGTCGAGGGTCGACTCCTCGCTGCGATCAGCATAACGCTCGGCGAGGGTTTTTATCACAGTACGTGGGTGCTTGGACGCCAGGGATCCGATGAGTTTGATCACATTGAGATAAAGAAACTCGTCGGTAGCAGCAGACTCATCGCTAGCTGTTAATACGGAAAGAAGAAGCGTGAGAGTTGCAGGAATATCCAGGACGGGAGACGCTTTGTCAATTAGCTGAGATAGCGTTGAGAGACCTTCGGCTTGAACAGGGGCCAACGGGGAAAAGATATTATTTATCGCCTGGCGGTGGCTTTCAAGATCAGAGATGCCAGGAAAAGTAAGTGTTGGTTTTGTCTGGCGTTGATCGGGGTCGGAAAGGGTGATTTCGAGGAGCATAGAAGATGTGGTTGCGGGTTGTACAAGGGCGGATGGGAGTCGCGGTAGAAGATAATCTATGTCGAACTTCAAGTTTCTAAGAATTAGGGATATTGAATCCGATACTTGAAAGTCGGGAGAAGCGAGGATTGTCGAGAGGAGACTGAATGCCGGTGATAGAGATTCGGAAACTCCGGTGATATTGGAGTCCGGATCGCTACCCACAGCTGATTCTGCCTCTACAATACTCCCAAGTGCCTGGAGAGATATGCTCTCACTGCCTTGAGCGTTTGTCCTGAGCGTGCTAGCGCGATTCTTTTCACTTTCGATTAGCTGTCTTATAAGTTCCAGAACCTTGATAGGATGGCGAGATAGAGATTCCTTGAACTGATCCAAGAGCTTCTCCGCAATTTTCGCGCTGACCAGTTTTCGTAACTCGGGCTGCAATTTGTCTTGTTCCCTGTGTGGCTGAGGACAACCTCCATCCTCACCCATTGATTCACTAAACAGCCATTGTCGGCTTACATGAAGGAAGACATCGCCCACAAATTCTTCTTTTTGTGGATCTGCAGCTAACAGCTGTAGAAAACTATCGACACGTCCATCTAGATTTTGGATTATCGAGAGGATATTAGGCCCACACGGCTCACGATTTTCACGTTTCCGAATCGAAACACCACCTTCTTCGCCGGCCCCATAGACCCAGGCTTCTGGGCCATCCCAAAGAATGTTATCCGCAAGCTTGACCAGCCTCGTAATGCTAGCGGATACGCTAAAAAACATTTGTAGTAAAGTGCTCACCTTCTCTTCTAGTGAGCGCTTCTGGTGCTCTTTGGCGTAGCATTGTAATCCCCAAAGAGGCAACAAGGCTGGGTTGACTAATCGTTTGAGAAGGCCGGGACTTGGATGTAATGTCGCCAAGGCGGTCAGTCTTTCTAATGCTAACAGTAGCTTGCACTCAGGAACAATGATGATGCCGTCAAAATCCCCGGTCTTTATCTCTGGATCAGCAGAGCCATCCAGGGAGAATGGTCTCATCCAAGTTGTGACAGGCTGGGAGATTTTGCCATGGAACGTGTCAAGGATGGGCTGGGCGAAAATGATAAAGCCAATGGCCCCAGGAGAGCCATATGCTCGTTTTCCAAGAATGCCATTCCCGATTACATAAGAGGACGTTTTCTTCATATCAGGGTCTTCTCCATCAAGTAGAGCTAGCAGTTTGGGTGCAACGTTGCTAAAATATTCCTCAGGGGTGCTGCCTTGCGGTACCAATGATAGCAACCGGGAGGACTGCATGATTGCCTGGACCGTAATCGGTGGCCCTCCAGCGGAAGGGTCTTTGGTGCTTTGACCCAGTGTTGGTGCAAATTGAGAAGCAAGAAATAAAATTATTTGAAACACACCATCTTTTCGCAATGGTATTTGGGAAAGCTGTGAAGAGATGCAGGCCTTAAACCAAGGTGCTGTACTTTCTTGGAGCAGGGATGATAGCACCGGCAACAGCGATGGCGTGGAACATCTACGATGGCATTAAACACCTGGCCTGCAAAATTGGGAGATAACCATACTTGTCAATGATATCATTCAACAATCTCTTGTATGAATCGATTTTATGTGACGGTAGATCTTTCGAGTTGAAAGCTAATTCGGCAGTCCCACAAACTAAGTCAGGCAAAATCCGTCCAAGGATAATAGGTTGGATTGACGGGCGCGCATCTTGGAGAATATGACTCAAGGATCCTATAATACAGTCTAAAATGCGAGTATACTGTGGTGTTGAATCACTTGCTTTTGTTGCATTCTTTGCTATGACACCGGCGGGAAGGACGGAAATGACACGCTTCTCTAGCGGGATGCCAACTCCACTGGACAAAGAAGGATATATACCCTCAAACGAAAGGAGGTCAAGCAGGGCATGGAGAGCCCGGCGTCGTTTCGCATCCTCTAGAGCCTGGTCTTGCTGTTTCCCTAGCACCCGCTTAGCGGGGACCGGGTCGGTTGATTCTGCCACAAAAGCATCGTGGATGCTACTGAGTAAAGCCAGTGTTCGCTGTACAACGCGAGATCTTGGCGTATCATCATGACAATAATCGGCGGGCAGTGTTCGATCCAAAATATCGATGAGAGAATCGCCTCGAAAATTCTGTATCCGCTCTTAGAAGTCTGTTAGCTCCCATCTGTCTCAACTCAAATGGGCCAAAGGTCTCATGCCTTTGTTTAGAACTGGATAGAGGAATTCATTCGCGGCATCAAACGCATCTCTTAACTGCCTCGTATCCTCCATTTCAATGAACCGCGCTGTTCTTCCCCTAGCCCGTGGAGTAAGATGCGGTGCTGAATAGTTGTAGGTCTGGTGAAAGTTTAGACGTCTTTCTTCTTTAGGATTAGCGGAATCTTGCATCTAGTGACGTCACGCGTAACTGCTGGTCGCACTAGCCCAAATCGGGACTGCGCGCTGGCTCGCCGTCGGCGCGCTTCTTTTGCTGACGATCCCCAACTTCGACGCTCTGGTCGTGCCTTGGACATCAACATGTCGCACCAATGCAGTCCCCAAAGACGGATATATTGTCATTATTCACGGAATCTGCGCAGAAGGACCTTTTGCTTCGTGTTGCCCTTTGTCTAAAGCCAAATTTTCTGTCATGGTCTTCAATTCGACAGCATTCTTCCCTCTCCACTCCCGGTAGTACCTCCTTGTGCTCCCTATATGCAGTTCAACCTCCCCACAGTTCTCCAATGGCCGTTGCATTTGTGAAATGCCCCTCGCGAGGACCATTGTAGCTCGGATATGAAATTCCACGCTATTTCGGTTTCGGGGTACACGGAAATTGGAACTTAACCCTAAGGAACTTCGTCGGGTGCCTCTTCGACCCTCTTCTTGGGTGGTCGGGCACAAGTCTCGTGGTTACAGCTATCAGCTCTTTGATTAGCCGATTCTATTTGTCTCCCCGAGTAGGGTGGGTGAAAAAAGAGATGATTCCCAGAGCCTCACGCGAGGCAACAAAAGACGGTTTACTATGCGTCCATTAAATTCCGAACGGAATACGCGTCGGTTTCCTAAGCTGGGTAATATGCTTGGATCAACGAAAGGATATCCAGCTCGGTGCGTGCAGTTATGGAAGAAAATGGGAGATGGTGGGTGAAACGGGATGGGCCCCCTAATCTGAAGGTCGCCTTTGGGAGCCAACTGTGCCCGGTGGTTTTTGAAATTTGCTGGTCGTCGTCGCTGGAAATCAGCCAAGAAATCACTCGTGCTATTCATCTACAAGTGGACACTGCCCAAGAACGTGAACAAATGCTCTTTAAAAGAGTAGCCTACAATCGCCCATTTAACATGTTCCGCTGGTGCATTCTGTACACTTTTGCCGGAATCGGTTCTGTGCTGTATCGACGCATACAACTAGAATCGTAGCAAGGTGTGGGACATCACTGGCGTTACTTTGGGTCTCTCGAAGTGGTAGTCATCTGGAATTGCCCTCGGGAATACATGGCTTGTTTTCTGTTCCGGATGGGTGATTCTCCATGACCGGTGGTAGTGCTGGGATTTTTTTGACTGTGCTGGAGTGGGTTTGAGGATATCGACGAACCAACGATTTCTGCTTTCCGTGGCTGGCTGTCCCATGCCCGATTCGAGCCTCCAGACGAGATCTTCTCTGACGGACCCCCACCATCCATCCCAGCTTCCTCGACAAGCCTATTTAACGGTCAGCTCGCTCACTGGATTTTACGTCGAGTCAACAACCATAGACGTACAACTCTTCCCAGAGTATCCGGATCCGCCACGTTAGTCGCCTTGTCGCAAGTCAAGCCTGCGAATTGAAGTGAACGCCGACTTTATAGATGTTTGTGAACGGTTTTCCATTCAGAAATATCTCCTTCCCTCCGGGGAAGAAGGAAGCGGTTTTTTGAGGATGTTGTTTGTCCGTTTTCACACTGCCCTCCGTTTTTAGGAGAGGAAACAAAAACTAGTCTCTGAGGATACTGCATCACACACACCGGGTTATTCCCAGTTAGTGGGGCTTGAGGTTGTCGAGTGTTGAGTTGAATTCGTCTGATGGCATTTCCATCCCTTGGATGGTTTTGGTATATATGGGTGAAGCAAGAGGGTTGAATTCTGCATGATACCTGGGTAAATGCGACGGTTACCATCTCTCGGGATGTTTGGATGACATGGCTCGCTAGGGCACCTCGGATGCCATGCTTTCCTGTGATCTTGTCAACGATCATGGTTAGACGTTCCCAGTTGCCCCGTTGCCGGTCGACTTCTCAAAGTTTTGGTCATTGTGAAGGAATTTTGTTTCCAGTTACCTTCTTGACTTCAATCTTCCTTGTCTCATTCTTATCTGGTACGTCTACGAATGGCCCATCGGGCGTCCACCGTTTCTTCTGAGTGTGAAAATTGGGGAATATGGGAACTCCGGAGAGACATGTATTAGGTCGGGACCTCTCTTGAGTGAGGCTCAAAGTTTCGGCTTGTCTGACCCAGTCCTTGCCCTTCTCTTATTCTCTTCCCCTTTGCTCTTAGAAGAAGGGCCAAGTAGGCGAACGCCATTGGAATGCACTGAAGTGTCGAAGAGAAGTTAGCGCTTAAGAAACATTGTTCCGCCGTTTGACGAGAATGTCGATAGGTGCGGGGTATTCTGGAGGGCGAAATAGCATGATAATTGGCCGTCACAGTGGATTTTGGCAATGCAGAGGTGTCTCTGCCGTTCCTTTCGAGGAACGGCCAATTTTTTTTTTTTTTTAATAAGTGCCCTCCCATCCACGATCTTCTTCCCCCTGTGGAACTAACTAGCTACCGGTGTAGACAGAGCCTGCAGCCCAGCTCTTCTTTGGCACACTGCGGCAACCTTTGCTGGACGGCGGCTCAAATTGCCCTGAATGGCGACTTCCTGAGTCTCGATCGCGACTTCTCTCCACAATGTCACTTTCTCAGTCCCGGGAAAGAGCGACTTTGCTGACTTGCCTTCACAGGCGGTTCGCAGTTTCCGTACCATGGCGCACTCCTTCCTCCAGGGTTTACCCAGTGCTGTGTTTACTCTTTTCCTGCACCGGCCGAAGAAATCCCTTCTGCTGCTTTCGTCTCCCGCTCAACTTCGATTTACTTCTTCCTGGCGAGAGAGTGGCACGCTTCAACAAGCTCGTCTGGTGGCTGTTGTCATGATGTTTTGGAAATATTTTTTTCCGTCTATTATCGTTACGGTAGTAGGACCTACGATTGGGGTTAATGCAAAGCCAACTGCACCCGGTATGAAATTACCGTCGTATCGAGGGTTTCCGGGCTTCGCTTCACAGCATTTCCCTGGTCAGATACCCGATCCTGGCTTCGCTGCTCGAAAACAGTTGGAGTATCAGAAACGCGGCATCAACCGTTGTGGCCCTGATTTCGGCCCATGCCAAGAAGGGGCTTGCTGCTCACTGCATGGTATTTTCGTTCACGACGTATTCTGCCAGAATTGTGGGCTAATTATGATTCAGGTTATTGTGGCAATGGTCCAGAATATTGCGTGGCTCCGGATTGCCTGTTCGACTTTGGGAGTGGTTGTGATGCTTTGAAATGGCCGGAAGGCGAAGATACTTCCCCTGTTGCTCGCCCACACGTCGGAGAAGTGCCTTACAGCTTTATTCCGATTTATCAGTGTGTCAATCCAAACACCGTTGCTCTGACTTACGATGACGGCCCAAACATCTATACGAGCGATCTTTTGGACATTCTTGACTCTTATGATGCAAAGGCTACATTCTTCGTCTCTGCTTTTAACTCTGGTAAAGGCAGTATCGACGACCCAAATTACCCATGGGCCGATATCCTTCGTCGAATGTATAACAACGGCCATCAAATCGCCAGCCATACATGGTCGCATCAGAATCTGGATACCATGTCCAGGGAATTACGTCGTCATCAAATGATAAAGACTGAGATGGTGCTTCGCAATGTTCTCGGTGCATTTCCCACCTATATGCGTCCACCTTACTCCGCATGTTCGGTCCAGTCAGGCTGCTTGGCGGATATGGATGATTTGGGATATCATGTTGCTTACTTTAACGTGGACACGGACGACTACAATAATGCTTCGCCACACCAAATCCAACGCTCCAAGGATTTGTTTGACCATGCTATGGCAATGCATGAGGTAACCGGCCGCCCTATGCTCGTCATTGCTCATGATGTTCATGAACAAACGGTCTACAATTTGACTATTCATATGCTCCGTCGTCTATACGAAGCTGATTACCAGGCTGTCACCCTTGGCGAATGTTTAGGGGACCCTCCAACCAACTGGTACCGCTTCATGAATGAGTCTGCTGCTTTATATCCCGGCAAAACAAATCCAGACACTTACAGACGGCCCGGAGAGAAGCCCATCTCGAATGATGGCACCTGTGGAAATGAATACACCTGCAGCGGCTCCAAGTTTGGTAAATGTTGCAGTGCGCATGGTTTCTGTGGTAATGCCTCGGATCATTGTGAATTGGGATGCCAAGAATCGGCCGGAGAGTGTCGCGCGCAATTGGGAAGCATCGACATTCTTAAAAAGAAGAAACACAAGCATAAGCATAAGCACAAGCACAAGCACAGGCACAAGAATAAGGATAAGGATAAGGATAAGGACAAGCACTCATGTGATTACGACGAGGATGAAGACTGCGAGGAGGATTATGATCGCGACTGGGAACATGACTACGAGGAAAGCTATGAAGATGACGAAGATGGGATGGAAGATGAATATGACGATTATTACGACGGCGGCGATGATGGTGATGAAGAGGATGGGGATTGAGATCAATGAGATGCTTTTCTCGATTTGAATGAGGTCCTCCAAACTTATGAATGGTCTCTGGTAGGCCACGATGGGGGTTGATTGCAGCATCTAGTTTTGTGTTAAAGTTATCCCATTTTTACCACCACCCGGCTTCATGAAATATGCTTTAGGAGTATTTCGCCGTTTTCGAGCTTTACTGGTGAAACAAAGCATTAACCATAGCTTGGTCTTGAATACCGCTCGAAACAAGCAATGATATGGCCCCTATAGACTTATGATAAAAGAGATCCATCGTAAATTCTATCGCAATGGCGTCGACACTCGCTACGATGCATACATCAGTATATGATAACAGCAGCTGCGGGAAGCGCGAACCGAGAATCATTGATGTAGGTGGGACTAAATATAATACAAAGGTTGGGAAGTGCATTAAAATATCTCCATGGCATAGTCAGGGATAAGAGGATCATTGGGTAGGCGGTGAATTGAATGAAACATGACAGCTGTGCGTTTGCGGGTATATAGCTTGGTAATAATACATCGTAACAATCATATAACAAGGCATTTCATCATAAAATACGACATATAATTTGGCGTCGGTTGGTGATCATTTCGCATAGTTTAGAAGCATAGCGGAGGGTTATTTGCGAATAACTTTTAGGAGCGGCGCGATTCTCGCTTTGCGACTTAGACCCACACGATAGGGCACCTTTTTGTTTACTGCAATGGGGCTATGTTTGTCTGGGCCCCTTTCGACGGGCTTCTTTGGCGTAGCTGATGGCTGTTGTTCGGGTTTGTTGTCGACGTTGGGGTTCTCCCGGAAAGCTGGGGGATCGGGATGGAGGTCTGGCTCTTTTGAGGCTATATTTATATCTTCGCCATCGATGGGCTTGTCGAGCATAGGTGGTGGGCTGAGTTGGGGTTGCATTTTGGGAGGGTCGGTGTCGTGAAGAGCGGGCTGCTCTGGGACGAGACCGTCGATACACACTTCATCTTGGTTTGCCTCTTCACGAGAGCAGGTTTTAAGATTTGGCACTTCGATGGCAATGTTACCATCGGGGGTTTTCTTCGGCTTTCTACCTCGCTTTTTAGGGGCGGGGACGGGTGTTTGGCTATGATTCGCTTCGGAATTCTGGGTCGTTGAGGACTCGGCTGGAATTTCTGTGCAGTTGTCCTTGGTCCGAATAGCGTCTTCAGGTTTATCCTTCCCTTTGTTCGACGGGTCGAGGTACGACTTTTCCTCCGGCAAGGAGGCAAGAGGCCTCTCATCTACCCAAATGACATCATCTTCTACATCATGGTCAGATACCTTTTTGACTATAGCAGATGTAGTCTTTCCTCTTTTCAGCTTCTTTTTCTTAGATGTCTTGCGCTCGGGTTTTGAACCTTCCATGGGCATAGGTGCATTCGGCTGTATCGAGAATTGAACCTCTGTAGTGGCTGGATGTCCCGCCGTACTTGTGTTCATGGCAATAGTCAAACATTGAGGGTCTCCTTGTTCTAGACACTCTCGATTCTCTTCGGTGCTTTGTTCAACGATTTTGGATAGACTATGCGGACACTCTCCAGACCATTCACCATGTGAGCTCATCATTACTTCGTGAGTGATATGAGACATGCCAAGCTCATCTTCGATGGTCTTTTTGGAGCGTGATCTGGAGGGTCTTGGCTTATACATTTCCATTGGCATGCCTCCAAAATCATCGGAACCTAGCTCGTCTCGCTCACTCGCTACATCGTCTTCGGATCGAGGCTGGGGCCTTAAACTGTGTAGACGGGACCTATCCACAGCGATTTGAACAGAAATAGGCAACGACAGCTCATCAATGCTATTTGCAGGTGACGTGGGTAGTTGCGCTTCGCAGTTCGTCATAGTTCGGCGAGCCCGTGACAAAGTCGTTGATGACATCGGCTCAGTGTCATGGGGAGAATCGGTGGGAATAGGGACGGATTTGGAGCGGCCCGGAATGTTTTTAGGAGACTGGGCACATATGGTAGGTGGTTTTATTGGGTTACCTATGCCATAGTCGAGAGGAGTTGTGTCACAAACGGATTCCTGAACAGGGTCCATTGTAATATTATGCTGCAACATCTCGTTGTTTGGAGTAGAGGAGACAGAATGGGTGGGAATGAGTTCCGTATGAAAACGACCATCATCGTGGGTTGAACAGTCTGTAAGGCGGCGATGGTGTCTAGGACCCCCGTTGTGGTAATCATGGCTGTCAACGGCCGTCGAAGACTTTCTCCGCTTGGCTTTCCTATTTTCAGGATCGCTTAAGTCTTGTATTTCTTCCAATACCCCAATTGTCCTGCCTCTCTTTATGCTTCCTCCTGAAGAGGGCATGCGATTGTCCGTCGTCCCATCAGGACATCCAGGGGAATAGTCTTCATGCGCAACTTGAAGGTTCTCTCCACAATCTATCCATAAATAGAGGGTGTCAATGAACAGCACAATGCAAAACGACTTGAACAAACTGACCCACCATCTACTTGTTCCCTGTCTCGATCGTCCAGCTCACAATTGCTCCGAGAGTTCACATCCAAGTCCACTTGGCCAGGATGAATGAAAGCCTGTTTGTGATTCACCATTAAATCGGGCCCTAAGCTACTGCCCTCTTTCACGATTGGATATGAGGGCGTTTGACCAGGAAGACGCGGACTGGTGTTCCCGTCGTGATTCATGACCGACGCGTCTGCGCATTGTCGCGGTTCTTGGAACAAATCAAAGGTTGTAGGATCCGCGAGCTCATCGTCGGACTCGTCTGAGTCTTGGATGACTCGGTGCGCAGACATTATGCTGCGCGTGACGGTGATGGACTGAGAACAGGAGCCCTCATAGGAGGCTGGGCTAACCAGCTGGTCGCGGGGTACGGCGATGTGTATCAAGCTTCAGGGTGCTGTGAGCTTTGTGCTGGGAACCTTCTATAGTTAAAATACTCTTCAATCACTCACTCACTAACTAACTAACTGGTCCTGGAGCAGTTCTGGAGGCGAAGGTTGACCAAGTGGGCTGGGATTGCCAAGTCCGTTAAAGGTACTCCGTACGGAGTACGGAATACTTCGTCATCCCGTTAAATACACTAAACAGGTTGTATGGGATACTACCTAGCTGGCTATGCTGCCACTGCCCGAGGCTTCCAATTCAATTGAGTCTACTCCGTAGAAACAGTTGCAATCGAGTTCGAACTTCAGCAGCATGTTGATGACAGCCTGATTGGCGCTATAACTACATGTACGGAGTATGTTTGTGATCCGTCATTTTAACCAGCACCCGTCGCAGTGAGCAACAGGGTTGCGACAAACATAAAGTACCTTGAGGCTTGAAGCATCAAGCTGAAACGCTCTGAGAGTGCATTCGTTCAGAATCATGATTGGCATCTGGTTTCATTGCCGGTTCTTGAATTCAATCACAGTTCTGCGAGCCGAATTATCTGCTCAAGATAATTGACTCTGGTTTGGCTAGTGACCCTCTGTGTGGCTGCTCACATATCATCTGTTTAACGTACCTGGACGACGGAGTCGCCTTTTGTTCGCTCGACATTCACTGCACAACTACTTTGAGTTGCCGGTTGTGATAGACAGCAACTTATCCAGCTTCAAGATCCTCGCAGTCTGCTTCGGCGCTAGTTTGGTGACCGCTCACTGGTAATCTGAGCTATAATGCCCCTGCTTGATATGGAGTATGCTTCTATAAAACGTATTATCGTCATAGAATCTCCTTGCTGCACTGAGCCGAAATGAGACTCTGTTTTTTTCTCTTTTCAATGATTCCAGCTTCCAGTCATATCTACATAATACCGATATCATCTTCTCCAACAGCATTACAACAATGAAGGTCTCAAACGCAACCATATTGTTTTGCATAGCTACCTAGCAATGGGTTCAGCCTGCATACTGCGCACTATGCAAACATTATTCAGTCTTCCCGCTCTCCTCGGCTGCAAATGCATGACCGCCACTAGTCTCAATGAGACTGTGACAGCGAGATGTTGCTCCGAGGCGAAAGGAACCTATGACGATGATGCGAAGGCCGTAAGGAATCCCAGTCGAATTTTCCGGTAGAAGACTCAAGCTGGCATGCACTTTGCCATATTCCTGGCGCTGATGATGTTATAATACCCCGCGAACACTATTGCAGAAAAAATGAGCCGGCTTTGCAACGCGCTGTAGAGCAGAATTGCAGTGCTCAGATTGCAAGCAAAATTGCCCTCCTCCGCCATGTGAGAAGTGCAAATTGATTGAATTAGCCAAATGGGCGTTTGGAAGTCATCAATCCGTATTAACTCGGGCATTCTTTTGACGGTGGCTGTTAACCTGTTCATACATATAAATGCACGGAGGATCTTACGCAATATTCTGGAACGTTATCTCGGGTAATTTATTTAATTTTGCCCTTAGACAAAAGCATGCAGACATAGACCTTCCACCCACAGTGCTTCTCTAGAGAGCTTTGGGAGTACTGCATATCGGGATGACGCGGTCTTATGATGGTGCGTGTGAAGATGTGCAGGTTATGTTCCAAAATGAAGGCAAAAAAAAAAGCACAGCTTTGAAATAGATACATTTGTTCTAAGCGGCTGAGCGACGATCGTTCAAGAATTGTTTGTGATCCAAATCCAACCGTAATTTTACGGTACGATGCAACGGGGTATCATCCGTACGGATTTCAATTCATAATATCATCTCAATAGGTAAAAGCAAGTCCTCGTGACGTAAATTATTCGAGATTGCCTGGCTTCATAACTCCCCGACCAAAAAATTCGCTAATAAGCCCAAATCTATCCCTGCTTCGCTGCAGCTCCGCTTGGAACAGCTCATGCTGATCCGCTGCTTTAAGCTGACGTTCTCTGATAGCTTTGATCGTGGCGTTTTGCGGTGCACATATAGGGCATTGCAAGTCCTCCTCATCTGTGTTTAAACAGCGTTGATGAAATGAGTGTTTGCAGAGGAAGTGAACGGTTGGTAGGTCCAGATTGCCACCGCAAGATGAGCAGCGACGGGCCTGGAAAACGGTGGGCTTTGAGGCCAATTCGGAGATTTCTTTGCGCTTGGTTTCAGTTTCGGTAGTGTAGCTGGTGATCAGCCGGCGGTTCTAAAAGGTCAAGTTAAATACGATGAAATTTGGCAAGGAGTGAAAAGGACATGGTTGGGAAACAAACATTTGAAATCTCTTTCCTATCCCGTTCTATATTGTCGCTGAGATACTTCTTGATCATGCCCATTGTCACCACTGCGTTGTTGCTGAGAGTCTGAATAACCTGAAGCGGCGACATCAAACCGTCTTGATCGATTCGTTTCAGAACAACCTCAAGTTCATCTCCAGCTTCTTCTAGAGCCTTGGAGCTTGAGGAAAAGTACGCCAGCGCATCTATATAGAGTTGAGGCTCTTCAGGGCCATATTTCTTCAGGGCTTTGATTACCCCAGCAGTATCCTTGGCTGAGACATACGATCGCAAGATATCCGATCGTAAGCCTTGTTTCTCTCTTACAAGAGTCGTTCCTTCTTGGAAGCCGGATAAATCTGACAGCAAAAGAACGTTTGATGTTGAAACAGGAATCTGACGAGGAAATTAGTCTCAGATTCATCCCTTTCAGCCAGGGCATAGCATTGGATCACTTACGTCTCTACCCTGAATCAGTAGTTTCGCTTTTGCCTCCCACTCTTGCCTCTCGGAGGGGTCTTTCTTACGACTTGCAGTGTCCAGATACATTTCGAACAGGGTGGTGTATAAATCAATTTTATCGTCTTCCTTTAAATCGTTTTGATCGATTAGAGCCTCCAGGAAAACAACAAACTCCTGAGGATGGTCAACGAATGACGAAAATGCAGTTCTTGGCTTTGGCACGTCATATTCAATCGGTTCCTCCACTTCAGTCGCAATTTGTGGTTCGCTTATGGCAGACTTTGCATTCCCAGGTTTGGATGGGTTAAGATATGGCAGGGGAATAAGGGAGGCCAGGTTTTGCAGGCCGCCCGCACTCTGAGATTTTTCATCTTTGGCTGTTTCTTCCTCTTTCATTCGCCTGGGCCTGTAGTTTCCCGTATAATAATCAATGAATATCTTAGTCGTAGGCTGCGGGCAGTGCTCCAGCAGCACTCGCGCATATTTCATGAGATTCGGGTACGCCTATTTAATGTTAGCATGACACCAAAAGGTAGTCGAGCGGACTTCATACCAGTGTTGGCTCAAGACTCCAAATGAATTGCAACGCTTCAGAATACTTCTTCGAGTCTTCAATAAGGATATCAACCACCATATCATTTTCTCCATGCATTGTTGCTAAATACGTGGCTTGCTCAAAATAGCCACCCTGCCTGCACATTGCAATTGCAGTCTCCAAGTCGAATTTGAGTTCACCGGGGGCTTTGATAAAAGAATCGAGCTTGGTCGTATCCTTTAGCTTCGCATAACAGTTCAATAATAGCGTTGTGTGATCGGCTGTTGCTTTTTCATGGTCATGAAGCTCTTCGAGGTATTCAATAAGATTATGGATTCGTTGCGTATCAAGGAACTACGAGACATGTTAATAGGGCATGATGGTGAGGCCTAAGCGCTGGGTTGGAATTTACCTTTCGTATCACTTGGGATGGCTCAGTATTATCTATCGAACGGAGGTACTGTTGCATTGCCGTGTCATAATCGCCTTTCTGATAGAGGTAATCTCCATATCTGCGGAAGATAATATTTTGCTGAAGCGCATCAACGCCAGCTTTCTGAGCAAGATTTATGGCTAAGATGTAGAGGTTTCTCTGGTATAAGATTTCGAGCTTCTGCTGTAATGTCTTCTCACGGTACCTATACGCCTGCGTGCAATGTTAGACCAAATTGTTTGATAAGGGCGGACGTCCATACCTTTCCATCCACTGTCACAAGAAATAAATCTCCCCATTCTTGAAAGACAGTTTTGACCTTTGAGGATATGGATTCGGAATGTGCGACAAACTTCAAGTCTGGCTCTAGAAGGGTGAAAGTGGATGTATTAAAGATTTCATCCACCTGGCTGCTTCCAAACCTTCGCAGGGTATCGGATCTGGCCGCCGGCACCCGTGGTGGGCAAACCAAAGCGATATAATCCTTGAACACGTCAATCGATGTCTTCGGACTATCAAATGCAAAGCTGGGTCCACGGCCGTTCGCCCTATAAGTGTATATCGCGTCTTCTCTTGCGACTAGAACGTCCGCCGTATCCTTATCGAACACCATGCACCCAACACCGCAGCCAAGGTCTTCCAGCGTGCGCGCAGGCTGGCCGTCGCCTTTCCCACTAATAATGAGAGTAAGGATGCGCCCTGTCGTGGCAATAAACAGCGTCGTGGTAGCTCCCCGCTGGACCTCCAGGCCAGTAATCGGCTCCTCAGATTCAAAGACCGTCCTTTGCTCCGCGCCCCGATCATGAATCAGGTCCCCCCTCATAAGTGTCACTGAGCCATTCGCAAACCCCACCGCGACTTGCCACAGGTCGTCCAACACAACAAACGCCGAAACGGGGAACTGTCTCTTCTTATTCTGGACTAACTTGGTCGATCGACATCGCGGACCGCCGGTCTTCTTGTCTTCCTCGTTTAACGCCCATACTTTCAGGATTGGCTCGCTCGATAAGTCTTCGCTAAGTGTGACAAGGTACGACGTCGAGGCAACTTGTTTCATGTGGGTGATTGAGCCTGTATCGTAGGCCTTGAAGGACCGGAAGACCTTGAAGGTGTTGGAGAGGATGTGGACGAATCCATCGGTGGTGCCGAGGAAGAGGTTATCGGATCCTGTGCATATGCAACTAATATCGGTCTGTTTGACGGTTAGCATTCATCTGTGCCGGTCAATCCGTGCGTCTTCCGCGCGCGGGGGGGAGGGGGTGAATGGTACTGACGCCCAAGACGGACGGTCCATCGCCATCGGGAACCTGGACCTCCGAAACTTCGAAGAAGTTGAAGGTTTTCCACTATTCAAAATATGTTAACGTTGAAAAAGAGTCTAGAGAAAGAGGGCTTACCGAAGTCAAAGCCATATCCTAGCTAGCGCCATCGGTTCTCGAGGTCGTTGAAAAGAAGTGGTTGTCGGCTTCTTATCTAGCCACCTGTCTCTGGAGATGACAGCTGTTGGGGGGAAGCTTCACAGCCAACATGACGACACTCACTCACACCATACTTCGTAATGCATAATTGGCCTATTTCTCAACGGCTTTACTCGATAATACGTATATAATTCTACAAATACTATTGCCAAATAGAATATTGAGTACGGAGTATAGGGTTACACATTGTATTTTCTTAATTGGTTGCTCAGAAGCTTGGGCCATCTACTCTGCACACAAGGGAGTTTGGTCCTAGATGTGAAACTTATTGAATGCCCACTATCGCTCATACACATGCATGGTTTGCGCGAATGACTCTCGAAATGGCTATCTATGATATTCCCAGCACTATGTACTTATCTCTTAACAATTTTTAAAACAAACACCCTGCCATGCTCCCTAAGGCAAATCGATTCTCAAGTATTGCGCGTAGTACTTGTATGCAAAATCGACTGAGCCGGCTGTCCTGTTGAAGAAGCGACAGTTCGATTCGTTTGGAAACTGACCTCTGCATGTAGTTCCCAACTCTGGAGGAAGCTTCCTGCATCCGCAATAGCTTGATCCAGGTCAAAGTTGCCTAACCCGGCGATGAATCCCTGACCATCGTGTTGTCTTGTTCCGTTCGTCGACGGTAACGTAAAAGGCAGAGCTGTGCCCGAAGATTCACTTGAAAAGTCTTCATATGGAATACTGGCTTTGGGTGCTTCGTTCGAGTGGTTAGATGCTGGGCGTATACTGGGTTGGCGGCGCGGGTGTACAGGCTTTGCATGAGGCTCTGAACTAGTTTTGTTATGCCCGTCGAAGTCGTCTCTTTGTGGATGAGAGTGGAGGTTAGAGCCTGGCGAGTTATGTTCAAATTGAGCTTTCTTCGCCGTACTAACATCATAGGGAATGATTTCATTGATTATTGCATGTGTGCTGCTAGGCCCTTGCGTCGTGGGATGGGCATGATCCGAAGCATTTCGTTTTCGAGGTGTGTAGAAAGATTGAAACGGAGTGATTTGGCCGTTCACACCATTTTCAGTATCTGATCTTTGTAACGACTTTCGATATTTCGTTTGGTCTCCTTGACCCTTAATTTCTGGATTAACGAAGTCTTCTTGAAGAGATTTCTGCGCGATAGGTAGCGCAGCCTGTGTTGACCATAGATCCAAGCCGTCCCGGGCTGGACTAATGAGCATGCCATTTGTAGCGGCATATTCAGTCGAATGAAGGGAAATCATTTGATTCTGGTATGCTGCTTGATCGGGTATAACCTGTGCCGACGGCAGATTGAGAGATACACTGGTTGAGATATGTTCTTGACACTCAACCGGCCCTGACAACATGGGCCCCGCGCTGGTGTTGGACATCAAACTGGGAGTCGGTTTCTTTGGCTTTTCCTCATTCGCCTTTGAGGAGGAATGACCGTGGCTAAAGTCCGACTTGGTGACCTTGCTTGTTATGCGCTTCTGTTTTGAGGCTTGGCGAGCGACACGGTGATATTTGAACGAGTCAGGCATGGTATCGGTTGTAGCGAAAGGCTCCTCTTGGTTAGTAGATCCTTTTCCACTGGTTGTGGCGGTGGCCATATGTACTACCGCACGGTCACCATTATTGCAATTTTCACCGGAGGAGCGTGGAGATGTCGATTTTTTGGAATATGGAGAAGCTGCTCCTCGGGGCTCCATGTTGGTTTTGGCACCCGATTTCCTTGGCTTCTTCCGTGACGCTGCTGTGACTGGAATAGCGATTGGAGAGGACGCGGTGTTGCGTACATGACGATTGATTGGAGTGAAGCCAGGCACACGGACCTCGGTCGCATTGGGAGTTGGGCTACCGAGCATCGTATTTGTGTGGCCGGATGAGCATCGGTTTTGTACTGTGGTTTGTGAAATATCCCTCACAGACCGAGGAGCAGGTGTTGGGCTGGGAGAGCGAGGACGATCTGTTGCGTGGCGATCAAGTTTCGTACGATCTTTTTTGAGCCACTTAGTGGTCGATGGATAGCGCGATGCGCCTTGATTCTTTTCTATTGAGGAACGGGAGCCTATTGAGGTACGCTCAGGCGCAAATAGAGGATTAGATGCAGGCCGCGTCGCGTCCGTAGGTCGTCCACTCGCTTTTCGTTCTTCATCTGCGCTATCTCTGCATTCTTGATACGTCTCTGAGTTTTGTACCTGAGTATCTGAATGGCAGCGGTTCGCGAGGGTAGGTGGACCATGAGATCGGGCACTCCTGGGTGATTCAATTGTGATACCGGTAGGGGTTATCGACGCCCCTTCATCCCGACATTCGACAGCTTGTTCCCCTAATAATCTCCGGGTCTGTTTCCATGGGTTCGCCCATCCTTTGTCGAAAGGTCCCTTCAGGGTGGCGCTGAAGATGAACAGCGGTTTTCCTTCTAAATACTCCCTAGCCAGGTGTTCGATTTTTCTCCTTTTTGCAGTACGAGAAGCATCGTCGATCTCGCTTTCAGAGTCGGAGGACCAGACAACTGTGTCCGAGGGAGTTGGAGAGACCGGTTCAAGGGAGAGTGGGAAGCCTGGGCGTTGGACAGACATTTTTCGGAGCCCACTACGGAGTAGTTAGAGGAAGACCTGGGGCTGCGGAGACACTGCTGTTACGCAGCAGGTGCAGCCACGGCTCGTCTAAGCCAAGCATTTGTGGTAAAATAATCAAAATTTAAAAAAAGAAAAAAGGAGATTTCGCTCCGTGGCTCCAGCCTTTTGTGCAGGCAGTTAAAGGAGCTCTTCTCCCGCAATGGCCTGAATGCCTTCGTTGGTCCATTGCGCTGCCTTAGACGTGTTGGGCGCCAACGCTCAGTCACGGGACTTCGTGTTCCACTTTACGCGTGACCGTTGCCTAGCCAACCACGCGCGAACGGCTCATTGCCATTTCTCGCGGCTGAGCGCGAAGCAAGGAATCCAGGCTTCAAAAGCCAGAGAGAGGTGAGGTATTTTACAAGCTCAAGCCAAGCAAGTAAGAAAAAGGCAATTTGAGCGCTACCCTGCCCGCCGTCCGGAGTAATACCTTTGGTAGTTACATGTAACACCGGATCAAGGTCACCTGGGGGCATCATCTCCGGAGTCAAAGCTGATGCTTGCTATGCCGTAGCCTGGCTCTTTGGTTTGGGCATTGTTGCTCGTTAACTGGCTGAGCGAACAAGCGGGAATCGGAGAAGCCGACTGAAGGTGGCTGCGGGTGGGATCGTGGCTGGTGTAGATCGCCAAGCCCCTTCTCTGTAAGGCTGTCGGATTATCTATTCTCCGGGGGACCGTGAGGTAACACGGGGCTTACCACTTCGGGAACTTTGTTGTGATGACCTCAACCAGCGCAGCCGAACTTGCGACGAAACACGCCCTCTTGTTATTCTTAAAAAGAGGGGTCCTGGATCCTGGTGGATTCCCCTGTATTATCTCCAACTCTCATGCTATTTCTACTGCTACTCTTCCGTTTCTGTCCTTTGTTGTGTACTTGACTCGGTTGTTGGTTGTTGTTGATGCGAGTTGCGCCGCGCCGGCGGAATAAACTCCCGTTTGAAGACGTACAACAGCTGCGCCCAGCTGCATCGCACTCATCATAAGGCCGCCATGGCTGCCAAAGAACCATGGCTCGATGGCCTTTCAGATGACTGGGTGCCTCACTCCCGCCTCTCCACCATGAACCGCTCCCCAAAACACTCCAGGCGGCCTAATTTATCCGCCCTGCCACACAGGCCTGTCGACGAACCAAATTCCGTCCGATCGGATAAACATCACCGGAAACCCTCCATATCCATCGCGCCATCTCGCCGAAAAAGCCCGGCGTCGCTCAAGCCCTCTTCCCCTCTTAGTTCACAATGTGCCACAGCCAAAGATTCACTCCGGAGCCGTTCGTCTTCCGTTAAATCAGCGTCACGAAGCTCGAAGCCAACGTTGAATACGTTAACTGAGGTCGCCTCCACAATGAACGTTCGACCGGCAAACACAAAACAAAGCGGCAACACACCAGAATGGAAGCGCAGGCTCCTGCGTGGTGATGCGCCCGAGGGCGAAAGCGGTGACTTGTTTGGCCCAATCGGACTGCAAAAGTTATTCACACCGCCTTCTGGCTCCGAATCTGTGACACGAGCGGACTTATCGAGACGGAACGAACGAAGCAAATTGTCGTTGAGATCGCGATTATCTGGAAATGCACAAAAGTACGAAGTTGGAACTTTGTCTTTCAAAGGCGATTCCCAAAAGTTGAAGCTCCTCAGGTCCTGGGACAAAGAAAATGCCAGTCTTACATGGATGGAGCGGATGTCCGAGGTCTCCCCGGCAGATCTCAGCCGACTGTTGCGAGAGAGCCAACTTAGCATCAATGAGATGGACATGGCATGGCTAAAGCAGGACTTTTCTCGGCTCAGCCTCGATTCAACAGAAGACCTGATGGTAGAAACGCGAAGTCGATCGGCGAGTGGCCTTGAGGAAACCAGGAATGAAGCCATTAGCCCAATACCTGTCCCCACCAGTGATATGTTAAAAGATCGGAATTCTTTCCACGTCCGCAGACCAAACTCTAGTGCGAGCGATAGCTACTGTGAGCTGCAACCCGAATACACTGAAGACTACGCTAATATAGACGATTCCTTTGATATAACTAGCCACTCGTTGCCCGAGGGACTATCCATGGGTACACAGGAATTTGCTTCGGTCAGTGCACGACGGGGCTATTTGGACGAAACTTCCCTCCACAGCCGGTTTTTAAGTCCATCTTTGACTCCATCGCAACTCCCTCCCTATGGTGCTTCCCGCTTTCAGAACCATTTATCCAGCGGCGACCGGCTGGATAGTTCCAGGCTGGCACCCGCAAAGCTCCCTCACCCTTTTACACCCAAGAAACAAACGAACAAGGATAGTCGACCGCCTGGCAGGAACGTCATGAAGCCTTCTGGGAGTCCTCTGAAGCTATTCGCAAACCATGATACATTCACAAATAATAAGCTTCTTCGCCGAATGAGCCAGTTCGAAGAGACTTTTGAAGCCACACTTGAGGAAGGAACATCATGCGCAATAGAGTCTGCAGATATCAGCCATAACGAAGTTGATATTCAGGAGAGCGAAAAGGCGACAGATTTCGAAGGCCAACGCGCTTTGCGCAGTGCATCACGACCTCAACCTGAGGAGCCCGACTACCAGAAAGAAGCCGCCTCTTTCTGTTCTTCAAAGCATGTAGACAAGAGGGTTCTCAACAGTCCTACAAAGGGTTCAGCCCCCAAGAGGAGGCGTACACTTGTCTCTGCTACCCAACCCAGTCCGGCATGGCATGAACCTATAATCGAATCAGCGGAGTTTAGTTCAGTCGTAGCCAGCCCACAACAACACGATGAGGCAACCGTAGCGGTTAAGGATTCAAAAGACAACCGATTCGCTCTCTCACATCCAGCCAGGTTGAACGACTTACCCCGGCCCCCCAGCAAGCAAACAGAGGCAAGGGCATCCTCTCTTACCTCGCCTTCAAAAACAATGAGGAGTCGCGACAACAGTTCAGGTTCTAAAGTTATAAACCATGGTCCTGCCACTAATCCGATCAGAAAGGGATCAATTACCACCCAGGACTTCCTCGATGAAGCTAGCAAAATAATGAATCACATACGCAGACGCGGTGGGCCAAGGAACGGGCTACCGGACCTAGAAGAGTCTGTGATAGTAAGCGAAGAAGACTACGGCGACAACTTCAGTGAACCATCGACCCAGGAGTGTTTTTCAAGACCACCCAGCCGTGAAGGCGGTGGTGTCCAACAACCAAAGAGCTTTAATGAGCCAGATCCCCGGATCATTAGCCACCTCAAGCGATATGAAGACAGCGACGAGTTGGATGTCTTCATGGGTGCTTCCGTAATGTCTCTTCGTCTTAGATCGCGACAGAGAGCGAATAGAAAGCTCGACGCGCACGCAGAAGAGAGCAGTCCGACAAATGCCCGGATACACGAGAGTGTGCATCACCTTCACCCGACGCACCAACACGCGACAGAAGGAAATTTCTCTTCGAATGACTTGGGCATATCGAAAGAAGAATTGAAGACTGTGGCATCGACCGGAAGTATTGCGGACAGCTCTACAGGCAGCGCAAGGGCGAAAGGAATAATATCCTCACAAATGGTTTCGCACTTGATCCCTGAGAAAGTGGGAGCTATGACTTACGACAGAACACACCACATATGGATTAGAGGTGGTATTAGCCCTGAACAGCATATTACCTCTTTCATCAGCGAGGACGATCCCTTCCGAGATATTCCTGATCTTAGTGTCGATGAACTCCGGGAGCTGATGGCTATTCGGAGTGTGCCCGGTCATGCCAAAAAGCCAGAGCAATTGAGACGCGAAGACAACGCGTTCCAAGAGACAGATGAGCATCAGAAACAGGCCCCTCAGAAAGGATCGCGACCACGAACGCAAGAAAGCACAAGCAGTGTACAATCTAAATCTACTCGATCCACGTCGAGCGAGGCTCAGCCAGATACCAGAGCTACATCATGGGCCACGAAGGATTTAACAAGCTCTCCGGCACATCAAATTGCGCTAAAGCTGGATACCTCCCAGGATGCTCAGGAAGCAGAGCACGACAATGAATATCCGTCGCCAATTCCGTCTCCCATTAGTGGCGATAAGAAACAAGCAAGAGCCGTCACCATAACTTTCTCTTCGCCTTTGGTTTCGCACATTGCCTATGGAGATGGAGATTCGGCCCATGATGAGAGCCGTACTAGGAGCCCAGCTGGAGATTTCGTCGAGACGGGCTTTGAAACCAAAGGAAGCATTGAACGCCAACGCTCCTCTCTAAAGATGCCGTCACCTCGTTCTTCTTTGCCAGCCGGAAATCGAAGTGGGAGACCAGTGTCACGTATTGATGAGCGGGACGAAGACCTGTTTGAAGAACTTAGTGAACTAAATCAAGATCTTTCTGTCCTTCCAGCCAGAGAAGAATTATCTCTGGTAGCAGCGCGCGATCCCCATCTCGACACAAGCTACAACTTTCATCTAAGCCCACTGGCAGAATTTACGGTAAACCAAATCGATGAATCTTTCAAGTTGGAACTCAGTTATGTTGCTGAGCGAACTTTTCCCCGCTCTCTTCGACAAGTTCATGGTACATTTGCTTTGGCAGCCGAGGAGCTGATAAAGCACATCACGGACGTGGAGCCTTACGAAGCATATTGGGAACATTTGCGGCGATTAAATCTTCGAAGCAAGAAACTGATTACTCTTCTGGGACTCAATAAGTATTGCCCCAGGCTTGAGGAGCTGGACGCTTCGGACAACAGCATTGGTCAGCTCAGCGGTGTTCCTACAAACATCCGCAGTTTGAATATTTCGCGTAACTGCTTGACAAATTTGACGGCTTGGGGCCATTTGTCCAATCTTCAGTATCTCGACGTGTCGAATAATGAACTCGAGAATCTTGACGGTGTTTCGGGACTGGTTCATCTCAGAAGCCTGAAAGCCAACAATAACAAACTCACCTGCATAAACGGAATCTTTAATCTGGATGGACTCTTATCTTTTAAGGCAAGGAATAATCTACTCACCTCTGTTGACTTTAAGAGTGCCGACTTGTAGGTTACCCCAATGGACACCATCCGAAAAAAGTGCTAATAGAAGGATTTCCAGGTTTCGCCTGACCAATTTGGACTTGAGCGGAAATCAGATCTCAAGCGTAGTCAGTATCGATTCTCTTGACGCTCTAGAGACGCTTGACTTGCGATATAACGAGATTCAAGATTTCACCGTTTCAGGAAAACTTCAACAGTTGCATTCGTTGAAACTCTCGCACAACCACCTTCAGGAGTTAAATATCTCAGAGTTTCCAAGCCTGAAACTTCTGTACCTCGACTGTAATCACCTGAGCACTATTGATGGGCTCGAAATATGTCAACATCTCGATACATTATCAGTGAGAGAGCAAACTGCCTTTGAAGAAGAAGATCGGTTATACCCGCCCACCGTTGACCTTGATTTATCCGGCAATGTCTCGATACGCAAGCTATATTTGTCGTGTAACAAGCTCTCTCTAAGTTTGCTTGCGCCTGCTTCCTCTGTTTCGTCGCTTCGGCTCCTAGATCTTGCCTCGTGTGGGCTAGAGAGTCTTCCGACGACCTTCGGAAAAAGGTTCCCGAACCTGAGCACCTTGAACCTTAATTTTAATGCCATATCGGACGTCGGGTCCCTAGATGGCATCTCCAAGCTCTCTCGCTTGTTCATGGTTGGGAACAGGGTCTCTCGCCTTCGAAGATTCTGCCAAGTTTTGAGGCTTGTTGGGGGGGAGGAAGGAAGCCTTTCAAAAGTTGATGTGCGGGGAAACCCGCTCACTGTTGGATTCTATCCGTCCCCAGTATTTGGGAATGGGAAATCAATCACGGCTCCAGGTGATGGAGAGCACATTGGGCGAAAGGCACAACAGCTTATTAAACGGCGAGCTCGTGAGATTAGTGACGGCGATAATGACGATGGTGTGCTTGCACCTATCGGTGGCCATGCTGATATTGCCCGTGTAGAAGGAGGGGAGCACGTATCACTCATTCGGCCAGAAGCTGAAGATGTGGAGGTCGAAATTGATGATCCGTACACGGTCCCATTGGTGAATCCCGCTGCAGATGAGAAGTATTTGGTGCATTTAGATGAAGCGACAAGGCTACGACGGCGGGTTGTTGAATTGATGATTCATGCTGCTACTTCAAGTCGGTTAAAGGTCTTGGATGGTTTAGATTTGGGCGGCGATGCGAGTGAGAAAGGGATTGTAAATATGAAAAAGGATTGGGTTTGGAGACGGCTCGTGGAGTTGGGAGTTTTGAAGAAGAGAGATTGATGCATTCTCTTTCCCTTTTTTTTGGATTTTCTCTGGGTTCTTGGTTGGACTTTGATTTTGTTCATTTGTTTGCGGCCTCGGGTTGGTCTTTCAGTCAATTTTATTATTCCGCATGAACGGGGTTTTGAAGGCGTCCTCGTTCTATTTTTCCCCGGTCGCCGCATCGCGTTTTGGCATTTATGTCCCGGGTTCCTATGGTTTTCTCCGAGTTGCATGTGCTGCATTCTTTGATGTCTTGGTCCTTCACGCTTTTCTTGTTTATCCATATCTATGAGTCTTTAAATGACCTAATGCAATGATTTCCTTTCAACTCTCTTCTGCGTATGCTCCAGCGCAAGCATCCAAGGGCATGGAAACACAAACACACTACATCATATAGCGTATTCTGTGTGCCATAACCCCATATCATCATTGCAGCATCTGCCCGGGAGCCGGCGTGGGGGCTTGGAGCATAACTGCTATCTATCGAATGATTAGCTTGTCCTCTTCCAGGCACGAGAAGACGATGTATTTTCCGTTATTTCTCAAAGGCCGTGGTGAATAGGGTAGCAAGAACACAATGCAGTAGTTTGCTCAGATCATCCTATCTTGTAAACAGGCTGGTCCTATTCGTGCAAATGCTGTCTATGCATGTTTGAGGTGAAATCACGGACCACTGTCTTTTCGGGGCGTCGGTGCACGACTTGCATCCTGCATAGCTGCCTCCCAGATATTATTGTCCTGCGGGGGGTTTATTTCGAATTTCTCGACGCTATCAAACCCTATCTTAGCCAACAACCGACAAAGAGGCTGTGAATACGGTTAGTTGAACAGCTAGTTGGTTAGAGTTGCGTTTCAATTCTGTTGAGGGCCCAGCAAAACGTCACTGCGGGGCAAAGTGATCGCCGGCTATAAATTCGCTCTCCGTCAACCCCTCCATCACATCTTTTTTCTTCATCTTTTTCTTCTCCCACGCTATTGACGAGCTTTGTTGTTCACTTCTTCAATCCTAACTCGAACTACACCACCCAATTGCTTTGGTACGGACGGTACTTACCCACATGCACACACTCCCTCTTCACAATCGAAGGTGTAGAGCCGCGTGGGACGGTCGACCTTGCTCGGCCGTCGTCTTTCGTCATGGATTCATCCAAGGGTCAAGGTATTGTAGTATAACAAACAGGTCACTGCACACGCATGACAGGTGTCGGCCCAGTGAAAGTAATCGAATTCGTCTCAATTGCGCGTTTCCCTAGCCTGGCCTGTCTGTGCCGTTCGTGGGGTTTTGACGCCTCACGATGGTACGCCAGGACAGACGGACGGACAACCTTTTGAGACGGGTTTGATGCGGGATCTGAGTTGTTCTGAGATTATACTGTCTGAACTTGATCTAGATAATTCTAGCGAAAGGACATGCGCGGCTTTGATTTCCCCTTTTTCCCTTGTCGTTTCTTTGGGCTTGGCTCGGCAATCCATGTCGAACCAATGTCCATAGATTCGCCTTGTCTGGTGGTACTAACTAGTGGTTCATACGTTAGCTTTTGCTTTGGCATTTAATCGTGACCATGTCTACCGATAAGATCACCTTTCTCACCAACTGGTAGGTTATGGCGGCACAGGTGCCTATTGTTCCATGAATTCTCCCGTCGTTATAGTCAGTTCTCTAAAAGCATCTTGGGAATTGACTCTCTTTTGAATATAAGGCATGCTACGCCCTACCACGCCCCGCTCTACCTAGCTCAGGCTAGAGGTTACTTCCAAGAAGAAGGCATCAAAGTGGCCCTTCTCGAACCCAATGACCCCTCCGATGTCACTGAGATCATCGGGAGCGGCAAAGTCGATTTGGGATTCAAGGCCATGATTCATACCCTGGCTGTTCGTACATCCATCCTGGAGAACGAGCACGTTTTCCAACAATGGAGCAGGCAAATGTTAACCCTTCTTACAGGCTAAAGCTCGAAACTTCCCAGTTTTGTCAATTGGGTCGCTTCTCGACGAACCTTTCACGGGAGTCGTATATCTCAAGGACAGCGGAATCACAACGGACTTCCGCTCCCTGAAAGGAAAACGTATCGGATATGTCGGAGAATTCGGCAAGGTTCGTCCCCCCCCCCCCCCCCCCCCCCGCCGGGGTCCATTTCTATGTCTATCGGTCACCCTTTGCTAAATTTAGCATAACAGATTCAAATCGATGAACTCACTAAGCACTACGGCATGTCTGCTAGCGATTATACTGCCGTTCGCTGTGGCATGAACGTCACCAAAGCCATCATCAATGGCACTATCGACGCCGGCATTGGCCTGGAAAATGTGCAAATGGTTGAACTCGAAGAATGGCTCGCGTCCCAGGGACGTCCCCGCGATGATGTGCAGATGCTTCGCATCGACGAGCTCGCCGAGCTCGGATGCTGCTGCTTCTGTTCGATCCTGTATATTGGCAACGAGTCCTTCATCTCCCAGAACCCAGACAAGGTGCGGAAATTCATGCGGGCTGTCAAGAAGGCTACCGACTACGTTCTGGCAAACCCTGCCGCTGCTTACGAGGAATACATCGATATGAAACCGATCATGGCCACTCCTGTCAACCGCAAGATTTTCGAACGCTCCTACGCGTATTTCAGCAGGGACTTGAAGAATGTGGCTCGTGACTGGGAGAAGGTTACCAACTACGGTAAGAGATTGGAGATCTTGGACGCCGGGTTCAAGCCGAATTACACGAACGAGTTCTTGACGTGGGACCTGGACGCAGAGTCTGCTGATCCCACCGGCGACCAGAAGAGAATGTGTGCGTTGCAGAAGCAGGTTGCACGCGAAGGTGGATTTAGGAGAGTGGAGGTTACTACCACTGCGTAGTCTGTGTCAGCAGATTTCCGCATTTCTATTGTAGTAGGACTTTTCTCTCCTTAATGTTCTCGGTCCTTACGGTGTAGATCTACGAGTTGGCTAGTTAAGAAATGGAAGAAAACAGGAAATTTGAGAATAACTCATACATCATTTGATTCATAACCCGCTCGACAGACTTGAGCACAGCTAGTTGCAATAGCAGCCGGCACGCTGGATGACAATCGAAGCAGGTATGACATACATAGGTACTCTAACAAACATGGGAGGTAAATTATCCACGCCTAAGCATAGTCGAACGAACCCGGGAAGAAGAAACTTGCTTAAAGGTATCGATCACAGGACAACGCAGGTCAAGAAACAAAGAAAGGAGTACGGTAGAAAGAGACTAGAGAAGCGCGCAAGTGAACTCCTACAAATGGGTCTACAGACCGCGAAACGCCAGTGGTGGGTAATTCAAGGGAAAACCGAAACCGGACAAACTTGGTAGATGGAGAACGAAGAGAGAAGGAGATAAAAGGTGTAGGAATGGTCTCAACAGCAGGCAATAGGCCGAAGGGATATCCGATGCAGCAGAAGAAAACATGCTTCAGGCAACGCTTGATAATTTTGAAAGACGCCGAGCAGAGACGATGCTTTCTTCTCAATAGTGATGCCATAAAAGGCTAGGCCGGATAGAAAATAAAAGAAAACCAAAGAGCTGAAATCCGGAAATGAAGCCTCTAGGAGCCCGTGCTGTATGGGAATTGAATTTTTTTTCTTTTTTCTTTTTTCTTTTTTCCTTTCGTGTTGCTTTTTTTCTTTGATGCCGTTTCAACCATGTATGTTAACTCCGTTCCATCTTTTATTTAGAAAACACGCTCCACACGCCAGGAGCCAACACCGGTAATGATATTGATGCATAGGAAAAAGAAAAAAAAAGAAAAAATTATTGAGGAACAACAGAGTCCGGTGCTGCAACCTTCCTCCGTGCCCTCAAATCGGAGCGTGTAATAAAGATCATCGAAAAAAGGAGAAAAAGGAGCACTGAGGAGGATCGCAGCAGACACGTCGGACTCTCGAGTCACACGCTAACCTCGCCAGGGTCGCTCTCCATTATTCCATCCTCCCAACCGCCACTAACACCCTCGCGGCCGGAACTTCGTGGTCCAAGGGCCATTGCTTCGCCTTCACCCCGTTCCACGTAATCTTCACGACTAAGTTCCTTCAAAATTCTCTGGAAATACATCCGAAGGCTGCGGAGACCACGTAAATAACCACGATCCACACCGTCTGGGTGGTGTGGTGGACATGGCGCATTTGCCGGAATCCCGTCTTCTCCAGTTACGCAGTTTGCGAAATCAACAATCTTCAGGCGAAGTCCTGAAGTATCTTGGTTATCTCCAAAGGTTGCCTTGCTACTATCGGGGTTTCTTGGACCATCAGGTTTGGCTTCGGCATCGTCGGTTTTGGGGGGTGTCTTCTCGCCATCATAAAGAACAAGCAAACTGCTTGCATAGAAACGATAACCAGGCAGCCCACGGATCATGTTTTCGAGCCGAGACAATTGGTGTAAGATTACAGGAATCTTCTTTGTCACGCTGCTGTAGCTAACACCATCGTACAAAAATCGTGTCAAGGCGTCCTGGAACTCCCGGCCTGCCTTAAGATCGCGACCAAAATACTTATCCTCAAATAAGTACTCCTGCTTTTTAACATTCCAGACCTGCATTCCACATAGCCTAACTCCAAGCTGCGCTGACGTTGTAGTCTGACACTTTCGTCTTTGAGATTTTTTCTTCTTCTCATCCGCTTCAATTCCATATTGACGTGTGCCCATTTTTAAATCAAGAACGCAAGGTTTATTCATGCCAGCAGTAAGGTCTTCCAGAAGCAAGAAGTACTGAACCCGCTCATCGCGAGTTGTTTGCGCCTCCTTCGGATTAACAGGTAGCCGCACCGGCTCACCAGTGTTGGTACCAAGGGTAACAGGCAGAGACATTTGCTTCTCACCGTCCGCAGTCACCTGTTCCTCCCCTTGACTGGGGGTGCCCTTCTGACTTAAATCTAGAGCAGCAACCTGCGACGAACTCGAAGGGCTTTCGTCAGACTCCATTTTAAAAATTTCATCTTTCCCATCGCCACCATAGCTGTCATCCTCAAAATAAAGGAGACCTCCAGGTTTACTCGTACTCATGCTT